CGGCCTACACGCCGACCTTTCTCGCTGGATTGATGGTTTTCTAGTCGGTGGAAGCCCATGGTTTCTTGGACCTCCTGAATCTCGCAGGGGGGTTGCTATTATCGACAGATACCTCATCTTTTTTATTATCACCACTGGCAGGCGAGCGGGACCTTTGTTTTATGTATGTGCTTGCCGCGTATGGGGAGGTGGGCCAGATGTCTTTTTTTGTTGGGGGCTTTTGAGGAGGAGGAGGAGGAGTGACTCTCGTTCCTTGCTCTCCTGTCTAGTCTGTCAGTGCAGGCTGATGGACGAAGAATCACTCGGGAGATGTTACAGGAGGCCAGGAGAGACTCTGTGGACTGGTTACGGCGAGAGCGTTTGCGTCTGCTTATGTGTGGATATGGGACTCGGCTGGGGGAACCAAGTCGAGTCAGGCCATAAATCTTTTCGTTTTTTCTCTTGGAGCCTCGAGACCGTTACTTAGACCATGGAGATGGGACATCTATTGCGTAGGGCCTGCCTGTTTAATCTCTTGATTTTTTGAACAATCTGTCTACTTTATCCGTGGTGTGATGTTTCTGTGATGAAAGTGACTTTGTTGCATTAAGCTCATTTGGATACATCATACAGGCTATCATTACACAAGTAATCACTAGCTTCGAGTTGAGGCGTCTGTAGTATCCAACGTTGACCTCAAGCTTCAGGCATGCATCCACGTGCCAATGTCAGTCATGTGGCCCCCTATCCCATGCTAGACCCTCTGATCGACGCCTGAACCTATTTCGGTAGTTGTGATACGGGTGATGTAATCCCATCAATCAACGAGCATGGGGGTCAGATATTGTTCACCCAGTGTGGGAGCCAAGATATTCACAAAGAAGTTGCTTATGCAGATAGACTTAGGCGAGTATCAGTCTTGTTTCCTCATGATAAGACAATCGAATAAAAGAGCGAGTTTAATCTCTGCTACACAATACCACCCAACGCAAATAGGTTAAACCATCAACCGCCGCCCAAATAAAAAAGAGTGACGCTTTCAAAAAGCGGCCTCGCACAACATCGCCAACCACACTCCATTGTATGCATCCCTAACACCAAATATCTCAACTCGTCTCGTCTTGTCTCATCATATTGTTGAATTTCTCCGTTGGAAATTTAGACGGGGCAGTGCTATAGAACGGAATGTCAGTAAAGAATGATAAGGTATGGGGGTCATGAGAAGACATACAGCACCGCAGCTACCGCAGGTTTTGCCGTCACCCTCGATGGTGGCGCTGCACTTGGGGCAAGTGTTGTGGTTGTAGTTGACAAGAGGCTCCATCTTGGCGTTGATATCAAGAGATTTATGTGATACAAAAAGTAGAATGTGTTTGAGGTTTGAGCACTAAAAAGAAGGGGAAGAAGAGAAGAGGGGAAGATTCAGATTATATATATCCATCAACTTCAACCTTCCCTCACACCAGATTTCCCTTGACACTTTCCCGAAGCGGGGTTCCCTGGCGCAAATAGCGGGTTGTTGCTTTGTATTACCCCCTCATGCGATTCGCCCGTGACACACACAGTCATGCCCACCCCATCTTGATAAAGAAGTCTAAAGGGTCTTGGGTCTTGGTGAGATGGGTATAGGTGGGGATCGTGTGAGAAACAGCTCATTGTGCTGGCAGTAAATGGAGACTTGAGATACGAGAATGGAGGGTCAGAGATAGGTTGAGAATAGTAAACTTGAAGAGTCGTATTCTTTGCTCAGAGGGCTAGTCTCTTGTGATATCACAGCTTGACATCACTAGCACGATCAAAGTTTAAGCATGTGCTTGTTCAAACAACATACTGTCTATAATTCAGACACCTTGTATCACGTCATGCCAACAACTCCTGACATACAAATCCAAAATGCGTACTGCCTGTGTTTTCTTCGACATGTCTTACTCAAATGTTCAACTAAATCATCATCCGCCTTTTATATGTGTTTGATACGTCTCTTAAGTGGAAGTCTTCCTCGCAGTCGCATGTGCTTTGCGTCGCCGCTTAGTATCTTTACATGTCTGGTGTTATTCCAAACAAGTGTCTATGTGTGTTGATGCTTCGTTAGGTATGTTATAATAGTATATGAATAAAGGTAAAGCAGGCAAAGCGATTATTAGCTTATGCACATTGCGTTGGTCCATCTTTGCCTGTAAGGGTTTGTTAGCATATGTCCAATCTCGTGGATGATATGAAAGAGAACTTACTGTTAACCATCTTTTGCACCGCCTGAATCACACTAATGACCATGACGACTATGCCAAATGCCACCACCGCACCAGCCATGTATGTCCGCCAACTTCGCGTCGTCAACTTGATGTAGCACAATGGAGGCAGGATGTACGCCATAGCCACAGCACTCGTTGCTCCCACGAGTTCAAACACAGCACCGAGATCACATGTCACCAAACTCAACACAAGGGCTGACGAGACGAGACTCGTGCTGAAGAGCAGGTGGCGGTTCATATTGAACGGCTCATCGGGGAAGAAGTATGTCAACATCACTTCGCGACACACAAATGCCTCGAGTGGGAGTGTGGTAAGCATGTTGAGGCCAAAGCAAAGACGCGCAATGTTGACCATGGTGTTGTCGGCAGGAAAGTTGTTGAGAACATTGCCCAGGGTCTCGTCACCGAATGTGAGGAAACCGCCTAGAGCAAGGACGAGACAGAACACCATTGATACACCAGTCGAGTAATGAGTGACACGAGAAAAGTTATCAATGGTGGGTGTCTTGAGGGATCCATAGATGAGTAGCGAATTGTGATGGCAGACAAAGGCTATAAAGTCAGTAAGCCTCTATACGAGTTCAGGGGTCTAGGCATAACAACATACCGAATGAGATAACACCGATGGCCTGGAAAAAACCACCGTTGAATAGGAGCAGAGAAGGGCTGAAGGAGCCTCGTTCTGACGCAGGAGCCACAATGCCTTGCACCAGAATAGTAAAGACAATAACCACCATACCGACAAGCGCAAACGTACTCGCTTTGGCCAACTACATGTCGTCAGTACAAGCTTTTTTTCGTGTAAAAGCGCATGTGTATCCGCCCGTTGAACTCTCACCTTTGAAATGTCCCGATAGAGCGTCAAGGGGTATCCAATACCCATCACGAACACTGCAATCGCAACCTGTCGATTCGCCAACAGTCCTACCACGGGCACCTCAGCCAAGTTTGGCCACACAGCGACCAACACATGAGGAATCGTATCGCCAACGATAACGCCATACGCGACCATCCCGCCAAACGCAAACACCCACTGCGCAACGCTAATGGCGATCAACCCGGACTGTCCGAAGCAGTGCTCAACCGTTCCCTGGAAGTGACTCGTCCCGCTGAGCTTGCTATTGATGACAATCAAGCAAATAGTCCAGTCTACCACAACCGTCAGGCCTACCAGTAGCAAGATGCCGCCGACGAGACCGGCCTGGCGCACAGCGTAGGGCTGGCCGATGATACCCGCGCCAATGATGGAATTGGCCATGTTCATAAAGGCTGACTTGAGTCCTGACTTGGGACGGTTCATCTCGTGTTCTGCTTGTTCGGAAGGATCACCCATTGAGTTGGCGAGTGTTACGCTTGGCGCTTCCATGTCTGTCAGGAGAGGCGTACGATGCGCCCGCGCCGGACTCGTCGCCTCCTCGATATCAAAGTATGCATCGTCCGAAGACCGTCTGTCGCTACCGTCGTCGTCTCTGAAGCCGCCAAAGGACTGTCCGTTGCTGACTGGCACGATCTCGGGCGTTAGGTCGAAGCGCACGCGGCCCGGTGTTCGAGGCTGGCCATTGCTATCAGTCTTGGTCGAAGCCTTCCCCAAGTCTGCGCTCGCGCTTCCACTGCCGCTACCGCTGTGATTATCTACGCCTAGGCCAAAGTAGTCGTCGTCGTAGTCGGGTCCATGGCTCAAAAGACCGCGGTCCTCGCCGTGCGGGTTCGGGGAGCCATTGTTCCTGGCGTGCGTCATTGTTGAAGGGGAGCAGCAAAGGGATATTGCGTGCACATTTTCTCCCCAGGAGAAGACCTGTTAATTCGATTCGTTCGTGCGTGTGCGTGTAATTGGGAAATTATAGGATGATAATATTAAAGGGTCGCAAAAAGGAACGATCGACTGTAGAATCAAAGGATAAAATGCTGTTTGTTGAAAGTTGTAAAGAGATGCTGTCTCCTTGTAATAGGACCTTAGCTTAAGGATGGTTGTCTGTCCTTCCCCCAGATAAGCAAGGATCAAAGGGATTAGCGTCACTTCCAGCATGATAGGCGCTAGGATTGGTGCAAATGCCCCTTATGAAATCTGGTCCTTGGTGCTGGAATCGCCCGCTAGGTGCTTATGCAGGGGCACGGATCAATCCGACAGGACTGGACCATACTCAGAGAAGATATGAATAAAGAGATGGAATGAGGGCTTGTATTGAGTATCTTTGTTTGATATCGAAGCAGTGGGTTAATAGCTTCATTGTTGTTTTCACACAGGTACACCAATTACTCATTACAAGAACTACCGTTAACCCAAAGACCCTTACGAAACATGTTGCATAAAAATAGGGGTCCAATTTACACTCTCCTTTCCAACGGTCAGGCCTAAGAACGATCAAGGTTCTGGAAACCTTCTACCTGAGCGAGCCATAACTATGCCCAGCAGGCTTTCAATTTATAACATTTGTAAATCACAATTGGAAAATTCGGTCCATCCAACATCTCTATTGAGTCTGATGGTCTATCTCTAGTTGGAAATATGTGTGGCGTGGCTTTAACCACCTATGTTGAAACCCAACAAGTTCTCCCTCGATTCAATTGGGTGTAGCTGTAACTTTCCTTCGCACCCAATCTTCTCTTTCATATGTGAAGAGCTTTGTTTGTTCTCATGTTCCTCGCATGGTCTTCTTTCTATGCTCTATGAAGCTCTCGGTATGTAATATATATGCACATCTTTCCGCGCGTCTAAACGATTGTATATGGTGTATTAAAAAGAATGTACGGCCGCTTGCCCGACTCCGTCTAAGCCAGGAGGGCGAAAAATGGTACTATACAGAAAATGAATGTGAAACGGGCTTGTGATAGTAGCCCTGAGGGTGCCGATGAGTCTTGTGTCTCGCTCGCCTGGCTTGTTTCGGCGGTGGCAGTGCCAGACGAGACTGATTCTTTGCCTAGGCCCATATCCGGCACTGCGGTCGCAGTTGATACAGTGTTGGTGGTGATGCCGGTTTCTTCGCTGGTATCAGACGTCTGAGTTGGCTTGTTGGAGGTCTTGGTCAGGGAAGTGGTTTCTTCTTCAGAGTCGTCGGAGTCTTCAGAGCCACTGGTAATCACATTGGTAGCAAACCCTGTTTTCATTAGCAATGGTTTAATCACGGTGATTGTTTAAGCTCACCAATTCGTCGCTCGTCTGCATCGAAGACAGTGTAGACGTTCTTGATAAAGGTATCACCGAGCAGCCAAGCACCTTTGACGACTTCAAATCCGTACAAGTTGCTGGTGCACTTTCCATCCTTGTCGGGAGGGGAAACCCAGTCCTTTGGTGAAATAACATGGTCGACTCCAGAGAACTTGATGGTCATGTTGCCCTTACTGTCGCAGGGGACATGATATGTGGTACCATCCTTACTCTCAGCTCCGTCGATAAGAGCATGGACCTTCTTGACATTGGCTGGCGAACCAAACATGAAAGAAGTTCCAGTGTCGATGAAGCTGCGCAAGCCTCCAACACCTGCTTGCTCGCCGTTATATCCCATGTCGTCCATCTCGATAGCCCAGTCGTTCTCTTTGCCTAGAGATGTGTAGGAAATTTCGCCGATGTACTTATCAGGGTTCGGTGAGCCAAAGCTGATCTCGCCTTCGTTGGTACCGTCAGCAGCACGGTTTAGAGCGACAGCAAACATGTTCTTGTCAACTTCTTTAGACTCGGACAAGGCGTTGAGAAAGCTTCCGCTGGATCCCTTGTTTATCGCAAGGCCAAGAATGCCGTCAAAGGCGAAATCGAGAAACTGATCCGATGTTGTATGTGTCAGTCCAAACTGGTAGGTGATATCCATGCCGGCCACGGTGAGTGTGTCAGTTGCCCAATTACCAGCAACCTTTCCTGAACCGTATGCGATGCTGAAAGATTTGTCTGTCTCCTCGAGTGTGTCTGAGTCGTCGGCGCCGAATGTGTTGTGCATCGAACAGGCTTTGCTGGTACAAGAAGTGCCCATAACCCAACTTGAGCCAGCACCAGTGTCGATAAGCATATACATGGGCTTCTTTTCTGATCCAACTCCCACTTCGATAAAGTACGAATAATCAGTGCCGTCTTGGTTAACACCCTGTGTGTGTTTCTTTGTCGATTTTGTCGCCTCCATGACATTGTACTCATTGTCGCGCTTTGCTAGCACACTGGTTTCTGGGACAGTTCCTCCTGTATACTTGGCGATTAATCGTGCTGCTTCGATGGCTGCTCTCTCTGATATCGGTTGGCTGGACTGCGGTAAAAGTCAGCATAATAGTAGCACAACGCAATTCGTATAACAAACCTTGGGAGCTCTCTGCTTAATACCCATGCGAACACCACCACCATTTCCAATGCTCTTGGACCTTCGCCCCACACTCTGTTGTCCAACGTCGACTCGCCAATCCGGGGCATAAGGAAAGAAGGCATTGGCCGATGAGGCGAAAGCCAGTTGTGCTAGTAATACTCCTGGACGCATTTTGAAGTTGTGGTGGTATCAGAATAGTGAAATTCTGTTCGCCGCTTGTTATACTCGGAAGCGGAAGTGGTTGATATAACCGTGAGTTGGCTTGCACTGAGACAAGACAGGCCAAGGTCGATTCAGTGCTGATTGGATCAGCTCGTCACAACTTGTCTCAAACGCGTCTATTCAGTGAAAACAGAAATTGACCAGGCTGAGAAACAGCAGTGAAGAAGTCGAGTTGAACAGAGCCTCGAAAGCCAGAGATGGCCGAGGGTATTAAGAATTAGATTTATGAGTCCAGCATTGGAAACAAAACCACACAGCGAAGATGCCGAGTAATAACCAGACGCAAATTGGAGCACACAGACACACAATGGAAGTGGCTTGGTTACAAGTGAGACCAGTTCCCGAGTCTCTTTGTCTCTTTGGATCAGGGCGTTGGAGTATTTCCTTGAAGGGCTGGGAATGAATTGGAATTGGAGGTCGGGATAGTAATACTCAATGTTGGAGGGAGCACGGATTGCTTTGATCAAGACAAAGAGCAAGCAACAAAGAAAGGGAAACGCAAATGAGAGTATGAAACGAAACTAAAAGAGAACAACGACGGAGGAGGGAGAGGGATTATTACGAATTAAGGCAAATGCAAGGTACAATACAGTATAAAAGAGAGGCAGCAGATGCAGAGAGAGAGAAAGAGGGTGGAGGCCGAGGTGGAGGGAGTGACAGGAAGTGGTGGGAGAGATGGGGAGAGTGGAGAGTGCCCAGGCATGGGGGCATACTTCAGTGTGCAGTACCTGGGCCCTGTCTGTGCTGCTTGATCGTAAAAGGAGCCTCTTAATCAACAGGCCCAACCAGTAGTAGCCAAGTTCTAATCTGTCAAAATAGATATGTCAATCAAACATGGCAAAGGTAGAGTACCATTTATGTCACCTTGGCTTCTATCTCATCTCTCTCACGACACCAGACCCAGGCTCTAGACCCCAGAGCTAAGCTACAAGAGGGTTCTAATTGGACGTCAAAATATCTTGGCTCGATGATCATCTGGACCTAGTTCGATGCCTACCGATCTTGGTACTTTGTTACAATCTTGGCCATCTCTTTGAACTGAATCAGTTGTTTGGTCATGCCTAAACTGACTCTTTTGAAACTTAGGAACAATAACAAAGAAACGTCTTTCGAGTCGTGTGTAACAAACTACAGTGCATATCTCTCTGCTCATCACTGGATCTTCATCGTCTCTAGTGCCAGGGGTCGTAACCTTCTGAATGGTCCGCCAAGTCTTAGCCGCTTGGATGGTCGGAGCGTTCATGTTTCCGGTGGGACCTCCAACTGTGGAGATTAGGTAGTGGAACATGCCGTGCTGTTGTACAGAAACCCTGTCAAAAGCCAAGTCAAGGATAAGGGTAAATGATATCAGCTCAAGATAGCTGGTGCTTGCTGTTGCCATGTGCTTCCAAGAGATGCAAGACGCTGCTTTCGATCACCAGATACAGAAACATCTTACCCCTGAAACGATAAGCGTTCTTGCAGATGAACGCTTGCGTTTTGGGCAGGTCAAGTTGGGTTAAATCGCCCCAAGATCTGCATATTGGCGCACATTATACTGCAAAGCAACGTGGAGCAAGCGGTAAAAAATGAACCTAAAAAACAAGCTTCAGTGGTTGATTCAAGCACGATACACGCGTTCAGTGGAAACCAGGCTACATATTGTGGTTCATTATTGAGTCCCTTGCTTGTAATGACATTCGATACATCTAGATAGCGTTGATCTTCGATACTAAGAGAAAGAAAAGCTTGATGCCCTGGCGTCAAACATGCAGTCAGACCACCATCGCCATCCAATATCCCCTAGACTTGCATCTCACTCTCAATACTATTGGATCCAAGGGTCTTTGTTTCCTCAACTGACTCGATAAAAGTCTAGCGTTTCTTACGCGTCAAAACAAACCAGCAACCCCTGACTACTGCTGCAAGCCTCAAAACTCTCAGCTTACTCCAGTTTTGTTCTAGACGTGCATGTCAGATGCTTTTTTTTTATGTTTCATTATACGAGCACTGTACAGTAACTTACGGAGCTGATGTCCGAGTCAATCTTCTTGACACATACAGACATCGACTGCCATCTTGAATTGAACAAGTTGCATGAATATTCCCACATGTTGCACTGCCTCTGTACCCAAGCTCAGAATACTGCTCCTTCAAGTCTCAGATTCCTTCCTTTTGCGAACTTCAATTATGCAAAATCCTGTCGTGTTTCCAATAATATATGTTTTATATATAGGTCTCGTCAAAGCGTGGATATGACATGATGGACAACCGAGGACATCCTTAACATTAAAACGCCATAGCTTCCGCAACAAGACACGGCTCTTTATCTTTAAAAAATTATCCGAGTCTTTAACCCATGTTACACAAAAGTACTCGCTTTGCGATACCCTGGCAGCCGAGTCCGCTAGAGTATCTCAACCTCTTTCGTCTAAAGACCATGCTGGTTCATACTGCTGTCGGTCATAATTTCACATAGATTGTTCCTCAGACAAGATGGATCGTAGTTCACTACATGCGGCTCAAATGACTTCATAAGCTCCATTATATAGGAGCGACCTGGCCCGCTGATGAAACAACTCTGGTGGCCTGTCAATGCTTGTCCTGGCCTAATCTTAACCCCGGCAAGTTGTAGCACTATCAACTCGGGTCGCGTCGATCAGAGTAGAGCCCAATTTCAATGCATATTGCGCTTTTTCCTATAGGTTATCTTGAGCTGTGATAGGTCGCTGAACCTAGAGCCATCGCTCGACAGAAACTAAAGGCTGAAATGACGGAAGATCTTTATTTAATCTATATAACTAGATGTTATCGTCGGGGCGAACTTGGTCTAAGCATCACCATAACCACCCAGACGAGATTGTTTTATTTCCAATGCCTATTCCCATCCTCTTCAGGCGCATATATCCGAAGAGGCAACCCATGAGGTTCCGTCACAGCCTCGGTTTATTGGTTTAGAATCCATCAACGACCTCTAACCATTGCTGCGCTCTTTCAAGTGTGCGTTTCCCAGTCTCATCTTCAGCAGCACTCTCCAATAACACCCTTCGAACATTCTCAAACTCTATCATATCGGCAGGAGTGGCTCCCCAGGCAGCGATGTATCGGAGGAAATACCAGACAGACTCATTGCGCCACTTGAACGAGCTCGCAAGCTTCAGTGTTTCGCGAAAGACGAGCGATGTCTCGGAAACATGCTTACTGAGCAGGAATATCAGGAACTGCCAGCCTGATATGTCGTTGTGGTGTGAGAAGCACCACTTTTGCGTTGACCTAATAATTCGGGACAGAGCATCTTTGGGCTTTGCTGATGGTAAGATAAAGGCACTGATCAGATATCTTGCATGGCACCAAGCGTAGTAGTTTCGAGGATGTCGTTCGCCAGATACCATGATGATTCTAGAGATGTCATCTTCCACTGGAACATCTTTGCCCTGGAGGCGGTATTGTTCCATGAGCCAGCGACGATGATTCCATATTGTTGGTGATTTGGTATGCCGATGAAGACGACTGGTTAGTAGGCTGTCCAGCAGGTGTTTCTCGGAGCGCAATATGTCCTCGATACTTTCGTCCTTTGACTCATTTGTGACAAGCCTCTTTCTGGTGTTGGCAGCAGTCAAGTGCTCTGGATCCATCAACAACATAACTGCTGTTGATCTCCGAATTTGGTTCATCGACACATTGTGATCCACTGCCAGGAACTTTTTGTGAAATTTCTGAGCCACTATGAAAGCTTGAACTATGCGCAACTTTGGGATAGCGACAGCATTCTCATCGCGTAGTACTGTTGAGTTGGGATCTAGCACATGGCTTTTGCCGAGTAACTCAATCTCAAGAAGTTGATCTGATGATTCTGTGAGAACATCTGAGATATCTAGAAACACTTGATGATGGTCGCCATGCTTAAGAGCTTCTTTTACACTCTTGTCAAGTGCTCGCGACATTAGGATATGGGGAAGAAGGCAATGATAGTGAACACAGAATGTACAGGGTAAGCGCAATGGAGCAGATCTGGCTCTGGCATTAGAAAACTGCTGAAAACATGGTAGATAAAATTAGTTAGTCAGGATTCCACTGTCTGAGGTGGACGTCTGGGTTAATTATTTCTGTACCCAAATGCTTAACGGTTGGTGGTGTGGAGGGGTCGTATGGAGCTCCATACAATGCATCTGTCGGGGTTATGACATGGCTTGACCACGTTTGAAGAACCACCAAAGCCAACATCACCACCACCTGACTTTCCATCTTCGCCTGCACGAGCACAAGTCGGCGCTGCACCAAACAAGTACCGAGTGCGCATAGTCTTCCCGTCTTCGATCTCTGGCCTGCAACAATGGCCTCTCTTATGCTCAGCGTCTTCGTTGTCGAAGTTATCGTCAACCTAGTCAACACCATTGGAGCCACCGCGATCAATAACCTGGTGCGTCACTTCCCGCGCTTATATCAAACTATATTCGCTGACTTTTAAAAGCTCTGGACATTGATCAACTTCCTCCCCATCTCGACGTCAAAGGCTGCCGGCGAACAGCGCAAGCTTCAGGCCGATTACCTCAAGGTCCGACGAGACCTAAATGGCACGAGCTCCCAGGATGAATTTGCCAGGTGGGCAAAGCTGCGTCGCCAGCACGATAAGCTTCTCGATCAACTAGAGAAGACCAGTACGTTTCGCCTGTCACACAGCCGTAGTGAAGGAAACAAGGCGATAGCTAACACATGTCCTCTACAGAGAAAACCACCGAGGCTGCACGATCCAACTTTGACAGAGTCCTCACCGTCGTCCGTATCGTCGTTACTCGCGCGCCGCAATACTTCCTACCCTTTTGGTACGCCACTGAGCCTATGTTCTGGCTGCCTCACGGCTGGTTTCCTTACTGGGCGGAATGGATCCTGTCTTTCCCTCGTGCCCCCATCGGAAGTGTCAGCATCGCCTCATGGCAGCTTGCTTGCACAGGAGTCATTGCTCTTCTCAGCGACTTGATCGTGGGCACTCTCGGACTACTCCTCAACGCGAAGCAGGCCAAGGAGGCACCTATCGCTGCTGAAAAGGTCGCCGCGGAGGAGAAGAAGAAGTCATGAGGGACATCAAGAGACGGGCCGTCCTCTTCTTTTATCCCTAGAGGGTAGAATAGATAGATAGCCACTTCGCACATAATTAAAATATGCAAAGCATTTTATGAACAAGCAATTATAAAATGAAATAAAAGACTTGACTACGATTGGGAATGTATCTCTTCGAAATTTGACGCAAAGTTCTTCATTGCCGAAGCTGAGACTTTGTAACACGACAGAGAATAACCCTTGGCAGGGTATTTGGGGCTTGATCTAGGCATCTTTTTGACTCTGGCGACCACGGAGAGATCGCGAAAGCTTCGAAAGTGCCAAAAGAAACAGTATACACGCTAAGTGTTCTGAATCAGGGTCACGTAGAAGGAGAATGAAGGGATACTGTGAATGATAGCCGGGGGAGGCATTAGTATTGCGCTATTGACTGGAACTATGGTTGGGATTGTAAAAGATGGTGACAGAAGAGAGGGAAACGTTGATGTGATTGTGAGTTGAAGAAAGAAAGAAAAGTCTTGAAGAGAAAGAAAAATTGGCGGTTTTACGTTGGAAAAAGAATGTCGGCCCCACCAAATTCAAAGCCCCCACATCTGGCCGAGGACAGGACAGTCGACAGTAGCAGTCTTGGCGCCACCTTTCTCTTTCCCATTGCCTTATCCATGTTCTGGTTCCTGGACTGACGTCGTGTCTTTCAGCCTCGTCTCGACTTGTAACAACCGTGTTCAACCAGAACTTCATAATCAGCAAAAACTAACTTGGTCATATTTACTTGAATATTGGCCATCATGGCGATTCCTTGGGACTCGTAAGTTGATTTTTACTATTATTTTGTACTTGTTCAAACATGATCTCTTGGCAGCCACTTATACTTCACTGTCTGTACAACAACTAACCTTAACAACAGACTCCGTTCCCTCGTCATCTTCTTCGGACCCATACTCTTACCAAAAGCTATATCATACTACCGATCAGTCAAGAATAACCCCCACGGCCGTCATGTACCCATAGTACCCGTCCCGTTTCGAATCGGAGTTGCGCTCGCGCTTCTCGCTATCCTTATCATCACCTACATCGTCCAGACGCTCCCGCCCTTTTCACCCGAGAACCTCTTCCTCGCCACGCAGAGCCGTCTGCAGATCCCCGTCGATGTCCTCTTCAACCGAGTTGCTGTTGGAAGATCGGACAATATCCTTACAAAGCAGGATGAGGCGCTGAGGGGCAGATTCGTCAACTTGGAGAGTCGATTGCTCTACCTCCAATTTGGTCCCGATGTGCTGGCTAACTGCCCGTTCTGTACCTCGGAGGAACCAAAGACCTTCTTCAACTATGCCCTCCCACAGCTTCTGTGGCCTCACATCGTCAACCTCTTCGCCGTTGCTATTGTCACGAGCCCTACTTTCACAGGCCGAGCCGGCGCCCAGTGGCGACCAAAAGCTACAATGGCTGCTGCTGTCATCGCAGCTCTCGATGTTTACTTTGTCAACTCATACAACTACCAGGCCAACGCCCGTGCTCTTCGTCTATCAGAAGTTGACTTCTTCTACTGGACTGCCCGTGTTGCGCGCCTGGTGACTCTTGCTTCATTTGACGCCGCCCTTGGATGGCTCTTATACCTATCTGCCACGAACCGCGCATTCGTCGAACCTCCCTCGCCCGTGGAGCGTATCGAAGCAACCGCTCGTGCCTTGATGGTAGTCAAAAGCAAGCTTAGCGCACTTGGCATTGTTAAAAACACAGCGCTGCGCGACGAAGATCTTCGATCACGCAGTCATGCTTATTGGAGCCATGAGGTTCGTCTCATGGGTGAAGTTATGGAGGAACGGGAAGTTGTAGAGGGAGTCAATGATGCATTGAGCAACCGCATCGACGTTGCAAACATAACAAGAGACGCCGAAGGTTATGCACAGAATGTATTGCAGAACTTGCAAGCAGAAACAGATGGCTAGACTCCTTTCCGTCCTGCTGCGTATTATCCCAACCCTTCTTCTTTCAAAAGAGCTATTCATACATAGAGGTCTATGACCATCAAAACTTGGCATCGATTACCTTGAAACCCGTATCTCGTTCTTTCTCTTGTAACAATGTCCAGTGAAATATCCCCCCCTGCGAACCCCCCTGAAACATACACCGTGTTCATTCCTCACATATCCGTTTAGTGTAATGTCCACATTCAAACTCAACATTCATCATTAGCTCCTGGACTCTGGTTTTGTTGACTCTGGTCTCACTGGCCCCGTAGCCGCACTGCTTGAGCTGCCCTTTCTGCTTGGCGTCTCTATAGCACCCTCTTGAGCACTGCGTTCCAAGAAGTTTGCCCAGAGTTCTGACAGGGACTCCTTCTCCTTCGCAGAAGATGTGTCCGCAAAAATGTCAGTGTTGAGAGAGGGAGAGCTCGGTGTGCGATTAAAGGGTGACATTGGTAGACGCAGATTATTCGAGGTGCCTGGACGGGCAAGACCAGCTTGCTCGCGCTGCTCGTCGGTCCAATTCAAATATCCAGCCATGACCTGGAGGACCTGGAAACGCTTGGCGTCACCACGGTCGAGTGTAAGGAAGTGAAGGAGGTGGTTAGTGACAATTTGTCTAGTTGGGGTTAGCATTAAGTCGTCATAAATAGGAAGCAGTAAACAAACCTGTCTACGTTGTCCTCTGGCTTGGTCTTCTTGAGATATCGCAATGCCTTGGTCAAGTGATCATTCAACACAATGGCTTCATGCCTCAACTTTCCAATGAGAAGGTTCTTCTCCTTGACTTCCTTCTCGAAAGGCGCAGTTCGCTCAAGCTCTTGGGTCAGAGTCTGCTTGGCTGTCTCGGCTTCAGTGGCGCGGGCATCGGCTTCTTGCGCCTGCTTCTTGAGGCCTTGAATCTGTGCTTCGGTGGTCTCGACCATATCACGGAGCTCCTTCTTGCGGGCATCCTGGATCTCGCGGAGGGCGTTTTGTAGGTTCTCAATGAGAGTCGCCTGGCTATCTCTGTCCGCCGTAGCGCTCTCGTAGTTCTGTCGTAGCATGGTGACCTGTTCCTCTAGTTCCGAGACCTTATCGACCAAGCTCTCCTTGATGGAGCGCTCCTCCATGGCAATGACCTCCCATTCGCCCATGGCATTCGCGGTTGTCTCCATCTCTGACTTGAGATGTTGAACATGTCGGAGCAACTCTTCCTTCTCCTTGCCCCAATTCTGTGCCGATAGGTTGTTTCGACTTCGGAGGGTGTTGAGTTCCCTAGTCGCATCTTGTAGCTCCTCCTTTAATTTAGCGACATCGTCACCAGATGACACTGCATTATTCCTGAGCTCTTCGTTCTCTGCCTCGAGCTCTTCTATACGCTCTTTGCTTTCTTCGAGTTCTGCCTTGTCGCGCTTGAATCTATCGCTCAATGTCTGCTTGATCTTTTCGACACGACCGAGAAGGGTCTGGTATTCCTCTTCGGCGTTCTCCTTGGCAGCATTGCTCTCTTCCAGGTCGCTCTTGAGCTGTGTGACTTCGCTGCTGTGCGTCTCTTGGATGCTCTCGAGCTGCTTCCGTAGCTGTTCGACCTCGGCCCGCAAGGCCTCTCGTTCCTGGCTCATGGCTTCTAGCTTGGCAGATGTGTCTGAATCGTCGGTCTTTTCTTTTTCGCCATCAACTGGTGGGGGTGTGAGCCCGTTGCTCTTGTTCTGGAGCTCTACGGCATGCCCGTTGCTTTGGACGGTGGGTTTTTCGTTTACGTCTTCGACTTGTGCATCGACTGGCGTCTCCTGTATTATTGATACATGTCAGCGCGCGCGCAATTGCATGATATGGGAAGCGTCATGGCTACGTACGGGCTGAGTGGGTGTCTCGGGCTCGTCTTCGAGGGCGTCTTTGTCCGAACCCTGTTGAGGCTGAGAAATATCAGGCTGCTCCTCAGAAGCCTTGTTCTTGTTGGCGTTCTTCTTCTTGTTGTTCTTCTTCTTTTTGGACGACCCTGCACGAGCGGGAAGCGAGGCCCCATGGTTAGGACACGTTCTCGAATCTCCATTTCCACCTCCAATTGCAGGGGTAGGGATTGCACGCACCTGAATTCGTCACTTGGGTCGGGTTCGTTGTAACAGCGGACGACATGGTGAGCTTTGAATGCGCCAGTCACGATCATTCAGAGGTTCAATGTCGTGCAGGTATAGTCCTAGCGCCGGGGTTGCTTTTACGCGATAATGGATGCAGAATCTAAAATAGGTAGGTCAGGTTGGGTGCGTGTCAGTACATTAACAGTACAGAGTGGCCTCCCTCGTGTTGGTGTCAGGTAAGGTAGGTCAGTGGGAGGGATGGAATTCCACCACGTCAGCTGGGGTTATGGTGGGATTAGTGGACGTCAGTCCCTGAAGCTCCCTGGAGCTGGCAACGTTTCAACGGCTGCGGCGTCATTCCATCAAGTCGGGTCCGAAAGTACCGGCCGGCTACTACAGTAGCATTCTATCAGTTATAATATCAGCTTCTTTTTCGAATCTGAAACCTCGAGAACCAAAGAGACTGGTTGGATAATGATATATGTTGCGCTTTGATTCACGTATCAGATTCGCTGCCGTCGAGACGGTACAAGCACGAAGCAATTTGCTCAATTATCCACGAGTCTCACTGCATACAACCATTAATCTTACTTTGAGCAAGCTCTAGATGTGTGCTTACTTTTCTAAAACACGTTTAACAAAAATGTTGTCTAACAAATGGGACATCCCTTCATATCTTAGTATTCCATATATCTGGCTTGGGTACCTATTGAACCAATACCAACTCACTGTTTATAATTGACTCATCTTCGGCAATCCGTCAAGGCTCTTTAAGAGATTATTGATATCTAGAGTACTCCGAACTGAAGAGACTAACATTGGCCTAGTTTTATAGTGTTGTGTCGTGGCTTAGCAAGATTAGTAGACTGGAGTTAGGAGAATCATGTAAACAATCCAATAATCACTGACACCACCAAGCTACATTAAATCACACATATACCAGGCTTGTATTCCACCCCATACATATACAGAGAATCTCAAAAATACAATCTTATCAAAAATTAACAATCAGAGGGAAATACCCCAAGTCAATGGTGAATAAGGACGTTCTGCTCAAGCTGTAGGTTAGCTCCAAGCGAATACGGCTGAGTCATCTTGAAAGTGGATCCTTGCGACATTCTTTTTTTCCTTATTGCGCGCGCGTTTCGAATCTTTTTCTTCTTCTTCACATATTTTACCCTTCGCTATCACACTTTTTGAAATGGACCATTGTATCCCATGGCTTTTTCATCATCGTGTACGAAGTAGACTATAGAACGCCTTTCATAATCCCGTTGCTTGCTCTTTTATTTTCTATGAGTGCTATGGGTTCGCTTATGTGCGTACATATCTTCACAGTAGACATAAATTGTTTTAAGCAAGAGCTTGTATCTCGATATATAAGTTTCTAGTACTCATGCAGCCTTGTGACTGTACTGGAATTTCGATACTGTTCCCCTCGCTGTTATACTTGTGGTATTCCATGGGGATGTACCGTTCATCTATACAGCTGAAAGATAGAGAGAATGGAATCTAACAACGAGAGTAACAATATCACGAGCACCGTCACTCAAAACATGCGTACATATTATCGCGACATTTTCCCTCGTCAACAGGGCTGCTCACATTACACGTACACTTGGTGATAACAAAGTGATGTCCAATTGCATTCATTTCATTATGGATTCCTTTTGAACTATATCTATACCGCTTTAAACTCCGAAAACCCATTGAATCGAACAGTTTTGTACCCGATCAAGCCTTGGTCTTGCGACCCTTGCCTCCTTTTGTTGCCTTGCCCTTTGCAGCCTTTGCTTTGGGGGCTGCCTTGGGCTTGGTCACAACTTCGGTCTCCTCGACAACTGTCTCAACAACCTCAACGGGCTCCTCGGCCTTGGTCTCCTCTTCCTTCTCAGCGGGCTTGGCCTCCTCGATGGCCTTGGTCTCGGTCTCGGCCTCGCCGTTCTCGATAGCTGCAACAGGAGCAGGGACGTCCTTCATCTCGGGAGTGTCAAACTCGTAACCAATCTCCTTGAGCTTAGCAGCCCTCTTTGAGCGCTTAGCGTTCTCCTTCTCAACCTTGTTGGCCCAAGCAGACTCGCTCAAAGGCTTCGAGAGGTTGTTACCAGCCATCTTGTTCCAGGGGACCTTCTTAAATCGTCGGTTGGCGCCCTTGAACATATCGTCGTGAACTTGCTCCTTGGGAATAACTCGGCACTTAAGGATGTGACCGAACAGAAGGTAGCTGTCCATAGTCTTGGCGACGATCTCGGCGGTGGCGGCCTCGGCAAACTTGACGAAAGCGTAGTGCTTGCTGGCACCAGTCTTCTTGTTTCGTGAGAGTCGCAGCGCAACAATGGGACCGAATTGCTCAAAGTACTGTCTCATCTCGTGCTCGTAGAAACCGTGGGGAATGCGACCGATGTAGATAACGCCAGCGTCCTCGTTGGAGGCCTTGGCAGCCTTCTGAACGTCCTTGGAGACCTTGGGGATCTTGCCAACGTCCTGGCCGGGCTTGAAGCTGGAGTCGCCCTCGGTCATGTCCTCGTCGCCGGAGTCGAGCTCCTTCACGATCGCCTGGACCTCCTTGCCCTCCTCAGCCTCTGACTCGGACTCATCGGGGATATCGAGTGTGGTGGACTCCTCCTCGACGACCTTGACTTCCTCGACGGGCTTGCTCTTCTTGGACTTTTGCGCCGGCTTCTCGGCGACCTTTGTTGTGACGGCAGTCTTCTTGACAGACTTCTGCTTCTTCAGCGACACAGGCGACGCATCGGCGGGGGCTGAGAAGGGTTTGTTAGCGACATATAAAATAATATTGCGAGTGCTGTATGCTCACCCTTTCGCTTAGGCTGGGCAGCTTTGGCAGCGCCGTTAGGCTTCTGGATGTCAGAAGCAGCTTTAGAGAGTCAGCGCATGAATAATTCGCGATTTTGAAAGTACTTACACTTTCTCTTTCTCAATTCTGGTGCCATTGTGTCTGATATGGTTGTCTTGATGCTGGATACGCAAAAGCTAGACACCCGCAGAAAAAGATGCGTGGGCCATGGGAAAAAATTGGAATTCTGCCATGTCTAATTTAGGCGGTGAAGGACTTTGTCAACTATCAGTTTATCTTAGTGGGGGTTGGGGTCCTTTCAGTGGTTTGGTCCACTAAAAAGTGATCGGAGCTTCTGAAGCTTACAACCAACGACCTCGCGATAGTTTAATGGGTGAAGAGTTCCAGGCAACATTGAACACTTCATTTCTTTCTGACAAAGATCGAGAAATTCACACCTCCTGATATTACGCGCGACACTAGTACTTGCGGGAGAAGAATTAATCTTTATCAACTCAATCTTATTTGACGTCTCATTTCTCCCAAGTTCGAATCACACCGAAAAATTAGGGGGATTACCTGCATCCTCTTTAACTTTACGAAAGTCAACGTCTAAACATATAATGTCGAAAAAGCAAGAAAACTTATCACATGAGGAGGTGTGGGATGACTCTGCCCTCATTAATTCATGGAATGAGGCCTTGCAGGAGTACAAAGTGAGGAACTGAAGGGTACATCGTGAACAACCGCTGACAGATTTGACAGAAATATCACAGCATACACGCAAAAGGTGGAAGTGTACGAGATCTCGAGCCTCAAAACAAGTAAGACTACTTAGACTGAACATCAAGGATAATCCACTAACATGAATCAGGGCCAAGATTGAGACAGAGCCCGAGTCTGAACAACCTCAAGTGTCAGAAACAGCGGAAAGCGTTTTGACTTCAGAAAAGGCGGAGGAAAATAAGGTACGAACCCTTGTGCTAGTTACCTGCTTTACCCGGATCTCGTCCGGTCTTTGGATCTCCTATCTTCCGTGTAACTAACCATCTCTGAAGATCTCTCCGTCACGGAACGAAGCCAAGGAGCCTACACCGTCGCAATCTCAAGGTGTCCCTGCCTTTCCGATACAGACTGTCCTTGGTTCTGGTAAGTCTAGCCCCTGTGACCTTTGTCTACTGCATGATCTGGCTAACCAATCGCAATAGTACAAGACGAAAGCCTCAAGAAACTCCTCATGTCTTGGTATTATGCTGGCTACTACACAGGGTTGTATGAAGGTCAACAACAAGCTCAACAGAAGCACGCGTCTTAAGCGAAGAAACAACGGTATAAGCATATTACCCTTGAAACACGGAAGGGCGGTAGCCATCAACCAACGTGGCTGTGAGCGCCATGAGTTTGGACATGGGTTCTCGGTCGGCCAGCTGCCGTTGATGCGACGACACAAGATTGAGATTGCCATTTTCTCGGGAGTACGTGCATGAAGCAGTTTAGATGAGAGACCTGAATGGCCGTGGGGAATTTTACAGAAACGATGTTAAGATGCTTTTGTGAGTATATATCACATCGGGATATCACATTCATGAGTCAAGGCTTGAGAGGATACAGAAGCGCTAAGTACGGTGCAGGCTCCATAAAGCGATGATATCAACCTTATGCTATGACCACAGCAAATTGCGAGCTTAAGTAGCTTGATATTGGTAAACACGGAGATATTACTGTGAAGTCTTTTCCCCGTGATAAACCCATGCAACTTGAAGCATGGACCAGTGGAGATGATGATATACGTTTCTTTAACCATTTAATTCTTATCTGCTGCATTACGCCAATAAAAGATGGGCGGCTGATGATGGTAGGCAAAACTTGAAGAAACATAGCCTCACAAGGAACAAACTCATCCGAATAAACCGTCGAACAAAATGCGGCCAAAAAAGGCCAGACGAAGTCGATGAAACCTCAACGATGAAGATCAATTAGTGAAACGAATGCTATACTGTTCAAACGGGGACTATAATATTCAATATCTTGGCTTCAGCCCACGACCTCGTCGATAGTAACAAGGCTCCAGTTCTGGTATAGCAGTAGCCTCAAGCGGTGGTAGTCTAGAACGGAGAGGAGTACTCCCGTTCTTGGCTCGTCGGACCTGTCTGTATGTGTAAGAGCTTGGGTCTCATCACTAAAAAATGCACCCCCTGCTGTTGGCTTGCAATACGACCCTATACAGCGCCCAATTAAGAATATTTGCCCTATACTGGGCGCTGGGTAAGAAAACAACCCAATCATTATCTGTCGCATATAATTCCCTTGGCGCTGTCGAGTTGCAAAACGGGGTAAAACTCCAAAACACCAAACGCGATCCGAGACGGATCTGTCACAGAAACGACCCCCCGCACCAGCAGTCGTTTCACGGGAAACCATAACGCTACAGGCCAAGACATGTTGATCGGATCTCGAGAAACCGAAGCGAGCGCAAGCCCAGAGCCGGCTTCTTCAGTGGCCGTGTTTCGAACATGCGTTTGGAGGGCTTGTCTTTCCAAGGGGTTGCAGCCGCCATTGATTGATGTACTATAATAAGAGCAAGCGAGTGCCACGATTCACAATTCCTGTCTCATTCCCATATCTCATTCTCAGTTCACATTTTCTCGATTGTTTCTTCGTGCTTCATTCATTTTGCACCTAGATTTCCTTTCATTGAAGGCAGGCCCTCATTCTTCATTTGAGTCCCTCTTAATCAACTAAACCGATTCAAATCTCTGGCAGATCATCTCTACCTTTATTCTCTTTTTTACTTTTTAATACCCAGAACGACATCATGAAGACTTCAACTCTCGCAATGGCCGCTTTTGCGCCAATGGTTTTTGCTGGTCGCTTCATTCGACGAGACCACCCTGAGCCTGCCATGGCTATGCCTGCAGCTCCTGAGCATCCCGTTGCCGCTCCTCCAGCTGAGCACCCTGCTGCTGCACCAGCTCCTCCTGCTGAGCATCCCGTCGCTGCTCCCGCTCCCGCTCCTCCTGCAGAGCATGTTGCTGCTCCTCCCGCAGAGGTTGTTCACCCCGGTGTCACCAAGGAACACAAGACCGAGATCATCATCATCTGGCAAAACCCTGGAGCTGGTGCCGAGACCACAACCGTCAACGAGAAGGTCACAGTTACTGAGACCGTGACCAAGGGTGGAGAGGTAGCCACTCAGCCTGCCGCCGCCGCATCTCACACTGTCACCGTTGGAGGCCCTGGAGGCCTTGTCTACCAGCCTGAGGAGCTTCACGATATCCCTGTTGGTGACACCATCGTCTTCGAGTTCCTGTCACAGAACCACACTGTCTCTCAGTCTGGCTTCACCACCCCTTGTGATCTTATGGATGCTGGCATGGACTCTGGATTCATGGCCAACCCTAACAACACTGTCTCTCCTCCTCCTCAAGTTGCTATGCAAGTCATGGTTGACACTCCTTTGTGGTTCTACTGCAAGCAGGGCAACCACTGTGGTCAGGGTATGGTTTTCTCCGTCAACCCTACCCTTGAGAAGACACACGCCATGTTCAAGGAGATGGCTATCCAGCAGAAGGGTGACGGCAAGCTTGCTCCTATCCAAGGTGGTGAGCCCGCTGCTCCCGCCGAGTCCAAGCCCGCTGCTCCCCCCGCTGCTCCCCCTGCTGCCCCTCCCGCCGAGGCTGCCCCTGCCCCCCCTGAGGCTACAGGAGTTGTTCCCGGCAAGGGCACTGTCGCTCCCGATGGCAGCTGTGTTTGCCACGTCTCTTGTGCAGCTGGTGCTTTCCCTGCCGCTGCACAGGGTATCAACTCTTTCGGTGGCATGGCCGGTAAGTTTTAATCCTTCAATCTCAACTCGTAAAACAAAGACTAACAAGATCTCAGGAGGTCTTCCTTACAACATGGGTGCTGCGAGCTAAGTAACGACATGAAAGACGAGGAGTGTTAATACCACGGAAGATTGCTTAGTAGTTTGCGATGATGTTATTACTTGAATGTACCATTTATGTATGGGTTTTAGACGGTCTCGATTATTTCCTTGGGTAGCCTAGATGGCATTATGAAATCTTCACGGGTTTGAAGATCGGTTTAGTTAGTTAATGGGACAAAACCTATGGGACGAAACTTAATTCTTGATAATGATTTTGCAAGGCTGTGCCTTGAATCTTGATGCCATTATGATTGTGAAATCTGTTTGAAGGAATACCATACCCCTCTGGCAGAGTTCAGGTGATGATACAAGGAGCACAGGGTTGATCTAGATTTAGTACGAGGATGAATTTACTTACAACTGTACGACGGAAATAAACTAAAGAGCATCGTTGATATGACGTATTTGACAGGTCGTAAGTGGTATCCGACCTGCATAGAACAGCAAGCAAGTCGTGCTTGTGTAACTCAGTATAAGTTGCCATGCTATCAATTGCAGACCACTTACTCCGTCTTCATGTTTCAAAACAACTGCAATCAGAAATCGAATGTCAAATTTTTCAGTGATATATGTATTATAAGGTAAATAAGATGCAACATTTGAGACGGGTTAAGAAAGAGGAATTTCTCTCAACACCAGTCGTTATAACAGGATAGCCTTACCAAGTGAAACTATACATTGAACGAATAGCTGACACTTTAAACTACACCAGAACTTTCTGAAACATACATCTATCAGCGTTGACTATGTTTATGGTTAAACGATAGATTTGCCATGATTCAAGCACGTGTAAGTTAAGCATTAACTCATTATGAAGCATCGACAGAGTTTCGACTCAAAATGGACACAGAAGCAGTCGTAACCAGAAGAGATTTTCAGCACCATAGAGTTTCTCCAGACACGCAAGCCATGATTGACTTCAATGTCTTTACATTCTTACTTTTGACTCAATCAAGTGCTGACATCCTTCATGCTCATAGGTCTATGCTGCAACCCAAACAATGACCACTGCAAGACTAAAATGATGAACTCTCAGATCTAAGTGCCTTTACTTCACATGGCAAGACAATATAAGACAAAGACAACATTCCGATCTTCCATGATAAAGAAACCGGATGTGATGGCGTTTCACTCGCCGCTTACCGTACCAAAGTCCCCATTTAGTACCGGATAACCCAAGAGCCGTTGCAACATCTAGGGAACCTCGTTTATCGTTACTCCCCGGTTCTCTCAGAAATTAGTCTGGTCTAAGCCTTACCAGTCCGTTTTGGATCCCAAGGTTGGAGCTAGAAATGGGGATTCTTGAAGCCGTGGGGCGGAGTAGATTTTGACATGCTCACATCCATCTCCCTTTAGTTGTGCTGACTATTTGAATGGCGTTCAGCCACACGGCAGAAGAGCCGAGCCAAAGCTCATGAAACAGGTCATGTACGTACCACATTCTACAGAGTCAATTAATGTCTTTTCATGATTTGTCTGTCTTGTTTAACAACTTCCACAATCAAAGTCAACTTGACGATATGAACAATCATCACAATAAGAGTATGAACTCATAGATAACTCAGCCAGCCATGATTGATCAACACAAAGACCCAATTGATTCCCATTCTATCTATGACGAAGAACGATCCAAGGTAACATCGTCTATCTGCGCTACCGCTATTCTCCGATCTTACCCCAGGAATAGATACGCTATGTGCTGCTGGACGCACTCTGAAGCCACGGCCGTCTTAGCCGCGCTGACTCTGGTCCAAGTCGCTAGCTCGGCCAGTAGAGGTTGCAACATGGCCGTCCACTCGGGAGTTGTGAGAAACCGAGACTCGAAAAGGTCCAATCTCGTTACATTCTCTCGATGAGATTCATGTCGTCATGATAACCTCAAATTACCACAGACCCTTCAGAGGTAACCTCGCCATGAACTCAATTGATACCAGCTGAGAGGCCCTCTTCTCCTCAGCCTCGGCGTACGCCGTGCGTCTTGCCAAAACTATCCTGACCATGTCAAACTCTTTCTTATATATACTATCTCATGTAGCTCCCTCAGTGATTCTCTCATCTTTATCACACAGCATTACATTCTCTCCAGTTTCAGTGGCCTAGTTACCCATCCTGCACACACTCTCTCACTATCATTCCCAATATAGTCAGCATTCATTCCCTTCTCTGAAGCAGATATGCATATCTCCACTCTCTTTGCCTCTGCAGGCCTCATCAGCTCTGCCTTTGCTGGCATCCTACCTCGATCCTACAGGATCCCCTCATCTAATGTCTTTCCCAATCCCAATGCTGATCAACTCAACGCCATCAACCTTCAGGCTGGTGGAAAGCTCCCTGGAGCTCCTCTGCCTACCTCTCTCGGCGATGGCTCCACAGTAGCCTTCCAACTCATTGCTTTCAATGAGCTCTTTGAGACTGCCTATTTCAGCTCTCTACTTTACAATGTCACCCATAGCGTAGAGGGCTTCAAGGTAGACGACGATAAGCGGGCAGAGGCCGAGAAGATTCTCAAGACTATCATTGCTGTAAGTGCACTTGCAAATCATCACCGCTTATATACCAGATGACTGACACTCTACAATAGCAAGAGGAGCATCACGCTATCGGTGCATTGGCTACCCTCAAGTCAGCGGGCAAGTTCGCCCCTTCGCCTTGCAAATACCAATTCCCCACCACCGATCTTAAGACCGCTATCCTTCTGGCCGCTACCTTTACTGATGCCGTGCTCGGTGCCCTCCAAGACGCAAATGTCATCTTCAGCAAGGAGGGTGCCCACGAGGTGGTACGCCTCGTCTCATCCGTCATTGGTCAGGAGGGTGAGCAGACTGGCTTCTTCCGTCTCTATCTCGACCAAGTCCCCTCCGAGTCCCCCTTCCTGACCACTGTCCCCGCTGCCTTTGCCTGGTCTGCTCTCCAGGCCTTTGTTGTGCCTGGATCATGCACCGAGGACATCTCTAAGATCGCTCTCCCCATTTTCCCTGGCCTGATGGTCAATGGTGGTGCCATTGGAGTTCTGGAGCCCAAGGATCAGACCCTCTCTTTCAGTGCTGAACTCAAGGAGTCTCACCACGGTAAGGATCTTTACATCACCTACACTGTTGGCCAGCAGCTCCCCTACAGCGTCAAGGCCGAGAATGTCAAGTGGGACGGAAACTCTGTCACTCTTGATGCTGAGTTCCCCTTCTCCGAGCTCGTTGCTTCAGGTTTCTCCCACGCTGCTTTGACTACTTCTTGCAACATCTCCACTCCTGATGACGTCCCCAACTACACTCTGGCCGCTCCTGGTCTCATCCAGGTCCAGAACCCTCTCTAAGCTAATCCCAAGGAATTGGCCGACTGATGGAATACGAAGTTGTTTCTGGTACTTAATTGGTGGGTTTGGGAATCGAATTTCGGTGTTTGGGATTTAACATATGGCTGAAGTTATTGCATTTTACTCTTTTCCGTAATAATTAAAAATGATTGGTTATTACCAAAGTCCCAAAACCATGAAGCGATCAGCACCGATCTGATGCAGGATCCCGTCCCTCCATATTGGATATTCGGGACATTGGATAAACCTTCTCGTGTGCCAATGCCAATGATATGTAAGCTGGGACATTTCAGCTGAACGTCTCCTCAGCTCTGATAGCTGGACGATCGGGGAATTATAATTTTAATCCCATCTCGTGAACTCATGCAAAAGTAATCAGACCGCATTAGTTTGCTGCGGCTGCTTATATTGACTTCAAGCCTCTCGAGCTTCGACACGATCCAATCATGACTGCAGGATAATCGAAAGATATGTGTATGATGAGATTTTGTGTCTTCCTCGACCCTTTCCAAGTTATCATCCACAGAACGAGAGGTTTTGATTGACACGTTTTTGGGGCAAATGAACCTCTTGCCACCAATGTCGTGCTGACCGGTACCAAGCTTTGGCTAATGATAGCCAAAATCAAACCTTGAATCTCACTTTGGGGTGCATTAAACCGGTCGGCAATGTCAGATGCTAAAAACTTCTCTTCGATGGAGTAGCTCAATCATCTTGCTGCTTGACGCCCCCCTCTTCGTCGACCTCGTCGGGGAGATTGTCGTTCATACGGATAAGCAACTCCTTGAGTTTGCGACGGTTCTTCCTCCATGTCAACAGATCCTCCTCATCTTGATCTCGGATTGAAGGCGTCACCTGATTGCCATGCTCGTCTTTGAGATAGTCTGGTATATTGTCATCCTCCTCCTTCTTCAAACCCCGCTCTGCAAGGTTATTTGGTCCGTCGCCAACGTGCCACGATAAAGGTACTAGATGCGCCTCTTTGATATGGTCTTCGAACCCCTCATCATCTTCGAACTCTGGAGGCCTTTCTAGGCGTCCACACTTTCCCCACAGACACTCAATAGAGTCACCGTGAACTTTGGAGACATGTCGTCGTAGTGTCTCAAGATTGTGTAGCTCAGCCTTGCAGTCCATCCACTCACACAGAAAGGGGAAAAACTGAACGTTGGTTCGATAATAAAGCTCTCTTGGAGGGGGAGATTGAGGTTTTGGCGGTCGTCCTCTTCTTTTAGGAAAGCCGACGAAGCCTTCGGGATATGGCCGCGGCTTGATTTGTCGGGCCTGCCGACCAGCTGCAGCTGTCCCTGGTAAACTTTTTAGTTTTTTAAACGATCCCTTAGGTCTTCCTCTTCCCCGTGCCGGCGTTGTCGACGTTGCATTGCTGGAATCACCAGTCTGTGTTTCATCTGGATCCGACGGCCTGGAGACGTTGACTAGTTTGGATAACGTGCTGGGTCTTCCCTGTGGCGTCAAATCTGACATTACTGGCGCATCGGAACCATCGTCCTCAATGCTATCCTCTTTGTAAGCGCTGAGACTCGTTGGCGGCCTTTTCAAAGCAACGTCAAGATTTGACCGGCCACTTGATGTCAGGGGTCCTGGATGTTGCTTAAATGGGCTTTGGGTATGTTTTTTTGGTCGTCCAGCTGGAGGATCTGTCGAGTCCCCACTAACCGACACAGAATCAGAACGTTTAGTATGCGGTGGTAATTTGACGTGCTGGATACTTTGGCCAGGCTTGCCACGGTTCACGGCGCTGAAACTCATGCTTTACACTTCAACACGCCTCGACGCGGTGCAGCGCGAAGTAGCTGGGCGTGTAAGGTAATAATCGATTGCAAATTTGATGCGCAAAATATGTTGTCAGTGGAAATCGTTAGATGTAATAACAATTTGCGTTAAACTTTATATCGTTCATCAGTTTGTAAACGGTTGTTGTATTGGGAAGGATTGAACAGCCAAGTAGACTGGACAATTGGCGCGAAGGTGATGTCTGCTCACGTGCCTTAATGAGTTTCATTGTGGAAAGAACAATTGATTTACAGACAAAGTAAACCTTCAATTCTCATAAAAACCATTCCATCAATAGATATTAATAATACTTTCCACCAGCTGGTATGCTCTGCTTTTACGATTTTAGACAGTACGTTGATATTGAGGTTGTGGTTACATGGCATACAAGCTAAAGTCGAATAAAGGTTTGATTCATTTCGCATAAACTACTTCGTGTTTGTTATACAACATAAGTATGAAAACTCCGTTCGTGCCATCATCAATCTCATTCGTTTACCCTTCTCTTTCTTGTTGATTACTTTACTACAAAGGAAATCCAACTCATTAAACTTCGGTCTCGACATCGGGCTTTCGGCCATCTAGTGCACCAAGCTTGGCCACCTTTCTGACGGCGAACTTGGCTTCATCCTTTACGAATTGGAGGTTGCGCATTGGGCGCCATTGCATGAGGCCTCGGTGCTTTCGGTGCATATCGCGGCTGTCAGAACGATAAGACTTGATCTTCTTGATCGGGTTCTTGCTGCTGGCGCTGGCCTGAGAGTCGGCGGTTGCACTTGTCGCGTTGGTACCTGTGCTGTCAACTGAGGTGCGGCCATTCTCAGAAGGGTCCGTTAGCTCAGTGTCACCGTCTTGGATGCCAAGATCAGGATCAGAGTCGTTCTCATCGAAGTCATCATATTCTTCGCTGTCATGACTGTGTCTCTTCACTGACATCAAAGCAGAAGGATCCTCGCCAAAGGCGCCACTCCAGTCAGTACCATCCTTGGCTAACCACTTGGCCTTTTGTTTCTCATCAGCCTGAGCGAGAACGTCACGGCCATGGGTCAAAGACTCCTCGTGTAGCTTTTGAATCACAGGAGGTACTTCGGTCTCGACATCCTGCTTGCGCACGCCTTCTGCGTAACAGGCTTCCCAGGTCTCGATAGTCTCACGGTCGTCGTTGCTGCTCGCAAACTTGATATGGTCGGAGTCGGTTCCCGGAGAGAAGCGGCCGTGGAACCTGAGTCGTCCAACTTGTTCCATATCGATATCAGGAACTGATCTGTAGTTTTCTTCTGTGATGTAGTTCTGGGATAGCCGTAGGCTGTTGTTACACTTCCAAATAGGGATGTCGAAGTCCTTGTCCTCACCATCAACCAGCTCCAGAAGCCAAAGGACGGCATAGGCGTCGGCGTGTCTCTTACCACTGGGGTAGAATTCTATAAAAATGGGCGAACTGTAGCGGTGACGAACTGGCAGTCGAATGCGCTCACTGTTATTCTCGCCACTAATGTTGAAAGACATGCCGTCGGCTTCACGCGTAGAAGAGCTTTTGCCAGTGCTGGCGGAGGAGCCACCAGTACGGAATCGAAGCTTGACATGGTTCGCCGGGGCATATCCAGTGGTTGTAATAACATTGGTCATAAACTCGAAAGTGCCGATATCCCAGCCCAACTGAGGAGGAGGAAGGCGGAGCTCGACAGAACGGAATAGCAGCGAGATGCGGATACGACCGAAGCCAATCCCTCCATCAAGAGGATACCACCTGGTAGACTCACTGCTGGTTTGTAGGATGTCAGTTAGCTTAAGGGGAACGACACCGATGAGAGGGTCGTGCTGTCGGTTGCGCGAGTCACGAACGCCGACAGTGACGATAGCGGAACGCCAATCGCGGATGAACTTTTCCGTTCCTGCGTTGAAGATGGGCTGAGAAGAAACAACCTTGGTTCGAGTCTTATAAATAAGGTCGTCGTTAAGGAGGATGGTGCAGTATGAACTGGGGAGACTCTTGGATTGCTCTTCCTTCACTTCACCGGCTTCTGGGCGGGCTGGTTCGTACTCGCGACCCTTTCGCTTTCCATTGGAGCCCTTGATGTTTTCCAGTTCCAAGCCAACAATCTGATGGACAACGATGCTCAGAATACCAGAAGGCCACAATGGGTCGGGAGGAGTGTGAATGACGGCGTCTTCCTCTGCGTTGTCGATAGCGCCCTTGTTCTCTTGAAGCTCAGGCTTATCTGCGAGTTCTTTGGGAAGACTGAGATCCCGACCATCTGTTCGGAGAGCCTTACGGAACTGTGTCTTGCCAAAGAAACCCACTTCCCAGTGAAGCTCTCCAGGCATTTCACTCTCGGCCTTGACACCTCGGAGTTTGGATACCTGAGGGAACATCTTACCAGGGTGTTGGATAAGCTTCTGGATACTGAGTTCAACTTTCCCAACGACATCATCGGCAGATGATCTATCGCTGTCCCAGAGCTCGACTGACAACTGCTCATCAGCCTTGAGAAGATCGGCAGTGACAAGTAGGCCGGCGCTCTCTTCGAAAACGGGGTTGAGATCATCCTGGATAACTCGGGTACAGAACTGAGGCTTGGAGAACTTGCTCCAGCTAATGGTGATGTAAGGGTCAGAACCACCGCCCTTGCTTCCGCGTGCATCCTGTTTGCTGAGACCGGTAGCCTTGTGAATACGAACGAACATGATACCAAGAGCCAAAGTCTCCTTCTTGATGTCATCACCCTGGAGCATCTTTCCGAGATCAAGCGACAGACTCTTGGGCGCCACATACATCGATGCGGCAGCACCTATAGCCCAGTTGACAAAGTTGGAGATGAGAGGTAGGTTAAGAATATTGACGCCCTTCTCAATCATTGGCGTGCATCCAGCCTGGACTTTAGGAATGCCCATGAGCGTGAAGGTAAGAGTCTTGAGGAAGGGTGGATCAGGAGTCAACTGAAGTCGGACTCGAGCAGTCGCGACAAGGCCTTGGAGTTCGACCCAAATGGGCAGCGGGACGCCAAAAAGTCCCTTGATACCAAGGTAGAAGACCAACTGCATGCCCATGTTGCGAGCCTTGGAGGCAATATCTCCACCGGAAGGCTTGGCATGGTAGGCGATAGCAACCTCGAGGTTGTAGAAGGACCCAGCTTGCTCGTTGGCTGCAAGCTCCTCGGGGTCGGTGTTCTTCTCGTTCTGTCGGTGCTGTTCGTCTTTGATATCTTGGACGTGGGAGTCAGGAAGAGCGCGCATGTTGAGGATACGGATGGGGTTGTTGCCCTGCGAGATATCTGCGACTCGAACGTTCTCGATGACACCGGGAACAGAGGCAGCCATAACATCTTCCAGACTACTTTTGTTAGCATGCATATATGAGTCTTGGAGGCAGGTGACTTACGTATCGGCAACAGCAGCAAACATCTCAGGGTTAATGAGACCCCACATGACTCCCAGCATCGTGTTCATCCATTCAACTGACTCGGGGATCAAGTTCGCAGTAGCAGTCTCGCCACGGTCTTGCTCACTCGACCACTCGAGATCTCTACCCTGGCGAATCAAATCCTTTGCCCACAGGAAAACTCCTGACGCGACGCAGAAACCTAGAGGGATGAGACCCAGAAGACGACCACCAAACATCTTACCAATAAAGACAATGGCACAGAAGATGCCGGCACACAAGACATTCGAGCGCTGCTCAAGAATGGCAAACATTGGTTCGTAGCTCACCGAAGGAGTCTTGTAGAACACGACAGAAGTTTTCTCGCTTCGGATGGGTACATCAGATGTCGCACCCTCCTGAACAGGGTCTGGGGGCGCAGTGACATCTTGGGCGTAACGGTACTCCTCTCCAGATTGTTTTGAAGAGGTTGCGATAGTGGCAGGCTTTCCTAGGTTCTCATTGGGAACTGACATCTGCAGAGGTGTTAGAAAGGCGATGGTAATTTGGTTTATAACTCAGCCATTAACATGCCTGAGGGTTCTCGACAGCGTCCTTGTAATCGAAATCTGCGTCTCGGATACCAACATCCTTTCCTGTAACCGGATCACGCACGGTGCGAACATCCTTCTGATTTCGAATAGCTTCAGCTCTGTTTTGTCTGTGATCCTTTGTCTCGCCCTGAATTTTGTTCTGATTCAGTTCTTGATCAATCTGAGCGTCGCGCTGCTTCTTGTTCTGGTCCAGCTGGTCCATAAACTCCTTAACATTGGGAACGCGGTTCCGGCCGCTGTAATGCTGGCCGGCCGAGGGCACAGTCTGCTGCTCAAACTGCGACATGATGGCGAACCTTGTTGTAGCAGTTGGAGGACTGAGTTAATTATCAGTTTCCTCAGCAAGGTCGTCTCGGATATAATAGATGATGGGGAAGGAGAAAGGGAAGAGAACGTGAGAGGAGGGGGAGGAAAGGAAACAAATATTGTGCAATTGCCTAGCGTCACACAAATAGCATTACTTGGCCCATTTCGATTGATTCATCGCTTTTGGGATGGTTGCTTGAAACGCAATCAACCAAGGAAACATGGAATCATTCGTTAGCCAGACATGATTTAAGGTCGATCGATGACGTCGATTACAAGGGAGCTTTGGCCCAGGTCGATCATTTTTTAGTGCATGTTAAGAGCCGCGTCAAACCCATGACGGGAAACTACAGCGGGGAGCTTTACCCCCGCACTTGTGGCTGGACATTTAATTCCTGAACGCCATCAAAGTGACGTGAACAGTCATGATTTTTGTCGTCCAATATTGATAAGTCTTTTTATCATGTGCAAACCCGAAACCTCTGCCCGATCATCTTATCATGGATGTAGATGTAAGCCAAGACTGCTAATCGCTGATCGAGAGCCAAGGTCCAGGGTTACTTGTTCAGCCAGACAAGGAATCTTATAGCCCGGCTAACAGGGAATTGTCAGTGACACTAACGTACATGCAACACATCAACATGATACGATCTTCTGTCTCCACCTTCAAAAGCTTGCGTAAATGGCTTGGAACCCAGTAAGCGTTCAGCTATCATCTTGATCATCCATTGGTGCCCTTCAATCCTTGTTTTCCAAGATGAGCAACACAAATTCTTCTTGGCATATTTCCCAATTCGGAATCTAGAAGGATGCCTCGCCTGTCTTGGAGTCAATCTCCTCACCCGATAAATCAACAGCCGGTTCCATCTTATGCATGTCATCAAACTTCTTATAACGGAGCGAGTCCAGATCAATGTTATTAAACTGTCGCACCTGCAAGCTGTCAGTCACTCGATATGATCTCAGACCAATAGTCTTTATAGTACGCACACTGATACCATATAATGGGTTCTCGGGCCGTTTCTTCTCATAGTCTATACCTATGCTGGCGCCGCACTTGGGACAGAACATGTGGTCGCGAGTTTTGGTGTTGAACATGTATCGACCGACACGCTTGTCTGAGCCGTTGTGCCATGTCACTTTCTCGTGTGATGTGTCTGAGGTACAGGTTAGCTTTCATTACCTTCGATGGAGTCAAAATTAATGGAAGTCTGACAAACAAGAAGATAACCTCCTCGACGGCAGATAGAGCAATTGCAACTTATAACCTCATGCTCAGGTAGAGGAGGAGATAGAGTTACAGACAGGCCAATGTAACCACAGTGGCACCCTGCCTCATAAGTGGCCTCAGGCTTGTTATCTTCGGTTGACATGTCGATCTATCTGGATGAAGGTTTGTAGAGAACGAGAAACTGGTCTTTGGTACACGATAATTGTATAGGAATGAACTTCGTATTTAAAGAGAATTATTTATAAGCAACTGAATATTCGGAGGAATTCCATGCCTTCAATTTGCAGGGGCAGTAAAATAGATCTCCAGTTGCCAAATTGGGACTCCGAGAATCCTTTGAAGTTCCACCGACTGGGGAGAAGTAAGAAACAATCCACTCAGATGAACTTGTCTCTAAAAAGTCGGACTCGAGTTCGGACTTTGAGTTCCAATCTGTCGGGTTGTCTTGAGTTTTCAATACTACAGGATTGACCCGAGCTGGTACCCTAGACACCATAGAAAATGAGAACAAGCTATGTTCCGAAAATCAAATTGTAAGTAAGCACTGTAAAGCCGAGATGAAAAAGGAAAAGGGAATCTGCTAGTAATCATTGTGTTTCAATACGAAAGTGTCCATATATGAATTGCTTAATACAACAAGATCCTTCTTGAACCCTGTAGTTGACAAGCCACACTCTCCTGTACGATCCTGCTCAGGCATCGAAATCTCCCTCATCAGTTCCTTCCGTAAACCCTGCCATTTCCACATCCGAAGCGACAATATCATCTCCTTCAAAGTAAGAAAAGGTAGGAACGTAAGTGTCGTCATCATCGTCATCATCGTCATCATCCTCTTCATCGTCAACCTTAGATCTCAGTAACTTTTCCACGGTGTAGCGAGTATGCTTGGTCTCATCTTGCTTCGCCCTCCTGAACTCATCCTTCCTTTTGGAGTAGCGAAATCTTCGCAAACGATATGCCAGAACGACCTCATCCTCAACCAAGTCATAGTAGGTTGATTGAGCCCCATGGTTTGCTGTCAATTCTGCAGAAACCTCGACTCCTGTGCCTGGCGGCCCTATTCCCATACCTGCACCTCCGCCTCTATCGTGAGATCGTTCTGCTGTACGTGATACAGTCTTTGCGACACTGATTCCGACTACCATGTAGACTGGAGCACTAAACAAGGAATTGCGAACAAAGCTATCGACTTGCTGCGTACGCAGTGCCTTGTCAACATAAGACTTTGATGGGATAAAATGCTGCGCTCGAACATTTTTCGCCTCAATGGTGAAGGATGTGGTTTTGGACCAATTTCCTTCGATGAATGGAGAGGCGCCCAGTACAGCAGCGAGAACAGATGATGCTCCAATCTTGGAGCCGAAGCCAGCATCCAACGCATCGGTGAAGCTCTTGGTGACTTGCTCCCGTTCGCTGACAATGGCCGAGGGGTCAATTGGCTCGACTTCTTTTCGGTTGAGTATATCAATCGGGTCATTGGGGTATTTGAGTATGCTCCCAAGGACTAGATCCACTGGAGAAAGGCACTCTTGTGGAATAATCCAATGTCTTTTTGGCTTGTCGAATGCCATATTGTGGTGTTTCTGCGCGCTTTTAGGGTCCAGTTAGTACGGGGCATTCAGCAATAAATAAATAACCACCGCATGAAGATCGTCAAAGGCGCTGACAGGGTCCAAGTCACGCCCATAAAGCCAATGACGTTACAGTGCAGCTCAGCTGAATATCGGCGGGAACAAACCCTCTGATATAAGATGCCTGAAGCCTCGTTCAGGCCATCAAAATGTGATAGAATTTCCCCGCCTATGCTTACGCCGAGGACGAACATCACACATTCACTCGTCTATAGCAACCATGAGGCCCGAAGACTACGCCAAGTATATGCGCGACCATAAATTGGACCCTGAGAATCGACCAAAAGATCGCGGCGACGCCATACACTCAGCTATCCTCGACAAGCGAGTTTACATCGCCATAGAGCTTCTGAACCTGTACCCAGAAGATTGCCTCGAGGCACGAAGTCGGACGGGATCCAAAAATTGGCGCACTCCGTTACACAACGCCTGTGAGCATAACCGTACATTGGTTGTTAAGGAACTTCTCGATAAAGGAGCCGATTCCAATGCACGAAGCTTCCACAGATTTACTCCGCTCATATTCGCAGTTGAAGCAGAGAATCTTGAGATTGTGAAACTTCTGGTGGAAAAGGGGGCCGACGTCAATCTCCAGTCCAATGCAAAGACCAATGAACGAAGCGCACTTCATGTTGCCGCGAACATAGTGTCTCCGGACATCATTCTGACTCTTCTAAATAATGGGGCAGACCCAAAGCTTGTGACGAAGACTGGCAATACTCCTTTGCACTTCGCCGTTCGATCTGGTTGTGCATCTGCCGCCGCTCTTTTGCTGTTCCATGGGGCGTCTCCTATAGCCACAAATGAGAAGGGAGAATCACCACTCAGTCTGATTGAGAACTTGGGAAAAGACGACCACAGAAAGTTTACTCACATCTTCGAGTGCGCTCAGAGGAAATGTGACTTTGGGGACTTCTTCAATCAACACCTTCGGCAGAATCCACCAATTGATCTTGTTTCTGCGTTACACTGGGCCATCTCGCATGACCTTGACGGAGCTCTTGCTTACCTGTTACATATTGACTCACACGCTATAGAGGCAAGGCTGTCTAGCGGATGGTATCCGCTTCACGTAGCAGCGAGGGGTGGACATGAGAAATGTGTTGCGATTCTTCTCGAACATGAGGCAGAAGTTGATTGCAAAACCAAGACAGGCTGGACACCACTAATGATGGCCGCTGAAAAGGGCGATAAGAAGGTTCTTCGAATTTTACTGAACCACGATGCGAACTGCTCAGCAACTAATGCGAATGGAGACACTGCATGGAAGATTGCCAGGCACCATGGCCATAGGTTCCCAATGCTTTTGGCAGTCAGGCATGTCAGTCCGTCAAATGTAAATCGTGAAGGAAAGGAAATGGACGGAGATGACCGATTGGCACCTCCGAAGGAGAGGCCGTACTGCAGAACGCCCTCTCCAGGTCCAAGGGATGTCATAGAAGAGCCAGGTAAGTACACTCAACGTCGCTCATTTGCATGCCTGAACGTAAATCTTACACGTACAGGCGAGCTGTTCGCACTGTCAGATGCGAAATCTGACGAGATATCAACTCAAACACCCCAGAAGTCCGTTTACAGTACTCTAAATATTGACTACAGTGCTAACAAGACTTAGCTTGGAGTATTTCGAAGACTTCCTCAAGACTCTGGAGCAAACATGGTATAATAGAATCCAGTGGGACCCCGAAGATGACGTGGAAAACCCTCGGAAAGATTGGACTGGCCCAGTGAAGATCGCTATACTTGACACTGGAATCGACCTCAACCATCAAGACTTTGACCGGCGAGCCAAGAGAAGAACAAAAATAGGATTGAAACACGTCTCAGAAAAGAAGCAGCGCGAACGGATCAAGGCATGCAAGAACTTTACAGATGGACCCGAGGATGATGTGACTGATAACGACGGTCACGGCACTCATATTGCCGGTCTTATCATGACTATTGCTCCACGCGCGGAGCTATATATTGCAAAAGTGAGCTCATCACAGAGACCCGAGAATAAAGAAGGAAGCTCAGCAAGGGCGACGAAAAGGCGTGGGAAAGAGTCTCATCCAATCCAAGAGGTACTCAAATATAATTCCATTCCTTCTTTTGTTCTAGCTAATAATGTTCGAGGCCCTGAAGTGGGCTATTGAAAATGAGGTCAACATTATCAACATGTCACTTGGCTTCTCTGAACTAGGTTCTCTCGAGCTTACCAAGACTCTGACAGATGCAGACCGCAAAGGGATCAGTGTTTTCGCAGCCGCTTCGAACCATGGCAACCGTAATCCCATAGCCTGGCCAGCGCGTGATCGCCTTCTGGCCATTTGTGTAGGATCGAATGACGAGATGAATAAGCTTTCAGCATTCGCTCCCAGTACAAATAAGAAGTTTCCAATTTTTGTCACTTATGGAGAGAACATATACAGCCATTGGCCCGGCGGCGGTTATCGCAAGATGAGCGGTACATCAGTCTCGACACCGATTGCTGTAGGCATGGCAGCCATGATAATCGCCTTTCTGAACAAGACAAATGCATGGCCACCAGATGCTAAAGCTAACTGTCTTGGGAGGATAAAAGAGTGGCGGATAAGAGGTACTGCAGGTATGGGAAGAGTATTGGAGAATATGTGTCGGGACATCAATGGCCTCAAGCTTCTGTCACCAAAACTGATGTGGGAGGATTGTACTGTGCCGAACCCGGAACCGATACAGATTCTCGGTTTCTTGAGTTATTACGAAGGTCATGAAATAGGCAGTTGATAAATTTAAGTTGACGATAAGCGAGTTCCGAAAGGGAAATAATACAATGATTGGGTCCGACGATAAACATTGGCAAGACCCAGACAAATATTTTGTTAATCAAAAGCCAATGCCACGGACTGTCTAAGGCCTACTAGGCCGCCTCTGAACATAAGATTCAAGCGCCCTGAACAAAGTCTGGGCAAATTTATTTATGGCCTTGTTGAACGGCTTCTACCGAGTTGCGGCAGTCCCAACACGGGCGCTTAACTAACACGAGCGGAGGTTTAAAATAGGATCGCGCCTATGATCCCAATTCGGGGCGCTTGATGTTGGTCTAGGGTCAAGAATAAGCGACCAAGATATGCGAACACGAGAGTTCAGCTTGGTATTTTGTTAGGTGGGACGATTGTAGTGATTGGAGTGGAATGATTCTCTTAAGCGTTATGACATGTTTTTTACCTTGCTTGTGTAAGTGATTCAGACCAATACTGAGAGTGGGAGCCTCCAATGCTGAGTAGAGGGCCTGGTTAGGCGCAGAACGCACAAGACCAAGCTGTGAACTACCAGAGTGATGTATACGGTTATTTTCAACACAATTACCAACAGTCAACAATATCTGAACTTGATTCCTTTTATTATTCTGCTCTCTTTACTCAATCAATAAGTCTTGATTTAGGCTACTGGCTAGACCTTTTAGCGCTGCCCAAAAGGGCCCACTCTAGGCCCTGGCTAGTCGGTCGAGGTCTGAAACAACGTTTCGACACTGCACGGCCAATCGTCCACCTGCTTAACCCCGGTCTCGAGATTGACTATACGCCAAACCACCGGCGATGTCGCTCAAACCTCAGGAACACAGCGGTTGGGGATGAAATCGCATGAGTACCAGACTTAGGCGCTGGACTGGGTCGATTGGTCCGAGTCGCTGCGACCTGTTGCTGCCGGACTACTCCACTCGGAACAAGCAACCGCTGAAACGGCTCTGGATAGAGACTCACCCGCGGCCAAACATGAAGGCCATGATACGCCAGCGCTGATGGGCTTCTCTACATGTTGAGCCCGAGCGGAGCCTAACATTAGAGTCAACCGTTGACGCGATTCGATGCGGAGGAGATCGAATCGTGAGTCGCTTCGTCGTTTGGTTGGCTCCTCGAGTGAGGAACTGCTTCAGCTTCTGTAGCTTGCTTGGTTTATTCGATGGAGGTTGCAGGGATCGAGGAAAAGTCTGACCTACATGCATGTATATGCATTGTCTCCAACAGATTGAGTTGTCTGGTGTTGGTTGTATGACTCTTTTTTTCTTAAAGAGTGTCCCGGCCAGCTGTTCAGCGAACCCCTCTTCTGCTTTCCCATTGTTCTCCATTCATTCAAAGCCCAACAATAATGGTGTTCAAACACCTCTATTGACACCAATTTTTTCCTTCTCTCTATCACTAATTCACTTCTATTTTTCCTTATTGTTCACTTATTGACTGTTCGGACCGGTTCCACAATCAGAAACTTTCGCTTGCCCCTTCCTCATCAACTAACTTTATATACTCTGAGCCATTCACTTATACAAACGATTACTTCGTCCTTTCACTGTTCAATCATTTCCATATATCTAACCAGATCAGCTTTCTGCGCCCACTCAAGAGCGCTCGGTAAGTTCTAGAGATACCGTCTATAGTCTCATTCTGACCTTTTCTTCATATAGCTTTTCTTTGAACACTACTTTCGATATCATTTCGAACCCATATCCATTTAACAACACTCCCCTATTCTACTATCTTAAACAAAAATTTCTCCGATCATGTTCGGCGAAAAGATCCGTGGTCCCGGCATGATTGTGCTGCAGGTACTGCGAGTTATCACGATCATCAGCCTTCTCACAGCCGCTGCTGCTTGCTGGGTTCTCGTCATCAAGATCAACCGATCTACCGGATGGTTCTTCTTCGAAGCCATGTCACTGGTACTCATGAGCTCCTCCACCATCTTCCTCATTATCTCCGAGCTGCCCTTCTGCAAGAGCTACTTCCAGAAGAGTTGGCCTGTCTTCTCCGACGAGCATGGCCTCACTTGGCTTGGTGTTGGTCTCCTCCTCATCGGATCCAATATCCTTGGAAAGCTCAACTCTCCCCACAACCGCGACAATAAGATTGGGCTCCCGTTTTGGCAGCTCATTCTGGCAGCCGGAATCCTGACCCTGACCTCTGGTGTCCTCAACCTTATCTGCTCAGTCATCTTCCGAGACCGCGACATCAATGCTCGAATGATTCGCGCCGATGGCTCTCTGGCTCGGGCCAAAGAGGATGCCAAATCTTTCGGCAAGTCGAATTCCAACTACAGCGCTTCATTCAGCGAAGAACGACCTAAGAAGACGTTCATGTCTTACTTCTGGAAGAAAGACGACTCGCACCCTAGCTCTCCACCACGACGCAACATTAGCCACCCAATTTCCCGACCCAACATCAGCCAGCCTATGGATCATGATGTCGAGCGAAACGCGCCTCCTCACTATGACAATGATCGAGACGACGACTATGACTTGGATCGCCGCAGCCCTATCGTGCCTGCCGTTCGCCGCCCTGACACAGCCCTACACCCCATGAACATCCGACGGCCTGCGAGCCCTAGCATGTACTCTGAGGCGCGTATGTCCCGCTTCTAGACTAGTGGGTGTGACAAGTCGTACTGTTACAAAGACTACCTTTGTACGTAAGTGAAAGGGACGGAAAATTAGGAGGCGTTTGGGGACAAGGAGTCAAATACCCGGAGGTCCACCAGGAAAGGACCTGTATCTACTACCTTCCTTTGCTTGTTTCATAGCATTGTTTTTAAGTCGTTATAACAAACTTTACCAAACCATCTCATTCTGTGACTCCTGCGTCTTGGGATACGAAAATAAGTAGTCTAAGGACTCAAAGCTAAGGGACATAAACTTACCTACTAATTTCGTCTCTTATGCTTCAAGCGGTCAATTTTTCTGGTACCCTTAGTCAAAGAGCAAGCTATCTAACATGGTATCATAATTGAATTATTTCATCTGCCTGGCAAGTAGTGGTTGCCTAAACCATAAATTGAGTGCCGACACTCAAAGGTGCATTTGCCTAGAGCATGTTAAAGATACTTTATTGGGATCAAAGGTTGAAAAGACAAATCGCTATATAAAGAACGCTTCCCTCCAATTTTCATTGCCGCGCTGGTTAACAAAAAACGCACTGATAGTTGACAAAGGCTTGCCGCTGCACAAAGACCTTGACTGCTACCAAAATAGAGACTTGATATTTTGGTCCAAAAGAACTTGAACGTAAAAAGAGCAGCCTTCGCCCTCTTGTGACTTGTTCCAATATTCTGTTTGTCATTATCTACCGCGTTTGAGTAGGCGTACCTGCCCGTCAAAGACGATTTTGTTGGAGTGGAGCCTCAGGCATCCACCATCCTCCTTCCTGACCCGACGGGAACTACCTTGCCTCTCTGACCTAGCTTCGCCTAGCCTGACCCAAACATCTCCATTATCTTCAGCTTGCCTCACACGACCAGTTGCGCTCGTCTCCAATTCTATCGCCATGTCTGGAGACTCTGCTGAGGTGGCGGAGGATTATCGCCTCGCGCTGGAGGACCTCTCCTCCAATTTGCGCTTCGAGATTAGCAACCTGACTGTGATTGCTCGCGAGAATACTGAACATGCCCTAGCGATCGCGGAAGTTTTGCAGCAACACATCCTAAAGGTAAGTTGTGATCCCAAGTCTTGGTTTGCAAGACGTGTCCCTACCTCTTCACAATGGCTGACCATTGCTATAGGCTGCCCCAAGCAAGAAGCTCCCAGCTCTGTACGTACTAGACTCGATCGTCAAGAATGTTGGCACTCCATACACGCTCTACTTCGGTCGCAATCTTTTCAAAACATTTATGGAATCATACGCTGTAGTCGATCAACCTGTGCGTCGGAAGATGGAAGAGATGCTTAGAACATGGAAGGAGCCTGTTCCTGGATCTATGGACAGCAGACCTGTGTTTTCTCACGAGTTGGTGCGACCTATTGAGAATGCACTCTTGAAGGCACGCGCCGCTACCATGCCCCAACCGGGAATGATGCCTGGGCGACCGCGATCTTCTGTGCCCCATCGTGATACCCCGACACCGCCTGGAATGAGATTTCCACCAGGCCACCCAGCTCAACAATACACATCAAATGGAGGACAGTCATTGAGCAATGACATTCGGAATCTAATTGTTGCCATGCAGGCGGAAGCCTCAAGGAACCCACATGATCATGGTGTTCAGACTAGATTAAGAGCACTCTATGACCTGCAGGGCGTTGTGAACACCAATAGCTTGCCCCCGGATCAGCTTGAGCTCATTAAGAACAAAGTAACTGAACTTGCTGCCGTAAACATGATGGCGCCTCTGACCCAAAGGCCTGCGCCTACTCCTCCTGTGCCAGTTCAAGCACGCCCTATCCCAATGCCTCCAGTGTCCGTAGCTCTTCCTCAGCCTGCAGCTCCGGCTCCGGCGCAAGAAGGTGTGACGCTTGACGCGCTCTTGGGTAAGGGAGCGTTGGCAGCACTGATGGCAAGGCAGTCGGCCACTCCTCAAAACTCGACGCCTACTCCGCAGCCACCCCTCGTTCAACATGAACCACCGATGCCACCAATGCCTACGATGTCTGCGATGCCAGCCATGAATATGCCAGCCATGCCTATACCGACAATGTCAGCAACATCTACACCAGTGCCGCCAGCAGGAGCGGCAGCACCATGGAGTCTTCTCGATCAACTACGAAAGTCTGGCTTACTCCCACCAGCACTCGCATCTGTGCCTGCACCAGTTCAACAAGGTGGCATCAATTTAGCTGCTCTGAAGCAACCGTGCCAACCTTCTTTGGTCCGACAACTACATAACGACTTGGGCCAGCCATGCACTCAGTGCGGCAGACGGTTCCGAGATGACGAAGCCGGCAAGAAGAAGAAAATCGCCCATATGGACTGGCATTTCCGTGTCCGCCGGCGGACCGACGAAGCTGAGAAACGAGGCATGCATCGAAGTTGGTACGTTGACCAAGGCGTAAGTACCAATCCTGAGTCCCCCTCACACGACAAGATTACTAATGAAATACAGGAATGGCTAAAGTCAAGAGAGGTCGTCGACGTAGACCACATCCCAACCGCCGAGGACGTTGCCGCGCAAGCTTCCAAAGTATCTGAGGCTGCTAAGCCAAAGTACATTCCCGTCCCTGATCCATCTCGTGGCATCAACCCTGTTTGTCCGATTTGCCAAGATCGCTTTGAGAACAAATGGCTCGATACTGCACAGGAATGGGTATGGTTGGATACAGTTTTGGTCGGTAACCGAGCGTACCATGCTTCATGTCACGCAGAAGCAACCCGAGATCGTGAGAACACACCAGTGCTGGGCAAGAGGAAGGCGGAAACAAGCATTGCGTCACCCAAAGTCCGATCCCTCAAGACGTCAGCTTAAAGAAAAGCGTCGTTAACATTATATCTATACTATATAAACTGGGCGATAACCGGCGTTATGGAATTAGCATTGAAAGAAAGGGATGGCATGGCGGCAGTTGCGCATTACAATGGAGTTATGTTCAAGGGCGTTTTTAGCATTTTGAGTCAGCCCGACTATTTACAGTTGCTATAGTTTTGATGAAAACAGACCAATGTCCTCATATTATTTATGTCTCTAGCTTTTCGTGATAATGTTCTCCTTAGTCTCTTGTCGTCGAAACCAACATTGAACTACCGGTTCAGTGGAGCCGAGTGCGGTCCGCTGAGCCTGGATTGGCCCCACGATTCACTCTACGCGGACCTGAACGCGTTCAAGCGTTCCGTACCTACCGTTAGTTGCGCTCCACTGTATTTTGTCCTAACGTTAGCAACTCCCATCCAACCTCTAAAGCTTCAATCTCTAACCTCAAATTCGACCAACAGCAACACGACACGACGGTCGCTACAAGTTTGTGCAACGAGAAAAGCTTACCTTGACTGTCACTATCCGGTCATTGGCCAAACTGCAGCGACCATGGCAGTCGACTGCCCAATCTGCAACAAGCCGGTAAAACCATCCGAGATCAACAACCACATCGACTCGGGATGCGAGAAATTCGTGATAGATAAAGAAAAAGACCCGACACCGCCGCAATCACAGGCACCTCAAAGTAACTCGCAAAAACGCAATGCCTCGAATTTCTTCTCTACGCCCGCCCCGAAACGACAAGCTGCTTTCGAAAATCGATTACCAACGCCAGTTAGGGAAGCTGCCCTACAACCAATAGTAGGGAAGAAAAGAACGTTCGAAGAGGGTCCTGGAGATGGATTGGGAGGAACCACAAATGATACCGACGGCGCGACGAACGGAGACGGTGTCAACGGGACGAGTGGTTGGGACAAAGCAACAGAGCAGGATGGAAGAGTGGTGAAGAAAACCAAGACACAACGAGCTGCGCCCCTGGCCGAACGAATGCGACCACGAACACTCGATGAAGTATGCGGACAGGATCTTGTTGGGCCAGCAGGCGTTCTGCGGTCCCTCATTGAGTCGAATCAAGTACCTTCCATGATTCTATGGGGTGCTTCAGGGACAGGAAAGACGACAATAGCACGCTGTATCGCGCACATGGTTGGCAGTCGGTTTATCGAACTGAATGCTACCAGTACAGGAGTCAGCGAATGCAAGAAATACTTCCAAGAGGCGACCAACGACCTTGCTTTGACTGGTCGCAAAACAATCATCTTTTGTGACGAGATTCATCGCTTCAACAAGGCTCAGCAAGATGTTTTCCTCAAGCCCGTTGAGGCCGGAACTGTAACACTTATTGGTGCTACAACGGAGAACCCATCTTTCAAAGTAGCAAGTGCTTTGCTCTCGCGTTGCCGCACATTCACACTGCGGTCTCTTACAACTGAGGATGTGGTGCGCATTCTACAACGAGCGATCAAAGAAGAAGAATCGGTATATCCACAAACGCCACTTCTGGATGAAGCTATGGTCACATATCTCGCCCGATTTGCAGATGGCGATGCTCGTACTGCTTTAAACTTGCTCGAACTTGCTCTCTCACTCACAAAACGTGAGGGTATCACGCAGGAGGATATCAAAACTGCCCTTACAAAGACCCTCGTATACGACCGTGCAGGAGACCAACACTACGATACTATATCTGCTTTTCATAAGTCTGTACGAGGAAACGATGCAGATGCGGCGCTCTATTATCTAGCTCGCATGCTTCAATCAGGCGAAGACCCATTGTTCATCGCCCGCCGTATGATCGTGATTGCCTCTGAAGACGTCGGACTGGCGGATAATACCCTCCTGCCCCTCGCAACGGCCACATACACAGCCACTCAACAAATCGGCATGCCTGAAGCCCGCATTCCCCTCGCCCACTGTACCGTCGCACTATGCAACGCACCCAAGAGTACTAAAGCGTATCGCGCTCTTAACAACGCCTACACAGCTCTTCGTGAACCAGGTGTCGCTGGCCTTCCTGTACCCCTACACCTGCGTAACGCACCTACACGACTTATGCGTGACATGGGCTACGGAGCCGAATACAAGTATCCACCAAACTACCGCGATGGACGGGTGAAGCAGACATATCTACCCGACGAGCTTGTTGGACGTCGTTTTGTCGAAGACCGGGATTTGGGTACGGAGGTTGACCCAGATCTGGAGATGGGCGGAACTTAATTTTACTGTTTGAATCTGGGATAGACTGGATAAAAGGAAACGGATAAAAAAGCGCGGTTTGCATTGTATAGGAGTCCGGACAGGTTTGGGTTACCCCTTTATGGGCTTTGTAATATGTATACTATTGGAGACTTGGTTCAAAATGACAGGCTCCCAATTAGGTTTTAACAATACCACAAATGTTATCATTTATCCTTCTGTACTATTTTAATTGTGATTGTATGAACATGCTGTTCGCTATATAACGCCAAAACCCAATCCCAGAACGCCTTGCCCATGCCTATTCGTTATGTGTGAAGTGTACATCCTTAATCATCCTGTGTCAAATCTATAAATCCAACGTCACTCACCCGGACAACATTCGCCCTGACCCCTTTGCGCCGCAGAGTTGCTGTCTCCGTAGCCACCAACTCATCGCGCTCTTCGGCGTCTACCTCGATCTCTTTGAAGAAACCCACAGCACTAGCCCTTGGGATGAGTAACTTCTTCTTCCGTGCAGGGGCGGGGCTGGGGGCTGAGTTCTGGCTTGGAGGAAGGGGTTCTTGCTGCCTCTTGGGCGACGCAGAAGCGCGGGAGACGAGAGATGAGAGCGGAACGAGATCTGATGATGAGTCACTATCAAAATCATCGTCAATGATCTGCTGTGACTTGGGTTGCCGTCTCGGAGGCGGGGGCGGGGGTTTCGTCAGAGATTGTTGCGATGAGCTTGAGATTTTGGACGTTCTGGTGAACATGTCCAAAGAAGTCTGCTTCAACTTGGTTGGCTGGGAGCGCTGAGAAGAATCTGCTTGGCTCGAACGTATAATGTCCCGCTTCGAGCTTTTCAGCCTCTGGGGAGAACCATTCGACACAGTAGTTGTACGCATCGTGTCAGACTGATGCTGAGAAGCGGAGGTACGAGTCCTTGCTGGTGGTGAGGGCGACGGGGGAGGTGACTCTGCCGCACAGGGCGGGCTAGATGTGATAACAATCGCCTGCTGTTTTCCGTCCGCGGAGCTTCGAGTTCTAGGCGTCACCTGTGAGCTGGCAAGTGACCAAGGGGTGGCAGTCTGCCTGGCGGGGCTCTCCGAGGTGGACATAGGTTGCTTACTTGACTCCAGAGGGGACGGTATGCGTAAGCGTCGTGATGTTGTTTTAGGGGCTGATGAAGTGGCTATGCTTTTCTCTACAGCAGTCGGTTTGGAGGTTATCGTGGAAGCAGCATGGGGCTTTGTCGCTCGCACAAACTTGTTAAGTGCACCAGCAGTCATGCCCGTCTTCGACAGAGCATTGGATTTCTTTGGCGCCTTTTGATTCGCCTTGCGAAGCTCTGACGCTCGGATTTTGGAGGCTATAGCAGCCTCCTGAACGGCAAATGGCTCGCTGGTCTTTGCCAAAGCTTGTATTATCCAAATACCCAGAGGACGGGTCGGATCAAACTCCTTTTCCACGGCCTTGGAGGCACACTGCTCGATATTGTCCGCAACTTCGATCTCATCATCGCTGTTCAGGGCAAGCCCGGCTCGGCCTTGTACAATTTGCTCGTCTTCCTCCTTGGACATGTCGATGGGAACCATATCGATCGGGATATGCTGTAAACGGGCCATGGGAATTGAGTCATTCACCAAATCATTTTTGACACCCGTCACCCCCTTTATGAGCCCATCATGGTCGTATCCTCCTACAGTTTGAAGCTTCTGGACAAAAACTGCATGGGACAAAACCTTGATGAACTTCAAAGCACCCACTCGATAATCCCAACCAAAAACCTCGCGTGTGAACTCTCGCAAGTCTTCGATCTGAATTTCACGTTTCATGTGAACGTTTGCACGAATATCGCCCAGACTCTCAACACGCGAAACAACCGGGTGTGTGTAGTAGCGCAGGACCTTGAAGTCGGGAAATGTCTCTGGGATCCTCAGCGCCTGGTTTCGTCGTTTGAAGTAACCCTTTTCGTTGGTGCGCAGCTCGTGTATCAAAGACTCTCTCCAAGCCTGGATCGCTTCTTTGTCTGCTGACTTTAGCCGACACAGCTCTTTACCGAAACCAGCCCTGGCAGCCTCGAGAGCGACCTTGATTCCACACCCGGGGAGTCCATCAGGATTATAGTCGCCACCGCTCATCAAGGCGACGAGAACCATGCCTTCTCGATCAAGGCCTTGCGCTCCAAGCTCCAGCTTTTTCGCATCGAGAAGCGACACGTGTGTTGGGTTCGTTGATCGTTTCGATTCTGGTGACCATTTTCGCAAAACCTTTGTGCATCCAAACATCAGCGCATCAACATCCTCCGTCAGAACCATATCGACAATTCCATGCTGTTGTAGCAGAGCACACTCTGCTTCTGCTTCTCCTGGCGCATCGTGGGTGTTGCAGCCAAATAATCGAATTAAACGTTTTGCTTGCGCATTTGCGAAGGAACTTCCACGGCTGGATTGCTTGTTTCGCTTGATCGCGGGTTTGTAAGGGCCGTCGAATACGAAGATGGGTTCGACTGGGCATGCTAGGAGTCGAACTAGACGGTAGAACAAGGTTCGGATTTCAGGATTGGTGCCACCTGATTTTTATTATAAGATTACAGGTAACCAAAGTTTGAAGTATTGTCAATACGTACCTTGAGCTGCTTGGTTCTGGAATTGCCAAATCGCAACGTCAATAGCAATTCGCAGAGGCCGGCCCTGCTGCTCTAGAGACTGTGCGGCAAGTTTAAGAAGGGCGATTCGTTCGCCTCCACCAATCTCTTGATGAATCCTGAAAGAATTAGTGTTTGTTATTGTAATAAAGAGTCGTAAAGCCTCACCCCTTGATACCCATTTCAATCTCAAGAAGCACACCGAGAGATCTAAGTCCCCCTTCAGTTTTGTAGTCGATGATGTAGGTCAAAGTTCACGGCCATGGACCCACGTCGCTGCGGTTACCAAAACGATATGTTTTTAGGCGGTAGATCGGCGCTATAAACGCCGACATTCAAAGATCCATCAACCAACCAGCGTCAGGTTGCACGGTTGCGCCTAGACCAGGGCATCTCGTCGCCAACACATCGACAAATTGTAATAGAAATCATCAACCTCATCAATCATGGCCTCGAGCGCAGGACCTACTACGCTCGCTCATAGAAGCGTCGCTAGTATCCGTGGAGGTCCTACTCAGGGGTCAGGTCCCTCTACTCCACACACGCCAAACCGCTCTTCTGTTGTACCAAGCTACGGCTCACCATCAGCCATTCGTGCAGATGACGAGTTTATCATTGTTGAGATAGGTTCACGGCATATCAGAGTCGGGTTTGCGGGTGATAAATCGCCAAAAGTGACCCTTCAGTGCAGTCCGGAAGACCAACGGCGAGCTGGAGATTTTAGAGGTTGGCAGCAACCAAATCGGACTGCTGGGCTGCAATGGTCAAAGGACCATGAGTTCTGGCGATACGACTTGAGAGATATCGAGCTTGGCTTGTTCCAGGACAAGATGGGACGTGTACTACATGATGCCTTTTCAAGGTAAGTCATTACAAAAAAAACTGAACGAATTCTTACTTACACCATAAAGGTACCTACTCATCGATTCTCGACCAAGAAGGGTTGGTTTGGTTTTGGACTCCGGTGTGCCAATGCCATTATTGACAGCTACTCTGGATATAATGTTCAACAGATTTCAGACACCAACTGTGTCACTAATGTCAACCCCCACAATGTCGGCTATCTCAGCAGGTGTCCGATCCGCTATAGTTATCGACATGGGCTGGGCAGAAACTGTGGTCACCAGTATATATGAGTATCGGGAGGTCAAGACTACCCGCACAGTTAGAGGTGGTAGAGCCCTTCTCGATTCAGTCTATTCGACCATGGAGAGTTTAATACCAGGAGAGCACGATGCCACCAAGAAGAGAGCAATCAGTTTCAAGGAATGCGAAGATATCATGTGTCGCCTCATGTGGTGCAAGCCGTCAGAGTTCCGTTTATCTCAACGGCAGTCAACCCAACTGGAAACCGTGGATGAGCAAGAAGAAATTGAAGCCGAGTCAGCGGAAGCTGTTGGTCCAGCTGGAGTTATTCATATACCCATCAACACAGGGCCTCGTCCATTGACAGTGGAGCTTCCCTTTGAGAAACTCGCTCAAATCTGCGACGACACCTTTTTCGATCCTTCAGCAGACCGAGCAACATTCGATGACGACGAACTACCCTTACACTTGCTATTGTACAAGCATCTTTTGCAGCTACCCCTGGATGTACGAGCTATCTGCATGTCGCGAATTATGTTCACGGGGGGCTGCTCAAATATTTTGGGTATTAAGCAAAGAGTAATTGATGACCTGACAGCCATCGTGAAGAAGAGAGGATGGGAGCCAGTATTCGGGAAAGTCGTGGACAAACACAGAAACACTACTAGGCTCCATCGGCAATCCAGCGCCACATCTCCAACAGAAGGATCACCGCCCTTATCACAAGCTGAAGACGAGGGGGTCAAGTCTCCCAAGAGTGCAGCTGATACAAAGCATGAGCACGATCCAATCGAGGCCAAGGTTGCACGACAGCGAGAGACAATGCAGCAGGTCAAGGGCCAAATACGCGTGGTCCATACCCTTGGACCATGGATCGGTGGAAGCTTACTTTGTCAACTCAAAGTACCCGCCATGGCAGTAATTGATAGGGATGCTTGGTTACAACACGGCGCCAGTGGAGCTTCTCGGCCCAGTGATGTCGATTACAAGGTACAACAGAGACAGAGCATGCAGGCTGGAGGATATGGCCGAGGAGGTTACGGTAACTGGACTTTGGGTGTCTGGGGGTCTATATGAGAGGCATTTGATCTGGACGATACGAGATGAGCGCTATCATGACATGAATGAATGTATTGATTGATGCAGGTGGTGGAAGCGATGGCCAGGGCAAACCCAGTCAGAGCCTCCAACTACTGCAATAGTATACCCAAATAAACAAAAACAGATAAGGTCAATTGGCATAATTGCCTTGTTTGCTCTTTTGCCAAGATTGAATACGTCCTAGTTACAATCTGATGATGGTCCAACAATTGACGGTCCGCAGCGGCTCGGGTAATTGCATTAAGCAAGCTCTCCACTGTTAAGCAAGCCCCAAACTCGCTGATCAGTTCCTGATACTTCAGTCATGCTTTATATGAGCTGCTCACTCACAACTCAGCAGCAGCCGCCATGAACAGGATATTATTGCGCCTCAAGTGTCGCAATGTGCAGCCGAGGCTACTAAGGCCTCATCCAGTATTGACTCGTGGCTTCGCAGATGCTAAGCGACCACCATCAGCTCCCAAACCAATCGTCGATATTAAGCACATTCGCCAACATGCAGAACTTTATCAGCAGACTTGCGTAGAGCGCAATTATCGCAAGCAAGCGCAAAACCCAGCTAAAATTCTAGAGTTGCACGCAAGATGGCAGGATCTTCAGCGACAAGGCCGCGCGCTGCGTGAGCGATCAAATCTATTGAGACGTCAGCTTGCGAACCCGGCCACCAGCAGCGGCGACGAGGATCTTAAGGAAGTGCGCCAATTGACCCGCGAGCAGATTCAAGAGGAGGCTCGACAACTTAAGCAAGATCTTTCTGCGATTGAAAAGGGCGAATCGCAGGCGGTTACGCAGATGGAGGAGCTTGCGCTGGAATTGCCTAATCTCACTCATCCGGATACTCCCAAGGGAAGTGAGTTTGAGGTTATGAGTTATATCAACGATCCGCCCACTTTCAAGGAATCTCCCGAGGATAAGATTTGGCGCTCTCACGTTCACATTGGCTCTGAGCTTGGACTTTTCGACTTTGCCGGTGCTGCTACTGCCTCCGGATGGGGCTGGTATTATCTTCTTGGTGAAGCCGCTCAACTCGAGCAAGCTTTGATCCAATTTGCTCTTGCAACAGCGACCCGTCATGGCTGGACACAGGTATCACCTCCCAGTATGGTCTACAGTCATATCGGTGCTGCTTGTGGATTCCAACCTCGCGATCTGAATGGAGAACAACAAGTCTACACCATCGCTCAATCTGCCGACGATGCTGAGCGTGGTGTCCCCGAGATGTGTCTTACCGGAACCTCGGAAATCGCCCTTGCAGGAATGAAGGCCAACACTACCATCGACCCCGAAGATCTCCCTCTCAAGCGCGTTGCCGTCTCCCGCTGCTATCGCGCTGAAGCCGGTGCCCGTGGTGCCGATACCAAAGGCCTGTACCGCGTACACGAGTTCACCAAGGTCGAGATGTTTGCTTGGACAGCACCAGACGAAGACGCCGCCCAGGATATCTTTGATGAGATGCTCGACATGCAAACAGAGATTCTGTCTTCACTTGGACTTCACTGCCGTATTCTCTCCATGCCATCCCACGACCTTGGCGCCTCAGCAACTCGCAAAGTCGACATGGAAGCCTTCTTCCCCAGCCGTCGAGACAACTGGGGCGAAGTCACATCAGCCAGCATGTGTACCGACTACCAGACTCGGCGTCTCGGCACAAGGACTCGTGTTGATGGAAAGCTTGCCTTCCCCTGGACCGCCAACGGCACTGCCCTGGCTGTCCCCCGTGTGATAGCAGCTCTGTTGGAGAATGGATGGGACGAAGAGGCAAAGACTGTCGCTGTGCCAGAGTGTCTGCGACCATGGATGGATGGTAAAGAGAAAATCGGTCTTGGTGGGCGTCGCTCCAGTGTGGATCGAGTGTAAGTTTGAGTCAATGGAATGAAGCATTGCGTGATTGCGTGCGTGTACGAAATGAGGATCTACTGGAGGTTCGAATGCTACGGAACAGGATATCTTTTTTCTTAATATGAAGGCGGGATATGATTTCCTAGTCGAATTCAAAACACCAATCTGAGACGGCCCTTTCGCTGGCGTGATGGTATGTTGTATATACGGATATACTAAATGTGTTTATAATCTATCCTCTATCCCAAATTATATACCAAATGCTTCACCTTCTTTTCCCAACCTGGCATCCTAAATTCCAAACCAGGGCTTCCCCTCCATGCATACCATCCACTCATCTTCTTCATGGCTCCGACCCACCCTAATTCCCTCTTCCTCCACGTTCTACCTCTAGTTCCGTCTCCCCGATGTTGCACCACGTATATGCCTCCATCCGAAGCCGTCGTCAACTTGGCCTCTCCACGCTCTGGATCTCCACTGGTGTGGTACTCCCTTCTATGCGGTGTTCGATTCGCTTGAAATCGTTTGTTATGATCTAAATCAAGAATCTCGCTCGCTGCTACTTCCATCCACACATCCAGTGTTCGGAGATGATCGGCGTAGATGACGAGGAGCGCAAAGATAGAACATAGACCTGATGCCAGCCAGAATACCCAAAATGATGACCCCTCAGGACCATAAGTGCTTTCGATAGACAATATTCCGGATACGACCGTCAGTGGAAGTAAGAGGCCACCCAGATATGCTATTCGATCGAGACTCCGGGAATTCGCATCCTTGGGTTCATCTTGTGCTTGCTGAGCATGTGCTTGAAGAGCGACTGTGACAGAGATTTGTATACGTCTTTGAAGGCGCTCGGCAAGGTTTGCCCAGTCAGTAGACGTGATACTGCAAAAGTCGCCTCGTCGCTCCATGCTTCTCGTGGTATTCGCGTTCGTTTCCAGTGCGCGAGCGATGGTCCATTGAACATCTACCGAGTCGGATCCTAAAGGAGGCAACGAGTCGAGTTTTTGGAGCCATGTTTCATAGATGAGTTCTGCCACAAGGTCTTCTATGGGTCGAATGTCGACGAGTGCTTGCCAGAGTGAGTCTTCCAACCCTGATCGTTTTGGTGGTCGTTTTCCCTGTTTACTTCTGTCTGGAATCGTGTTGCTCGGTATCCTGGAAGGTCGATAAGGTCGCGACGATATTCGAAACGGAAGGCCATCAAGCAGTAGAACAGGAAGCCTTTCCTTGGTCATAAGTGATGCACGACATATCCTGATCCCCTCGTCTTGGTCTGAATCACTATCTTCATCCTTCTCTTTGGTCTCATTCTCACTCTCTTCCGTTTTCCTCCTCCTTGTTTCCGTCTCTGGAAATTCCCAAACCCATCCTCCTCTTTTCTTATCCAGTTCCATACCAAGCAAGGCGCCCATATCGCATTCACCTCGTACAAGAGCGATTCTTCTCCAGCCGGGTCTCTCCACAAGACCCATCTCTTCTTGGAACTCCTCCGCTGTAAAGATATCCTTCTGTCGACAACTTTGGGCATTCCATTCTAAAAGATATGGTCTGCCAGCGCCAGAGATACCCCGTTCCGAGGATCGTCGCCGAGTCGTCCGGTGTCGGGGCTCCGGAGCTGGAGGGTATCGTGACATTTTGGTTCTTGCTTTGTCTTAATTATTTCGATTCGCTAAAAAAAAGGATTATTCACAAGAAAAAGAAGCTAGTCAATAGATGTGTAAATACTTTTCCTACTGAGACCGACTTAAGTCCAAAACGGGGGGGTTTCACTCTTTTCAATCTTTGACTACCGTTCTTCCCAAGACCCCATGAGCACAATTCACGTCATGAGAGAACTTCTCAGGGCATAATTTCTCCATAATTTCCCAGGCAGATGTTCTTTTATCCCGAGAATTTCAGGGTCCTGGAATGTCTCAGCTAGGCAGATGTTCCCTTGCGCCTCCATAAGCAAGTGTCTGGATGGTCATGTGCCGACTTTCGAAGCCCAGATGACCCAAGTGATAAAGGAGCCTCACCACGCGACATATCCACCTGCGAAATGGAATTACATAAATAGTCTGCAGTGTCCATTTGATGGAATCTAATCTCATACATATGTTACTAAGATTTCAAGAGTCGTTGGCGTATAAGTGACATGCCATCGATCTTTCCGGTACAGCACATTCTCATCAGGGATATCCTACTGGTTCTGTTTATGTAAAATAGCCCTCGTTCGTGCATGGCTCGTCATCTTTATTGAACGGTAACTTTACATAAAATGGCTCTTTCCCGCTCTTCCCTAAACGCCTGACCAGACGCCATTTTAACAGCGACAATCATAGGATGCTGAGACTTCCTATGTTGTCTCTTTGACTCTCCAAATGCTTTCGCGTTGCCTTCTTGTGCTTCATTTCGTCTGTCTCCTCTTTATTTCTCGATTTTCTCTTCCTTCCCTTCTAAGCAGCAGACGTCCTAAGGAGTGTCAAGTGTGTGGAGTGATGTGAAAAAAAGCAAAAAAAGACGCCCCATTGCAAGAATTTCAGATCGTAAACCCATGCGTATACGTACGACGACATGTCCAATTAATGATCGAGGTCAACCGATAACAGCAGTGTCCCGAACTTCCTAAATAGAAGTCGGTATTTCAAAATCAGCGGTGGTGATCATCATCACCATCATGATGCAAGGTGACACTGTTAAACTCAAGGAATGGGTCGGGAATTTCACCGCCAGGAGTAGCTAGACCACTGTCCAAAGGTACTCCCTTTAGGTTCATCGCCCTTGATCCTGAAAGGTCGACACTCTCGCTCTCCTTCACGTTTCGGAAGTTGACGGTATCAACTCCTCGTCCGGCATGGGGAACAATCGGTGGCTTCATGTGTCGAATCAGTGCCCATTGTGTCGTTCTAAAGAATGGATGCGCCTTAATGTCTGATGCACCGGCTCGGGCACCAAGTCGTCGGTTCTCGTCTTTGATGAGTAGTTTCCTTATCAAAGATTTGCAAAGGCTGTGGCTTAGTTAGAAAACGGTTCAAGTTGATTTGTCTGCACATTACTTACTTGGAGATCTGTGGTGCACCAGCATGATCGGGGAAGGGAATATCCTCCCTCAAGATGTTTGCGAAAGTTGCGTTACGGTTCTTGCCCTTGAAAGGCGTTGTGCCGTAAAGCATTTCGTAAATGAGGATGCCAAGTGTCCACCAATCGACTGCGCTTGTATGGCCACTACCCTTAATCACTTCCGGCGCAATGTACTCTTCTGTGCCTACAAAAGAGTTGGTTCGGAAATTGGCAATACATGAACGTGTGTCGATGGTCGGTAGGGCATCTGTGCGAGCTCCATTCTTGCCAACGATCATAGTCGGCTTACCGCCAGGGTCTGACTGCTTGGACAAGTCAAAGTCTGAAAGCATAATGTGGCCCGATTGATGAAGCAGAATGTCTGTAGAAATGGTCAGCGATGGATTTGTAAGCACGATTTCGCAACATACTCTCTGGTTTCAGATCACGGTAAATAAATCCCATAAGATGCAGGTATTCCAAAGCTGCTGTCACTTCGGCGGCGTAAAATCGAGCATCCTCCTCAGGGATGCATTTTCCAGGACGTGTTTGGAGAGCGCGGAAGAACTCGCCGCCACTACAGTACTCCATACACAGGTAAAGGTAGTCCTCAGACTGGAAAGAGTGGTATAAAGTAACAATGAAGGGGTGGTTGCTTGTCGCGAGAATTTCTTGCTCTGCGAGAGCTCGCTTGATCTTGTTTCGCTTGATCATTTCCTTCTTGCTCAGTACTACAGACGGTTAGATGTGGTCGCATGCGTAAATTTGGGACGTTAACATACTTTTCATGGCGTAAAGCCTGCTACTCTTCTTCTCCCTCACAAGATACACCTTGCCAACGTCTCCCTTTCCGATAAGCTTTATCTTGTCAAAGCTAGAAGGGCTGACTTCAACGTTTCGGACCTTTATAGAATTGGAACTGTACGTTCGGCGGAAGGCCATTGTCATATTGGGAGCTGGCAGAGCAGCCAGAATGTCTTCGGGGTTGGCATGTATGGGCATTTCCTCGTTCTGTGGAGTTTTGGTCGGCTCTATGAGGCCAAGCGCGCCAGAACTTGTAAGAAGGGGATCTTTGCCAAGCTCGGCAGTCGCGGGACGCTCGCCGTTGGGGTCGTTCTTGGAAAACAAGCCTTGAGCATTGGGTGCGCTGGCGACTCTTCTAAGTCTCCGGGCAAGCTCCTCCTTGGTTTCGCTGGTAGTAGTTTGATCGGTTGCGGTGGTACCATCCGGACCATGGATTTTGAGACTTGGCGTGTCCGGGGGGCTCGGAGGAACAGAGTCGGAATTATGGTGACGCAGTCCTGGTTGACCTTGGTGGGCAAAATAAGGGTTGGCGTGAGCGGTAGGGCTCATGGCTTCTTCGACCTGGTTGCCCTCGCTTGCCACGGTATGTGCGCGCAGGCGGCCAACTGTATTACTAAAGAACTTGGTGTGACGAGGTTTCGAGGGATCGGGAGTGGTAGCGGCCGAGTTCTTGTCCTTTTCCTTGTCCTTTTCCTTATCGCTAGAAGCACTGCCAGTACTACCTCCAGTGTTCATGCGGAAGAAATTGCGCAGACGGTGGCTGACCTGGCCGGTGCCGTTGGAGTTCTTTTGAGAAGGCATAGCGGCGGTAGCTTTGTTGAAAACGGCGGGATAGGTGGAGACGGAAACAGACTTTGTATGTTTTCGATTAGAGATTCGCTTCCATATTCGATGGAGTAAGCGGCTGGGAGACGAAAGGAGGGCGTTGCTGTGATGTCAAGGCAAAGAGAAGATCGACGTGCGGAGGAGTCGTTGTTGCGCAATGAAGTCGCGCTAACGTGGGATCGCAACGGTTCAACGGAAAATGATATTTAAAGTCGATTGACTTTGATACGGGGCGGATGAAGCTGCTCAAGAAGAAACAGCGGCGATAGTATTGATAAGAAAAAGAAAGAAAAGGGAGGAAAGAAGACACCAGAGCCTCAGAGGAATGACGCTGGCCTTGAGACCTTGTAATGGGTCGGGCTATGGGTCTTTGAATCTGGGTCCTAGTCCTGGTCTTGGTCTTGGACGACTTATTTGAGAATCGGATTGGAAATGGGAACGGGCTATGGCCATGGGAATGGGGGCGGCGTCGGAAGCTTTATGCCTGAGGCATTACTAATATGATCCCGTCGGCATTGGCCGCATATTCTCTCCCTCTCTTTCCCGTCCGTCCTTCATTCCCGTTAATTACTTCACTACCACTGCCAGGGTAAAGTCGGAAAAGTTAGTCCTTAAACTTTAGCGTGCAGAAGAAATGAACTTGAGGATCTACATACTTTGATCAAATTAAATTGATCTTGTAATAAATTCCTCAAGATCTCTCTGTCTTTACACTCCAATATACACGGGTACAAAGGTAGTGGATAACTGCAGAGAGCTAGGCACAGATAAGCTCACCTCAGTATTTAGCCTTAGCGTAGCTCTTTCAGCACCTCGCCTTGTGGCTTAGAGGGGGTCAGAAGGCTGGCTGGCCTGGGGCGAGTAACGTTAGCTGGCCGAGCTTGGCTTTTATCCATCTTACAAAGCTGTCTCTCACCTTCGGCAACTCGGTGTCCTTAAATTACCGCAAACTCCGGTGAGAGAACATTTCAGGCGACAATTGTAATTTCAGTTTTAGCTAGAACATCCGATCACTCCCCAAGTCCCCAGCAAAGAAGAGTTTCATCGGGCAAGTCGTCAGGGTCGTCTTCCATTTATTCAGGGACGCTACGGACGAGCCACTAAGACGTTAAGTTTCAAGTCGGTCGTTGCACTAGAATTAAGAGGCGCTGACAGCCTAACCTGATCGGAATAGAATCCTTGTAGTTCCCAATATTGGTTCCTGTCACCTGCAGATTGTTCTGTACCTTGCGTCTCTTTTCTGACATTAGATGAGCAAGCAGAAGACTTTCATGAATGAATGGGCGACTTAATGAGCCATAATTAGAACGTCACGTCGTGGGGGATGTTGAGCAGGGGTCCAGGGGATGCCCTTGTCGTCGAATCACGGGCACCAAGCAACCTACTTGCAAAGCCTCCTTCCAGTCTATCTTTGAACCTAGCATTGACTAAAGCTTTAGATGTGGCTTCGGGATCTAGTACTGATCCCCGTCGTTCTAAATCTCAACTCTGGATACACAACTTCAACTCGTAGGGCTGTTCGTCGTTGCCGCATGTTGGGATGATATTCGCGCCTCAACTATCAACCCTGCAAGCAGTGACATGATTAAGGCTCGACCGCGGGTCAAGGATTCAACACTGGCCCACCGTGCTTTCTGCACTATCTGGGTTATGAAACAAATCTGAATGCCGATTGTATCGACCAGACGTGCGCATGTTCATGCATGTCTCCATCGCCTTTCTGCGTTGGCTCGAAGTAAGCCCCAACCTAGACGCATAATATTTAGGCAAGTATTCGTCACACGTTGGTCTTGGTTGTTCAGGTTTCTAGGGAGACTCGGCACAAATGGCAGTGATACGTAAACTGACCGGAACAATACCGATGACTTCAACGTCATGCTTTATCAGTGAGGCTTGTCGTCGGCATAAACCCAAATGCAGGCATCGCAATAACACTCTCAGAGTATGGAGCTTTGAATTCCTTGTCAAGATTCAATAGGCACAGTATGATTTAGCTCAAAGTTGATAGTGGAGGAATCTTTCAGTTCAGCCACCTCCATTCACACCACATATGTTGGTGCTGAAGGGAATTTTGGTTATGCCCAAGTCCTGTGCAAAAGATACTTAAGTTTAAGCTTTCTGAGAATGGAGATTTAGTTAAGTCTGGACCAAACACATTTCGTATCTCAAGATGACCGAGGTACATCCGAGTCAATTAGGCTTTATTGAAGCCTTTTTGTTTCTGTGCTCTTGTCATGAGTCTCATGGCATCGAGATGATGTCAGGAAGAGTTGATCGATATAAACTATATTCCCATATAAACACGCACATGCGACCCAAGGTACCGGATTATGGGATCTCGGCAAGTTCCGGTCTTTTGGTGAAGTGCAGTCTTCTCAGAGACTTTGGACTCTGGTGTTAGAAACCTCTATCTGTTCGTTACTTTGGTGATTGAGATTATTATCGAACCTTGAGCTAGACAATGCTCTCAGAATCTAATATCTATGTGCGTAGATTGAACTCTGTTTCAACAAGATGAGAAGACAAAAGGCCCCGAATCCCCCATTCCACAACTAAGAAGGTCATGTCTTGAGATCAGTTCTCATGGTGAGCTTCATATCAACCCTGCCATATGTAACACTTGGAAATAACACTTTCGCCAGGAAACCCACACATATCCACATCACACGAGATCTGACAAATGGCAAAGGTTGCCAACACGATGGGCGTCGAAGCCCCCCACAACGACATAGAGCCTTGGATGCTTACCATGCACGCTCGAGGGCATTACGTATAGTCAAAGATTCTTCACATCCCCGATCGACTCGTTTTGTTCTCGTCCGGTCCGCCTCTACAATAGGCAAGAGAGGTTGCGATATTTGTCGACCTGTTAAGTATCCTAACGCTTAATATTATCATGACATTGTTATGGGTATTTGGAGCTGTTGAGCTTGAGCTTGTGATGAACATGTTCGCTAACCACTATTTACTCACTGCTTTGGGCTGGGTCGCAGGACCTTACATCAAGCGCTGGTTTTACCGCATTCGCCGATCTTGCGAAGTGCGGAAAGAAAAGGAAGTGCAGGGAGAAAAGGGAATCAGCCCACCCGCTCACTCAACGGTTTGATCCCGCACGCCGCAGGTTGTGACCTCTTTAACCCCATAGGCACAGTGGTTAAAACAAAACAAAGTGTTAAGCTGCAGTAGTGGACTGAGAAGATTTATGAGTTGGAATATGGCTCAGGTTCTGATATCATCCCCAGGGCAGTCTGGGTTGTCGGAAAGTAAGACAGAGTACCAGGAAAGAATGCTACAAGTACGGGGAAGTGCGACTGGGTAGTCACAGTATGGTTTCTATAGAGCATTAATAACCAACTTGCGAACAAGTCTTGAATCAACTGCCGTGATTGGTACTTGGGGTATTCGGTGTCTTTCTTTCAGAATCATCATGTCCTCGTTTGCAATGACAGAACGTTTGGCTGCCTTTCTTTTCGACTTACAGTAATAGATTCTAACAAAGCTATCTCTGGTACATACGACCATACCTATCAGAGAACTCGGGATCCCGTCCGCTCTCCCATAGATAAGCTGGTAAGGGGCGGATTAGTAGTTGGGTCGGTGACGACCAGCGAATCCCCGCTGTTGTATGTTTTTTGGTGATGCACCACATTTTTGGTGTTTTATCCAAGTAAGACCATCTTTTACTCAAGTGTATTTTTACGTGATAATACTGGCCACAGAGCTCTACCGGCAACTAAAGTCCATAGTTTTTTTACTTGAGCGTCGGAGACAGCATATTATCTTTTATCTTGGCTCCTTTATAATGGTGGCTTCGCGTGTCTTGTTGACGTCTACTTCAACTTATACCTAATCCCTGCCACCAATTGAATGCTACATGTTGGTCCGACGCAACGAGTATATTTCCAGGCGCCCAATCAGAGTTTCACAGGCGACCAACATCGGGAAATCTTCACTTACAAATGTTGGCTGGGATATTTATGTGAACCGCAGTCGGTATTTCTTCAAAATTGAAACCTAAGCAATGCATTTCAGTCTCATCATGAGTGATGCCCACATCTGAGAATTGTTGTGGATATGAGGCGTCTGGGTTGGATACTTACCCTGGTGAAACAACTATATGTTGTCAGCAAGAACTGGGCGGTATCGTGTACTGAAACAAGGTACAAAAGATTATGTGTAAAAAGCAGGTCAAACCAAAGTATTATCTTACCCTGTGTCGACCGATGAGCCCAGATCGAGGCCATTCAGGTTTCCTCAAAGCTTGTACTCCGATTGGCTCTCTCTAGGCCTCCCACCAAAAAGGAAAGGCCACTCTCCTGTAAGGTTTATCTGACGGTCTGGCCGCTTGTGTCGCGACCTGCTTCTTTTCCCTCCTCTTCACCTCTTGCTCGAATACGAACGTTTGACGGTCCAACCATTCTATCCACTTCTTGATTGTATAAGTTCTGTATCGCATCTTTCGCTTCAAACCGACATCATGGCTCGCGGTAACCAACGTGATCAGGATCGTATAAAGGCCCAGAAAAAAGCAGGAGGAGAGGTTAGTCTTACTCCAATCCCACCCAGTCTGGAGATGTGCGCCAGGGTAGAAACTGACGGCGTATGTTTCCTCATAGAAGAAGAAGAATAACCAGACCGGTACCCAAATGCAACAATCCAAGGAGTCCAGCGCCGAAATCATGCGACAGAAACAGGCTGCTGGTATGTCCCAATCGCCCCCAATACTTACAATTTCGCCTTCGTCCATAAGCCGAGACACAATCACTAACACAGTCCCTTGCAGCTGAGGCTCGCAAGGCCGCCGAGGCCGCCAAGAAATAAAAGCTGCGATTTGCTGTACGAACACTATCCACTTCCACTCAAAAAATTACCATCGATTGTCTGTACGGAATACCACAACTGAAAAAGATGGAATAAGGACTACAGAGAGGGAGCGGAAACGTTCGAAACCAGACATTTTTTTCAGCGATGCAACGAAACGACTTTTGGGCAGCACAGGCGAAGCGGTGCAATAATACGGGTTGTCTTTCAGAAACTATAACTATAGCCTCGTCAATACATCTTTGTGATGATGTTTGCTCGTGATGGCTAAACAAGCAGCTCTAGGGTCCCTCCGTTCTTTCGTCTTTCCTACTCTTTGCCTCTCCTTGTAGGAAATGGTTCACGGACAGATGATTGATTGCTGTGCGTGATGCCAGACATCAACCACTCCCAAGGGACCAGTCAATCACCTTTGGTAAGGTGATCAACTCCTCGAAATGTATCAAGTCGGTGTATATATATGACACAAAAACAGCTTATCTACGTCCCTTGAAGCGCTATGCCCAACAGAAACCTGTTTTTGTTTTTAAAATTTGTTGGTTTGGACGTTATGCAAATTCATCTCATTTGTTACATGCCCAACCAACTTGATAGTAGTTGACTGTTGGTCCTATCTTTCCATTTCTGTCATGCATATACCCTGTATAAACTACAAATGCCATTTGATAGACATGACCAACATCAAATTCGATGAAACATACCCTCATCGCATCCCTGAAGCCTGGCGCTTAGGAGCGTTCCCGGATGAGAGTTGGGCGCTTAGAGCAATGCCAGGCATCCTTATGAAACCCATCGTCCCATCTCATTTGTTTAGTGCTTGTCTTTCCAGTTTCAATTGTTTATTCAATCTTCTAGTGTTTGTTTATAATGTTATCCTCTTTGCGACGAGTGTTCCGTTCTAAGACCGCTCTAGTTCATGTTGATGAGACACCTATTCCTGAGCCATCGCCACAACTTTTGCCCCGAACTCGAACAAATCACTTGTACTCCGGTATAAAGGTCCTCCATAGTTCTAAAAATGACGATACTGAGTGAGTTTATGAGCACCAATTGTTGATATGTTGTCTAATCATGACCAGTATCGTTTTTGTCCATGGGCTTAAAGGAGACTGTCTAAAAACATGGACAGGCAAAAGCTCAAATGAGCCATGGCCAAAAGCGCTCCTTCCGCTTGAGCTGGGTACTGCTCGTATTCTTACTTACTCTTATGATGCAATTGTCGTCAGCAAGGATAATGTTCCGTCACTGAACAGAATCTCCAACCATGCGTCTAATCTCGTGGCGGCTCTTGCATCGCTTCGACAGGGCGATGACACAGTAAGTGTTGGAACCTCGTTGTTGGATTCAACTAACATACTCAGAACAAAAGACCCATTATCTTCGTTTGTCATAGTCTGGGTGGACTTGTTTGTCAAGATGTGAAGGTGTCCATCCCAACTTCTTTCGCCCATCCACTTACACAGAAACCAGGCACTTGTAGCAGCAAAACAGCGATCCGAGCAACATCTACAAGACATTGCAAACTTCACCCGGGGAGTCATATTTCTTGGGACTCCACATCACGGATCAAGTCTCGCCAAGATGGGAGAGCTGGTTTCACGCTCTGTCGGAATGATTAAAGACACGAATAGTGACATTGTCCAAGTTCTCACACCAGATTCGGAGGTCTTGGCTCGAATTAAGGACAGCTTCCAAGCTCTTGTCATGACTCGCAGCAAAACTGAAACCAATACGATAGAAATCACATGTTTCTATGAGGAATTGCCCAAGAAGGGAGTAGGACTGGTCGTCCCGAAGCATTCCGCCATACTTCCCGGGTATATCTCGATTGGAATCCATAAGAACCACTCGGATATGACCAAGTTTAATACTGCGGATGAGCCTGGTTTCGTTGCTATATGTGGCGAGCTCAAGCGTTGGATCAATAAGATACAACGGTCTCAGGGAAATTTTCAGAAGAAACAAGTAGCGCATTGTAGGAGAGAGCTTCAATTTCCGAGATACATACTAACAACGCACAGGTCTCGTACCATACTCTTATAATCCAGATTTTGTTGGGAGATCCGAGACCCTCGAACTGCTCAAGACCCAGCTTGGCCATATAGGCACTGGCAGCCAAAGCAAGACCCATCGAAGAGCCGCACTCCATGGGCTTGGCGGGGTTGGGTATGTTTTTTGTTTTAATTATCAAAGACGAAGATAACTAAGTTGTATAGGAAAACCCAGATTGCACTGGCTTATTCGCGATGGCTACAAGGTGTCTCCAAAACCACATCGGTTTTTTGGGTCCATGCCAGTAGTACTGAGCGATTCTCAGAAGCGTATAATAAGATCGCCAAAGCATGCAAGATACCTGGTCATGATGACCCGAGTTTTGATGCCTTGTCTACTGTCAAGGATTGGCTCGAAAGTGATGAAAGCGGACAATGGATGATGATCGTTGATAACGCTGACAATATGCAACTATTCTTCCCACAACAAGCCGATTTGCCAAATTCCAAGTCTGGTGAAGAGGAAGACAGCCTTGCGAAATTCATACCAGAGTGTGTGCATGGCACTGTCCTTGTCACAACGAGGAACATGCAAGTGGGATCAAGGCTATTAAAGGGCAAGCGTCCTATTGAAGTGGGCAAAATGGACGAGTATGAGGCGACTCAGCTCTTGCGACAAGGACTACACCATGGAGACGAGTATTTGGAGACTCTTTTACAACTGTCGTCCCGATTGGAATTCCTCCCACTTGCACTAGTCCAGGCAGCTGCTTTCATACAGGAGAACTGTATTACAGTTGATGAATACCTCGAACTGCTTAACGGCAGTGAGGATGATATCATACAACTACTAGATGAAGAGTTCGAGGCCGTGGGTAGAGACTCAGATACCCCTCGTGCCGTCGCACAGACCTGGATGCTATCTTTTCAGCAGATTGAGAAACAGTACCCCTTCGCCGCTGAAGTTTTATCCTTGATGAGCTTGTTCGATCGGCAAGCTATACCTTTAGAGTTCCTCGAGTTCTACGGTGAAGATAAGAAGCGCGCAGAGTCCAACATCAGGATGCAACTTGTCAAAGCACTTGGAGTTCTTAAAGCATTTTGTTTCATTCGCGCTGAGAGAGGTGGCGATCACAACATGCATCGTCTTGTGCAGTTGGTGACGCGAACTTGGCTGTCCAGGAAAGGCAGATTGGCTGGGTTCGCTAGGGAAGCTATGGAAGCCGTCTCAGATTTCTATCCATACGCCGACTTTGAGGATATTCCGGTATGCACCGCATATCTTGCACATGCATATTCTGTGCTTGACGCACAAAAGACAGAATCGGACGAAGATAGGCTCCTCAGGGCATCACTACTTCACAGAGTCGCATCATTCTGCAGATATCAGAGTCGATTGTCCGAAGCGGAGAGACTACAACGAGAGGGACTCCAGATTCGAAAGGAGTTGCTTGGAGACGACCACTTAGAGACCCTAGTCCTTACCTCTGACCTTGGATCAACTTTAGGGAAACAAGGCCGATGGGAAGAAGAAGGAAGGCTCTTTATGCTCGTCTTAGAAACATGGAAGCGACTTAGAGGCGAAGAGTACCACGAAACCCTCGATGCCATGAACAACCTTGCTGTGAACTATCACGCGCAAGGCAAAACGAACGAAGCCAGAGAGTTGCACACACATGCTTTTGAGGTTAGGAAACGTGTACTTGGGGCAGATCACGTTGACACGATCCGATCACTGGATAACCTCGCAACGTTATTCGAAGGGAAAGAAGCAGAGGAGATGCAAAGAACGGCGGTAGAAGCTAAAATCAGAATTTACGGCGAGGAGCATCCCGAAACACTCCACAGCAAAGGAAATCTATCTTCAACGCTCGCTGATCTAGGCGAGCTGGGAAAAGCCGAGGAGATCCGAATAGAAGTTCTGGAAGTCAGCAAAAGAGTCCTCGGCGAAGAACACTCCTTCACTTTGGGGAGCATGTACAATCTTGGTGCTATTTGGACATTGTTTGGAAAGGTATTTATGGATGATAGACATTTGTATCCTGATGTAGATATGCTTGGGGATGCGAAGAAGTTATTGCAGGAGTGTGTCCGGCTGCGGACAAAGGTACTTGGGGCTGATCATTTTGATACTCTGGATGTATGTGAGCGTCTGAAGGACTGTGAAGAGGCAATAGAAATGGCGGATAGGCTTGATGCCAATGCGAAGGCAGTTGATGTAAATAGTCAGGTGGAAGTTTAGTGTCTTCTTCTTCATAAGATTGTTAATGAATATAATTTGGGCTCTTCCGTCCCATGATGGATCTTGTTGAACCTTACAACATACAACACTAATCGTGATACCACATGTACCTATGTATTTCCAATCAAATACTCACTCAAACTTCCTCCGCTAGTTACCAAAAACATCCAAAGCGTGTTTAGCCATCCACTCCATACCATCGGATCTCCGATCGTCTACTTCAATGTCAGAGCCATTGATATTGAAAACGATATTCTTTCCATCAAGACCATCAGACAAGTCATAAATAGGCCATTTTTTTCCATTGAAGATCCCCTTCCCTGTATCTCCATTGGGGTCGAGAGTATTGAAAAAGTTGATCCATGCAGTAGTCATAGTCTTTGCCATTGCCTTTGCATTTTTCGGATATGATCCTTCACCACCGAAAGGTTTGCGATCATATCCGTCCCCGTTGATGTTGTACAACACAAAAGCGACCTTTTAAAGTCAGTACGTAGAAGGATGATCAAGCAACTCTACTTACATCTTGGAAATGAGTCACCCCAGCGAACTCTCGTTGTCCATTGGGCTTGATGTTGAAGCGGTATGCATAAGTGGGAATCCCATTCTTAGCCCAGGACTTGTTTGCGCGCCTTCGTAGATATTGCATGAGCAAGTCTCCGAATAGGGCACACGATCGACGATATTGAGCTCCATGCACCTCAGCGTAAGAATCGTTCGGTTTGATGATATATGGCCAAGACTCCAAAGATGGTATTCCGACCCTTTGATCGTTAGGATACAACTCCATCAACTCGTCAGTAAGTTCTTCAACAGTCTCTCCTGTGATGTCTTCTGCTTGAGGTGGGATTATAGTTCCTATAGCGTTCCTCATGTCTTCATCGGTATTGATGTTTTGGCGATCAGATGTTCTGTTTCTACCAAAAGACGTCCCTTCGTCCGTGTTGGAACCTATGAGAAGTGGCACTTTGGGAAAGTTCCCATTTTCCAATTGATTAGTAGCGTAATCTGCAATGAAGTCTCCGTCCAGGACTGGAGCCCATTCAAGACCAGTTTTTATGGCCCATATGGCGCTGTTGATTTCGTTAAAGGGCGCTTTTTTCAGGCAAGGTAGAGATTTATCCGATCCTACCAAATCGGAGCATGATGGGATCATGCCAACGAATTTATCGTATGTATCTTGCATCGCATCGGTTGCGTTGTAGCCACCACGATACCGAAAAATGGGACCACCGAAACCAGACTGGCCGATTGCTCCTCTGAACAGGCCATCATCACGACCTGTTTTCGTTAGGAAATGTTTCATAAGTCAGGGATTTCTTTTGGCACACCATTGTATGCAAAGACTTGTGCCCAAACACTCTCAGCACCTGCACTTTCTCCAAATATAGTGACTTTGCCAGGATCACCACCAAACGCTTTGATATTCTCTTGAATCCAGTGGAGTGCAAGTCTTTGATCGCGGAAGCCAATATTAGTAGCACCCTCTTTAAAAATCTCTTTACCAACGAGGAATCCCAATGCGGAAAGACGATAGTTAAAACCGACGCCGATAATAGGTTTGCCGAGGGCAACGCTCTGCTCAACGATGAAAGACAAGTTGTATCTCATGTCTGAAGCACCGCCCTGGAGAAGACCTCCTCCATGGATCCAAACGGCCACAGGGATATTCGCTGTGGTTGGCAGGTTGGCAGGTCGAATGACATTGAGATAAAGGCAGTCTTCGGATTGCTTATATCCGTCTTGGTCGGTTCCATATCCGTGGCAGTGAATTGATAACTCTGTGGCTTTTTTCACCCCATCCCACGAAGAATTGAGCCCTTGAGCTACCGAGAACCGTTCAGGAGGCTGAGCAGTGTTAGCCATTCATACCAAGACATCGCGAGGAGACTCACTTGAGCAAAGGGAATTCCAAGAAAGTAGTCTTGATCATATTGCTTATTGTAAACTCCAGCATATGTGCCATTTTTCACAGTGACGGTAGGTGAAGAGGTCTTTGTCTGCGTTGAAGCTAGAACTTCCAGGGGCCAACTAAGGGCGAAATAAGTCTCTACCAACGAGCTAAACTTCATCTTTCCGCCAGTTGAATTGAGGATAGAATAAGATGATCAAGACTTATGCGAATTTGGTCGAGAGACAACCCCTCAATTTATGTCTGTTTAATGTCGTATTTGCCCCTATAATCAGGCTAATCAACCAGTCATCATATTGATGCCGAGTTGTATCTAACGCCAACGCCAAGCTGGTTAAACTGTATAGAAGAATCTTCGATGTTAAGCTGCTGCGACGTTTCTAGTCATTTGTGGCGATCATTACCGGAGGATTTATCCAAAGGGCCGTCTATCCGGACTGAAGAGGTGTAGTCCTACAGTTATAATTCTTGGCAGATTTAGATACTTCATATGTCCTTGTTCAAAATTTCGATACTATTGTAGTATTGAGAATCCTTGCGGGTTTTTGAGAAGCAACTGATATATACATATATAACATCTTGGGACTTCCAGTATGCAGCGCCGCATCGTCACTCTCCAAAGTCTTGTCAAGATGAGACCCATCAGAAGAAACAACAGTTGCTGTAAACAATTGAGCCTGAAGAACTCTGTAGAGTAACAAAGGAAGCTTCTGCCTCGCCGATAATCTTTCCAGGTGTGAGAAGGCCATGATTCTGCAAGATGATGTTCTGTCAATCGTGCCCAAAGCATCAGCAGTTCAGCTACTCTTTTCTATGAACAACCATCTCTACTGTGAAAACAACGTAGGGCATAGACCCATTCTACTTAATCATCGCGATGAGCCCACTCAAGGTTAACTAGGCACAGACTCAGGGGCCGTGAGCATGATAAGCTGCGCTTTGATCCAAACGACGTTCGTGAATGGCGGCGTAAGTGATAGAACCAGATGAATGACTGTAGGCAACTTCTCGTGCGTTAATATGTTAAACATCCTTTAGACTTTCTGCCCTCTCAATAAAAAACACTATGCTCGTACTTATGAAGCGGCGCAATGAGTTTAGGAGAATACATCGCAAATACGCCAAGCAGATAATTGCGTGTATTTCTCAACTTTATTAAGATTCGGAAGTAAAATTAACTTCTGTTGCGAGAATATTTTGAGTTTTGATGCACTTTCTTATGCTTTGAAGCCTTGAGATTTGGAAAACATGCCAGACCCAAATACACGAATAGATATTGGTGATTTGAGAGGCTCACACATATTTCTCTCTATAAATATCTCTCTTCTTCCTTTGGAGTCTTCTCTTCCTTCCTTATCTATCCACCTCACCTCCGCCAAAGAGAAACGATCTGAGCGTCTGGTCCAAACGACATAAACTGGCTCCCAAGTCTCTCACCCTACCAGCGACAACTTCTCCGATACTTCAAACATCATGCCGGCCAAGTGCAGAAAGACGGATTCTCCCAATACATCTTCTCCTCACGATATCCCCAAAGGTCCCGCCGACACGGACGGCTCGGCGGCAGATCGTGTATTCCACATCCTCGAACTTGCACAGCAGATCGTGTATGAGTTGGAATTCAAGAATCTTTTCAAAGCATTTCCCATCACCAAAGACTTGTAGACAAGCCGAAGCAAAATACCAAATTGGTTTTAGGCAGAACGTTTGAGACGCCTAGTTTATCCAGGTTATGTTGTTCAAGATACCTCACAATGCCTACGAACTAGCTATATCTCCATATCTCAGGCTGTTGAGGGTATCGGCCGAGGTGTTCGGCCCAAATCAAAACTAATCAACACGAGAGATGTTTTTGATCTTGAAGAATACGCCTACATTACATTGAATTGCCCAGGCGATATGGTACCGCCATTCGTGCTCCTAGTTTCCAGACGTCCAGTTCTACCGATCAAGGGCGACCTGTACACCCTCGACGGGGACGTTATGAAGTTGTTGAAGACAAGGGCTACACTAACATGCGGCCGAGTGTGCGACGGCCATTCTGTTTTGGCTCCAGGGCCCGACTATTCTTTCATTGTGTGGAAGCTAAAGGATTGGACGTCGACGGCCCGATTCGACATGAATCTTCATTTGAATGGGATCATGATCCAGAGAAAGTGTTTTTTTTATGACAAACACTTCATTAGCATATACAACCTCCCTATGGAAGAGTGAGAGAATGAATGGGACGAAAGTGACGGTCGTTTCATGATCGAATTTTGTAGTTACCAAGGCCAGAAACTTGGAGAATCGATCCTCCCTGGGCAGTTTTATATATCCTACCACCACGCAGATTACTATTCGAACAAGGAGTGCCACTACTTCACAATGATGCCCCATCACTACTCTGCACGAGCCATATCGTGGAGGCTCGACACCTTGGATATCGTGTTCGACCACAGCCTATCGACCGAAGAAATCTGGAATGGTCTTGAATTTCAGATAAACGAAGGTTTCGTGAACCTTCTAGACAAAGACCGCAAAATTTCAGATCATTGGGCGGTAGACGGCAGAGATGTATCTAAACGAGTCGCGTCTATTCTCAGCGAATGTGCGTATTTCCCCAGTCGAGAATACTCTGACGGGCGCAGAGTGAGATGGGGGGACATATGAGAGGTCTTCTGGTACAGGATTTCGACTTCAGACGAAGGGGCCTGAATGCCGATAACCTTGCCGGCGGATCCTTGCCTACTAAACATGAGTTGTTGCATTCTATGTACCAGGGTGGTGGCATACTTTTCGACTAATTCTTCTGTACTATATCTTTCCTTCCATCTTCTTCGTTGGTCGAATTCAGACAGACGTTGCTGATCGTTTACTCGAAGGAAGGGAATATGTTGACCGCGAGGGCTCTGAAAAGACAGGAGAGAGAAATTTCTTGGTTTGTTGACATCCTTGGGCGATTGGTGATCATCTATTTGAGGTACCACGATCATGTGGAGGAATTTGAGGTGATAGATTTCAGAGGGGCCCTATCTAATTCTAAGAAGGAGGCAGCTAACTTCCAGGAACTTGATACCTTTTCCGTAAGAGACGAAACAGCCTAGATTAGTAGTTTATATCATCTTAGACTCGCTCTTATGTTGTTTAGTCAGTTAATGCCACATCGTACCTGCTCTTGTTTTATACGAATATAAATAAGCTTATGTCTTGAGTTTCCTACCATCCTGGTTGCGGTTAAATCCCAGTCAAATCGTCTTACACGATGCCTGCCTAGTTAGGCTTGGCGTGGTGGACACAGGCTAAGAACCCCTGTCCCATAATTTTGTCAGCCATGAATAGTTAGATCTAATTTGAAATTCGCTTTATCTCGTCTCACTTTATCTTTCTCCCTCTTACACAAACATTCACTCACTCAGCCTTACCAGGCTCTTCTATCCAAAGTCACTTTCGTTAAAATATCATGTCATGGAGCTCATAACATTCCTTCTCCGGGTGACCGCCTTCACTCTCTTTGCGGTCATCCCAACCGTTCACGCTACCTACTATGACATCCCCTATAATATGACTGCCGGTGAAACCTTCAACGTCACAATCAAGCAGAACATTGATCCAAACTCTGAAAATGGAAGAGCAACCGACTCTTATCGTGTCTATCTCGCCCTGACACCACCAGGATGGGGCACAGGACCTGTTTGTTGGCTCCAGTATCTAGTTCCTCGAGATCAAACACAAGTCAACATCACCATTCCTCCCGACGTGGCTCCTAAGGGCACACGTATCAGGCTTTCAACATGTCTTACCAACTCAAAGAATGGCAGGCGAGTCACGGGTTTTGATTACAGCGGAAGGACAGATATGTCGGGGTTAAACGGAACTTGGAGCCAGGCGGAGTTGGACGGTCGGAGTACAGGCGACCAAGATGAGGTTTCCTGCTCGGCTTATGGTTGTGTTAGGGATTGCTATGATCTGTACTACAAAGGAGACAAAGATGATGAAGAGTACAGCCGGAAGTCGTATGCTTGCTGGAAGGCTTGTGCAAGAGATTTGAATCCAGCAAGCGCAGCATCTTTGAATGTCACTCCGGTTAAGAGCCTATTAGGGGTAGGAGTTATGGTTGGATTCCTTCACTTGATAGTTGGGGCACTATAAGCATATAGATTCGTGCTGTCTGGGGGTAGTTCGATCACTAATAATCTAATCATGGGGATACAAAATTGACATGAATAATCAAACGGATCTATAACTTCATAATTTGCCAAGATTCTATGAAGTCCAACACATGAGTCGCTGGTTTAGTTCTTATACAAAGCGCGTAAAGCGTCCACCAGCTCCTGCTCTCCCCTAATAGTCTTCTCATCATATATAAAATCCTTGGCGATAACCCCACCTGAAAATCCAGCAGTTGTCATTTCCTTAAACTCTTCGGCATGAGCTTCCGGAACAATCTGCTTCCAGTAGTCCAGCAGTTGGCTCTCCTCGACAAGTTTCAGCTCAACCTTTTTGCCAGTGATTTCCTCAACTGCATCTTTGAGATCAACAGAACCGTAGGCTCGGGGACCGAATAAGTTGAAGTAATGCGGGCTAGGCTTGGCAGTTGAGGTGAGGAGAGAGTTTGCGACGTTTAAAGCTACGTCTTTGAGTCCAACCTAGAAGTTGAAGGTCAATATTGATTTTCATCTCACTTCAAAGATCTGGAAGTTACTCACTAGAGGAATCTTGTAATCAATAGGCGTGATCCAAGAGTGTATAGTAGGATTTTCCTCTTTTCTGGCTTCAAGAAGGTGTGCAAAATCTTCGAAAAAGTAGGTAGGTCTGATTATCACAACCTCTGATACAGAATCTTTCAAAAGCTCATCCGATATATGGTTCAACTTGAGAACGCCCTGGGAACGGTTAGTCTTGTTCCTAACCAGATGAGATGTTTCTCATAGACTTACGATACCGCTGGAGTTCTGGGCTCCAACGGCTGAAAGGATGACCAGCCTGTTGACGTTTGCATCCTTCAAAGCCTGCTTCACATTGGTAGCAGCTCGAGTTGCCCATTCGCCCTGATCGGTGCCATCATAGGTAGGTGGTGGGATGTAAAAGACAGCATTTGAGCCTGTAAAGTCGAGACTGTTGCCATCTCCAACGTCGCCTTTGACAGCTTCAAAGTTTGAATTCTTGGTGAACTCGGGTGGTGCCTTGGATGGATCTCGGTAAACACCTCGAATAGAGGGTTTGCTGTTAGAAGCTAAGAGGGCACGGATGGTTTCTCGACCAGCTTTAGTTGAAGCTGGTAGAACGGTGATATGATGAGACATCTTGATGTTGATGAATAGAAAGTTAAATGGTGTGAATGAAGCTGGATGTTAATACAGCGATGTTTTGACGGGCAAAGAGATGAATATTTATATAGATACACTTTATGTCGGTAAGCCGCCGCAAAATAGATACTCTCTAAATTTGAAATCAGATTTGTCAGGTTGTGGAGGAAGTTCTTCTGGCACCATGTGTCGACGTAATTTCACGATCCTTCGAAAGTCAGAGAAGTGAAGTACATGCAGGTTGAGGCAGGCTAAGGCGGGCTTTGAAAGTCCGAAGCACCGAAAGATGCCTCTAGAAGCTTGGCTTGGAGATCTCTAAAAAAAAAAAAAAATAGGGCGCCAAGGAAGCTCCAATTCTTCTACCACCACCGCTCGACGCAATTCCACTCCTCCGCAAGCTAGAGGAGTGAACTCCGCGCGGACAAAGACGGGCTTTGAAAGTCCGAAGTATCGAAGTATACTTTCAGAGTCTTGGCTTTGTGGATCTCGAATAAGCATAAATGGGGTGTTGCATTTGAAGAAGCTTGTTTCTCTCAATGCAAGTTGACAAATACAACCGTTTTCATCATTTGAGGAGCAGGCTGTGCAGTGGTCGATCCTTGTAAGGCTATATCGTCGCAATCTAAGCGCAGTGTGAGTACAGAAGCAGCTCGCTTTGTCATCTTATGAAAGACAAAGCCGTTAAAAAAGGACAACAGGACTCGAGAACAAATCATCTTTGGCCAAGTCTTTTTCAGTTTAATATGTTTGTATTTATTAGGGTATTACATGAAGACAAAACGTTCCATAGCCGTCTCATATCATGGGCAAGTACATATAATCTGGGGCAAATTTCCAAACGTGGTATCTAAAAACAAATAACTTTTTGGCAAACGCGTTACATCATCATCATCCAACAGACCCAAGCCAAAGAAAACGCCTTGATTTCGAGAGGATAGATGGTGCGATGCTATTGAATGTTGCTAGTTGTTTAACTGGCATATGTTGTGAATAGATGGCGGTGAGATTTATGCGGTTTCCTTCCTGTTACCACTTGCGATACTGTCACGTCGAGATCGGACAGCCGCCAAAGCAGTGTCGTTCGCGGTCTCCTTCTCTTCCTCCTCAGTGGAGGAACCGGAACCAGGAGCGGGAGGGGCAGTGGGAGCGTACTTGCTTCTCTGGCGAATCTTGGCACCGTACTTGTAGAAGATGAAGGGGATAGGCGCGAGGACGACGGCGACACAGCCGAGTAGGGTGGCGGCATATTGAATGCCCATACCGTCAAACATTTGACGAGCGAACAGAGGGAAACCGGCGCCGCAAAGAGATCGGAGGAAGGTGTTTCCAGCAATGGCGGAGGCGGCAAACATGAGGTAAGCGTCGACGAGGTAGTTGAGAGCCTGGAGGAAGATGGACATGAGACCAAAACCGGTGAAGAGGCCACTCAGAGCGGGAACAATCCAGTGGATCTTAGCGGTATATCCAGTCCTAGCAGAGGTCAGTATTGTTGCTGTTATTATATGCGGGCTAATGTGTTACTTACCATCCGAACCAGAAGATGCCAATGGCAAAAGAGACACCACCGGCCATAACATTGGGAAGTCGCCATTCGGGAATGGGAATGCCGTTATTGGCGGCGAGCTTTCGAAGATACCAGGGCTGCTGAGCAATGACTGTAGCGCCAGCAATGAGCTGGCCGATAATCATGCCGAAGAAACAAAGGCCGGATTGACCAGAGCTGAAGCCGTGAACACCGACAAAGACGAGAGGGTAGGCGGTAAGGAAAAGGTAAAGAATACCATAAATAAAACTCATGTAAATAGAGAGCAGAAGGATGATGGGCTCAGTAAAGAGCAAACGCAGAGGTCGAGAAAAGTTCTTCTGGACAAGCTCCTTGAAGTCAACCTCGATTTCCTCTTGCTTGGCATGGATACCCCAGTTCTTAGTGCGACGTCGTAGATCAGACGCCTTGGAGACGAGAATGACTGGAGGATAAGTCTCCTCCAAGAAGATGAGATCGAGAATAAGAGCAGAGAAGCCCATAATGGAAGCAAGATACTCGGTCCATCGCCAGCCAAGATGAGACTCAACAATGAAACCACCGATGAAAGGGGCCAAAAGAGGACCACTGAAAACGGACATTGAGAAGACAGTAATGGCAGTACCTCGAGTACGGTTGTCAAACATATCGGAAAAGACAGCTGCGACAACAGCAAGAGGACAAGCACCAAAGAAACCACTGAAAAATCGACAGAGCAGAATAGTCTGGATATCCTTTGCGGTAGCACATGCGATTGAGAAGAGGGAGAAACCAAAGACAGAGATGAGAATCGGCAGACGGCGTCCTTTCAACTCAGAGAGAGGAGCCCAGAGCGAAGGTCCGAAAGCAAAACCGAGAACGTAAAAGGTAGTTCCAAGCAAACCAACCTCGTTGTCAACGCCGTACTCTGAAGCGACAACCATAGTAGCAGCAGAAAAGATGGAGGATGTGAAAGCAGAGGTCATGGTGGTGAAACCCAAAACGGCAGCAGTAATGAGCTTCTTCTTCAATGGCCAATTCTGCGAGTGCAAAGGATCATTGGGTCCGTCAAACTCGACTACATACTGCTCCTGCTCAGGCAAGGGAGGGGGATAAGGCTTTCCAGCTCCAAAGTTGGGCAGAGGCTTCCTAGATGCGCGCGAAGCAGTGCGTGAGCGCAGACTGCCTCCAACGGTAGCATTGTGCTGACTGCGGGCGGTTTGGATGCGGCTAAGTTCGGTGGGATGGCGCTCGAGGTCGTTCTGTGTTGAGATACGGCTAATGCTGTTGTACTGGCCGATGGAGCGGCTTCTTCGTCGGGCTGAGTTCTCGGACGATGACGATGAGACGGTAGAAGCAGAGATGACTCGCTCGATTTCATTGCTGTCTCGCCGTTGGTAGCGCTGAGGAGAAGCTGCGCGTTCTGCATCAAGCAGCTCCTGATCCACGATGTTCCCCGACATCTTTGGTGTAATTTATGGGGTTCGATTAAGTAACACTGGGAGAATCGCAATATGAAGTAATGTTGTAGAGAACAGAGGTGAGTGGAATATATCCAGTATATAAACTTCCAGTCCTCAAGTTGTTCCAAGCTGTAGTGCAGCTAACAGGTAAGTATGACGCTAGGGTCCGATAATGGTTCGTCGGGAAAGAGCGAGATGATCGCGACGCTAACCAATACGAAAAGGGTCAAGTCAAGCAGTCAGAATGACCCGAGTCAGATAGAGATGGAAAGAAGGAATCGACTCGATTAATATTAGTACTGATAAAACAGTTAAACTAGAGGAGAAAAAGTGTCATGACAAGAAGTGAAACACAAAAGAAAAGCTCATGATCAAGGGGTGAAGTCATGTATAAGTATCATGTAATGAGTGAATCCACCCAAGCCTTTAGTGTCAATCCACCCAAGGAACAAAGTCAGTCGAGAACAAGACAAACCTGGTAAAAAAAAATCTTTGCTTTGGAAGAGAGATCCACTTATTCTTCGGCATCCACGTTCGGCACTGCGCCGCACAGGCTTATAGTGGGCTTGACAAGGGTCTGAGCACTGGATTACAGTGAAGAATAAACTGCAGCTGAGCCCTATATCCGAGTAAACAGACGCTATATCCGCTGGACTGGATTATTGATCAGTTTGTTTGATGCAGCAAGCTTACTGATATGCACATTGTCAGCCATTAATCCTTTCTCGGCTGTATATCTCAAGCCTCAACGGAACCGAGTTGCCGTGCATGGATGCACGATAATCTATCAAAATTCCAGTCCAGTTTCTATCCACTGTTGGGCTCAAAGGTTCCCATGCCCCTGATACTCACTAACGTTAGCCCCCGTCGTTCCCCTAGATCCATCCATTGCCGTATGAATGTTGAGATCCAAGATTTTCGACAGCATGGACCAACTCGTTTACTGAGAACATGCCCCTGAGCTATTATGACTATGGAGACAGCATGCACTTGAAGTCTTGATTCGCAACTCTCACCTGTCTGAGGGTTGAATAGTTCCATCCTCACCACCATCAACTGAATCCTCCCTTATCTCACACGCATCGCATTTCGCTTCGTCGCGAAACATCAAAAGATCGCAGCCAATGGAGGGAGCCGGCCGAGTTTGATGCCGAATATGGTTCCACCTTTAAGCTTCTCGAAGAAGCTTAGACATGCACGATGATGTAAAACCTTTTCGGGCACAGCGATTCCCATTTCCAATTCCCGTAGCTTACGCCTTTCTTCGTATTTGTTTTGTTTATTTCCTGATCGGCAAGCCGTTAGTTACCGCATATAAGCCGTCCATCACTTCGCCGAAAGTCCATCTTGTTACCCACGGAACACTCTCGATCCTACGGCCAAGAAACAAATATTCTTATTCCTTCTATGCTAAGTCAGCGTGTAGTAACAACATCTATGTTCTAAATCTGGATACATCATCGCACGCCCCAACCGTCGTCCAACAGGGCTGTCGCTTCTTCAAGACTCAACCCTGCCGTCTCGGGATAGATGCGCCATACCAAGAAATACCCACCACAACATATAATCGCATACAAAACGAACGTCCAAGATGGACTCAACAGGTCCATCAATGGAAGGAACGTCAACCCTACAGCAAAATTGGCAGCCCAACTCGTCGCCGTTGCTACACCGCTACCGAGCGATCGAACCGCCAATGGGAATAGCTCGCTTTGCATCCAGGGGACGTTACCGAGACCCAGCGCGTACGCTGCGACGTATACCATGATACTCACAAGGATGGTGAGGGCCGCCATTTCGTGTCCTGCCGTGGCGGGAGGTTCGCCGGCTGTCGTGTTGATTCCTGTTGCCAGCGAAAGGAACGAGAAGCCGTACGCCGACAGCAACAAACCAACGATCATGAACGGTATCGAGTACAGTAGCACCCTTCTCCGGCCTATGCGATCAACGAGTCCCAGCGCAGCAACAGTGCCGAGAAAGTTCGTAACTGCAACTACCATCGAGGTAAGCGTAGGGCTTTGGAAGCCAATAACTGTAAAGATGGTCGCAGAGAAGTACATCAGTGAATTCTGCGATATAGTTAGCACTTGTAAAAGCATAGTCCTTTTGATCACTCACAAAGCCGCAAAGCTGCTGCAGTCCTTGGAGCAGACACGCGATAGCCAAGGCTCTGCGGTTTCTCCCTTCGCTGACAAGTATTCCCCATCTACCCAGCCACTCCCACCGTCCAGATGCCTGATGATCACGCAATCGTTCCGCCTCGTGCTCTTCTCGTACTTCGAGCTCGATTTCTTTGATAACTGCATCCGCGTTGTGTTGTAATGTATCGCCGTTTACTCGTCGAATAACTTCCTTAGCCATGGCGGATCTACCAACCTTCACCAACCATCGCGGCGTCTCGGGCATAAATGCGATCATGCCTCCCTGTAGAATCGCAGGCAACGCACCCAACCCTACCATCCATCGCCATCCTGTCGCTGGGGAACCATATGTCGAAAAGGCCCATCCCACGATGTAGGCGATTACCTGACCCAAGGTAATAAACATAATGTTTAGCGTAACCAGACGCCCTCGGTGCGCAGCGGGCGCCACCTCAGCAATGTACAGCGGCACGACGAAACTGGCTGCGCCTACTCCTGCGCCGATAATACATCGTCCTGCGACCATGATCGGAACCGTGGAGCTCCATGCTTGTAGTAGGGCGCCCGCAATAAAGAGAATATCGGCGTAGAGGATGACGTGCTTGCGTCCAAGGCGATCGGCGAGAACGGAGGAAAACGGCGATATTATCAGGGCGAATAGCGACGTGGAAGAAGTAATGATCGATTTATCCATCGAGGTGAGTTCGCGGTTCGACAGCGAGGTTCCTATCGAAACGAGGGTAGCAGATACGACACCCGTGTCATCTGGAGAAAAATGTTAGCATCGCCTTTGCCACTCAAGAAAGATTAATACAAACATCCAAAAAGTAGACCGCTTATACCGGCGGCGAAAGTCAGGGCCAGGACAAATGTGCTAGGCATTCCGCTTCCCGTCTTGCCCGCTTCAACGGGAGACCTTGACCCTTCGGTCGCATATTCAAGCTCCTCCTCTTCATCACTATGGCTCGCAATCAGCGGCGCCTGGGAACTGTCCATTGTATCGTGCGGATTGCCTTAATGCAATTCCACAATGCTATGGTAAGGCGAGAGTCATGGGCATGGGGTTGAGTTATGATGGATGATCAGCACCCCTGGTCACATGGGCTGTGCAACTGAGGCTAGTCAGAGGGGTACATGTTTCTGTGCTGTTATCATCGATTAAAATAAGTAATCCTCTAACATCTACTAATAACAACTACCGATAGTTCCGGCATGATCCTAATCATGAACTCCAACCAGTAATTCAATCCTTACATCCTATATCCAATTAATTCTGCCAGAAGCTTTTCAGCTCACCAAATTCTTATTCTTCAAAAAATAATAACCATGCACAGCTGCCACACCCAACGGCTGAAGCGCCCATGGCAAACGCTGCTTTACATGTCTGCTCATTGACTTTGCCATGACAGTCTTGGGCGCTCCAGGTGTGTACATCCAGTCCTGTAACAATCCTAATGTGAGTTCCTGAACTGGACCGACACGCGCAAACATGACCTCTTCGAAATTCTTGATCGCCTTGTCCAGTTCCTGGTCGTTTTTGTTAACCGCTCCATTGATGGCTTTGGCAAGTAGCATCGCATCATCGAGAGCTTGGTTAACGCCTTCACCAGCATAAGGAGTCATGAGATGAGCCGCATCGCCGATGAGAGTTAGGCCTTGCTTATGCTCCCATTTGCTGCCGACAGGAAGCATGAAGAGCGATCGTGGGTTGCAACGGCCGTTTGCTAATTCGATTGCTTGCCTGAGTCGAAGGTCCCAGTCCTTGTACTTCGTCTCAAGTAATGTCTGCTTCGCCTCCTCCAGATCATGAGGGTTGTAGCCGCAGTTCTCAGGCTTGAACCAGTCTGGTTTGTCCGTCACAAAACTGCAGTACATGTTCAAACTGCCATCGCCCATCTGTTGAACGCTGGTGCGGTTGCCATCTGTGCTGGCAAAGACGCTTCCTCGGTTCACCAGCTTAGACAGCTCTGGGGCGTTCTTCTCAGCGTCTGTGATCTCCAACTCAAACATTCCGATACCCGCAAATTCCGGGACGAGACTTGGATCGATTTCCTTCCGGATTTTGCTCCACGCACCGTCTGCGCCGACAATAAGATCGAACCCGTCGATTGTGGTGTGTTCAAAAATAAGGCATCGACCTTCAACTTTTTTCAGATGGTAACCCCATTTGATCATACCCTCAGGTAGTGAATTTGACAGGATTTCTCGAAGGCTGGAGCGATCAATCTCTGGGCGTTCTTCGATCTTGTTGTATTTTCCAACCGCATTTCGTTCGAGATGGTATTCAAGGTTCTTGTCTACAATGGCCATGTATTGTCCATCATAGCGAGCGTGTTTGAGAAACTCGTCAAAGAGCTGAGCTTCCTTGAGAGCTGCGAGGCCTGTAGCTGTGTGTAGATCCAGAGTACCTCCTTGAGATCGGAAGTTTGGATGAGCTTCACCTTCGAAAACAGTTACTTCTGTTCCTGCGAGATGAAGAAGTCTTGCTAACAAGCATCCTGTGATGTGTTAGTGGGGAGTCAATTGGTTGGACTGGTTGATGCGTACCAGATGGGCCAGCGCCAATGATTGCGATCTTTCGATTCCCCATTTTGAACTGTTTTAGAAGTGTTTAATAAGGTAGAGAAATGTAGTTGAACTTGAGAGACAGGATTGATCACAGCTCATGATGGTCTGGCACTCCCGTCGTTTAAGTACATTTTCCCATCATAACCACAGCCACCATGTTGCTTCATTCCGGATTGCAAGCAAACGCATCTATCTAACAACCGGACTTTGCAGGTCTAGATGGAACCCCGACGGGTGGGCCGGCTATTAAGTTCAGCCCTGCTGAACGCCGCGTTAAGCTATTTCAGGCATCTCATTCGACCTGGACGTGTTGTGCATAGGGTGGCAGCCACTCTCCCATGCTATTTCTATCACAAGTCAACGTTGCACCGCTTTCAACGCCCACTTAGTTCAATCTCCCACAACGACGGTTTCTCGACTTTGATACTACTGATGTTAATGATGACAGAGGCTTCGTGCCACGCTCCCGTTGTTCTGAGATGATGACGTTTGCTTTCAGCTCCGTTTAGAGGTCTAGAGGATTAGTTCTAAAAATAGTGGCTGCCTCGTTATCGTTTAGCTTGGTGCAAATCACTCAGCGATCGGTGCGGGAACTTAGAGTAAAACCCCGTTCCCGCTCCGTGTAAGTCGTGGTTGTATCATGGGATATCAACCTCAAATCCACAGAATAATTCAGTCCCTCTCTCCTGTCAATTATTTAACTTTGATTGCAGTGAGCCTCTACTAACATCATAGTATTGTATTGTATTTATACCTTCATAACCTTTCGTGAGAGTTCAAATCTTTTAATAAACTCCGTGCTTCAACATTCACGACTTGGGCCCTGGAGTTACACAGGAAAAATTTCATCACAAGTTTTATTGATATAAGCTTTGGTCTGATATTAACCCTATGGCTTTATTAAAGACTACTGTGTTTTACATATTATTACACTTCTAGGGCATTGCTGTTAAGCTCGCATCACTATTTAAATTGTCAGTGAGTCGCCACAGAGACGCAGGTAAAAATGCCATTATCTATCTATAACATAACCTTGATCTGATTAGGATACTATTCTGGCCTTTTTTAAACCTTTTTATCTGCTTCATCTGGACTGAATGGCTGGTCATGGCCACGTTTACAACCTTGATTGCGAAAGTATAATATACACTTTAAAGCATAAGTTAACTCAAGAGATTCAGTAACTTTATACTCACGGAAACATAGCTATATACTCAATAATTTTGTTTCTTACCTTCTTCATCTTTCTTCTTCTCTTCCCATCACAGCACATTGACAACATGGCTTATATCCAGCATCTACCATGTGAGCTACTGCTCGAAATAATGATCTATTGCAACTCGGATGTTCTTTCTTTTGTGAGAGCTTACCCTATGGCCTTAGACTTCTTTCTCGGGAACTGAAAACTCTTTGTTACTCGCATGCAGGCTCGTTTCGGCGACGTCGATCTTCCCTCTTTCGCGTTGGCAGGGCATCTACGCCATATGAGACTACAAACAGGCTTCTACACTTTGTCGAGCTTCGTGGTTGAGGGATGGATAGAGCCCCTTCTTGATCAAAACACCGAGGGATCTAAGCCACCGTGTTTCCACAAGTTCTCACTCGCAGCACTCTGTGTAATGTGGGAGGTTGGAGGAGATGAAAAAAAGATTTGTGATACATATCAACAGCAAGCATCAGCAACGACAACAAGAGGACCCGATGCCGAGCCAACGTCAGAGGAGCTTCAACTTACTCGGCTGTCAACAGATTTAACGCGGGAGGAACAAAGACTTTTTATGGACGCGGCTTTCAACTTTGAAAGTTATTGCCTGACTTACTACCGTGGAAAACGACTGTTATGTTACCACAACAGCGCAAGATACTTAAACATCCCCTGGGACAATACGAAAACATTTTTTCACAGGTACCGGTCCAATCTCATCCATATCTTTGGTAGGTTTTACTGCATTCGGTGTTGCATACTGCAGAAACATTGGGATCTAGTGTCGGCTGTTGCCAGACGTCTCAAATCTATCCACGGCAACGTCAGGCAGCGATGGAGTTGGGACAGCGGATCTGACGAGAAGTACTTCTTATATTACTTTCAGAAAGCTTACATGTATCATGAGCTGAGGCAATGCATGGGTTATCTTACCTCGCAAGGCCTTAGCATGTTTACAAGGCTTCATAGAATGAGTCACAAAGAGCTGGCCATATTCATTGTAAGGACCTTCTGGCACTTCAGTAAAATTACCACTGGGAATAGGTTTTACGATCCGTGGCATTTGGAGAGTAAGGAGTGGGTGTACTTTAGTTCTGAACTTCCTCCTAAATTGAGAAATATTGGTCAGAACATCTGGGAGGACATGTGGAATCGGGAGGATCCCCGCCGGAGGCCAAATCACAACATGATGCCATATCGTGTAAACCCAAGCGACGAAGGACAATAGGAGGATTTCTGGTTTCTAATTCGAGGTGGCTGATCAATCGATCATTCATCAAGGGATGGGATAAGGGCCATCAGAGTTTGGAACGTACCTGCAAATTCACAGGCATATTCTTACCTTGGCGGACTGATTATCGAGTTGAACTGCAGACCACGATGGATTCTTGGCCATGAGCCACCGAACAAACGAGGCTCGATTTATGAGAGCGGGAAGGCCAGGATACTATGCGTCTTACAGGGGATATAGGTTGGTTAAGGCTGGTTTGTCTAGAGGGTTTACACAATTGAGGTTGCTCATTCCTACGTCAGCTGGTTCAAAATGTCTCGACGACTATGTTTGCTGGCTCTACTTGGGGAGGTTGCTTAGCAAGCTTAACTCGACTAATGAACCAATACAATTATTTGTTCCCTGTGCTAATAGACGTTCTGTACCCGAGAACATGGCTTAAACCAACGCAATAGTCCATCAACCATGAAACAAAGGTCCTAACTTGTTAACCCCGGATCCATGAAACGGATAGCCAAGACGGCTGTAGCGTTAAAGCCGTTCCCTAGCCGACAGCGCATTTTGCGGCAAAACATATAGCAGGTCAACTATTATGGCATATATGATGTTGTTATAGATTTGCGACATTTTACTGTTATTGATTATTATTGTGTTATAGGTAAAACTCGTGGATTCATGCCTGAAAGCATGTCTTTAAACTGGGGATTCCTCCTAGATTTCAACTACTGGACGATAACGAAAAGGGTTTGGTTTGCTGAGGACATTCCAAACAACCATCGCCCCAACGGCTTTTGGACGTTAGATAGCAAAAGAAAGAAAATAATTGGATGGCATTTGTTGTCTCGTGGATGGGATTTAGGTACGGATACAGTAAATGCTTTTAGGCTTGCGCTTCGCTGTGGTGGCACGTGCTGCAATGCAGGGGTACTGTCGATAGATCAAGTAAAGCCAGGTTAGGTTGGGCACTGCACTTTCAGCTACCTCGACTATTGGGTCACTGGTAGAGTTGCAGGTCATCCATCCACCACCATCATCATCCATCGTACACTTCATACTGTACTCGACTCAATCTCAACCTCTCTCTTCTTTTTACAGTCACCTCCACCTCGATACCCTCGCTATATCGAAAGCTCTGCCCCTCCCTTGCGACGCCAACACCCGCTCTTGCGATTTCCCTACAGTTCATTCGTTTTGATGATGCCTCTGGCCCCTCGAAGGCCTCCGAAATCCGATCATTAAGCAATTCGCTCGGCGCTCAATCCTTAAATTGTCCTTCCCGACCGAGGTTTCCACTCCTTCTCATCTCTTCGACCTCTATCGATTACATATTTCCTGCCGCGAACATACAATATTATAAACATAAGCCGAAATGCAAGCTCCGTCATCCGGTTCTCAACGCGCCTTTGCCCATCGTCGTTCGCCTGGTGCTGAGCCTGGACCACCACCCAATGTTCCTGTTCGGTCCATCTCACCAGCGCTGCAGGCTCGGGCCTCGAGCGCCTCGGCGAGGTCTGTACAATCCACTGGCTCCCGAAGGATGAATCGTGAAGTAAGTATATAATTCGCAACGTGGGCAATATTGTGCCCCTGCCGAGCCCTGCTTGCCCCACGTCTATGCCCGATTGCAATTAAGTTGCTGACGCCCTCGTCCCCAGGGTTCTGGTGGTAGCGGTTCGAATATGCCTCTATCGCAGATCGAAAAGAGCGTCACCCACCTCCTCGTTGCAACAAAACAGCTTTTAGAAACCTTGACGCAATGGTCGCGCGGACAAGCCACCGACAGCCAGGTGTCAGATGTTTACGTGCGCCTGGGCTACGAATTCAACATGGCTTGTCGCGCATTTACTGCCATTCATGTTGACACATCTGACTTAGGAAACGTCCCCGATTCGCTGCGACATATACTTGAGGCGACGCTGAGCCAGGAGGCCAGCGCTGAGAGCTTAGAGAAATATTTGCCCAGGATCCGCGACATAATTATTAATTTGTTACACGGCCTGAAGCGCAAACAACAGAAGCTGCGCCAGAAACAAGCTCGAGATCGCGACGGTCATGCACCCCCCGACAGAGCAACCAGCGTCAGCACAGTTGGCAGTGGCAACAGCGGGCTCACCAACATGTTGGAGGAGGGTCTAGAGAATGGGTTCCAACCTCCACTTGAAGAGCAGCCAACTGAAAACGTACCGTCGTCGAGTGGTAGTACAAACCGGTCTCCACGCCGTTTCAATGCCCAACGTGAATCGTCTCGACAATCCGCGATATCGGAACAGTCTTCGCTTTCGAGCAACACGATGCAGAACATGCCAGTGGTACCGCCGTATCCCGAAGGCGAGAGCTCAATTCCTACAGGACCTACTGCACCTTCTGGACCTCAGGGAGGAGAACTCAACATTGATTCGTTTCCTCCTCCACCACCCACTCCGCCTGACAACACTTCAAGCGCCCTCGCAGCTCTGCAGAAGGGTGGAGACTTAGAACGACGAGCTTCACGTCGGTACTCTCAATATCAAATATCCAAGCATCTAGGCGGTGCCAATGGCGTTCCAATTTTGCCTCCACAAAACTCGCCCATTCCTAATAGAGGAAGAAAAGAGGTTCGGGAATCCTTGCGCGCTGTACAGGGGCGACAATCTATCCGGCACAACCGCAATAACTCGAGCCAGTCCATGCGAGCAAACACGGCCGAAGACTCTCCTGCCAGGATACCGGACAAGGTTTCTGAAGAGAATCCCGCAGCAGAACTGCCCGCCAAAATAGATAGTCCCGTGCCACAGACTCCAGACGAGGCATATGCTGCCAGTGCGACACTAAGCGGGCCTCCTACGGACCCTATGTTCTTTCAGGACGATGGTAACTCGCCTGAAACTGAGAAATCCAAACCCGAACCCGAGGTCATACCCACACCACCACCAAAACCTGCTGCAACATCATACTTCCAAGACTCTCCACCACCAACACCCTCAAAGGATCTCACTTTGTTCCTACAGTACAAGTCCAAAGTGAAGAAGTTTGTTTTGTCAGAGGGAAGGGCTGAGCTTACAATCGGGCGTCTGCAACTAGCTTTCATTGAGAAATTCTCTTGGAACACACAACACAATGGCGCGGATCTTCCTGAAATCTACATCCAAGATCCCGTTTCCGGTGTGCGCCATGAATTGGAGGACTTGGCCGATGTGAAGGATAGAACTGTTCTGGTCCTCAATGTGGAAGCTTTAGACGAGGTCAAGAGGCATATCGATGATGGAATTGCTTCCTTAACAGAGATTGTCCGCGATGTTAAGCAAACAGTAACAGACCAAGGGGCAGCTCTTCAACGAGTGTCAGACCGGCAGCAGGAAGCAGCAAACGAGATGGCTCGACTAGCACTATCACCACCAGCGGCAGCGACCTCAGCGGATGGAGGAAGAACACAATTCACCTCCGGACGCAAGTTGAATAACAGCCAACTCGGAGAATTAAGGAGCCTTAAACAGGACCTGGCCATTATGCGCCAAACCTACTCTAATTTCCAAGCCGACATCCAGGATTCAATGGCTACTATTCGTTCCAAAGCTGCTAACGTCAAGGTCGTCACAGCCAAGGCTGCTATTCCTGATATCGAGGGCGACGCTGGCTACTCATACGTTACCAGCGGGCGCAAACAACTCAACGGCGACTCTGACCGATTGGTTGGTAAAGTGGACGACCTTCAGGATCTTATTGAGGACCTGCGCAAGGATGTGGTGCACCGTGGTGTCCGACCGCTACCAAGGCAATTGGATTCCGTTGGTAAGGATATCGCGACTTTGAGCAAGGAATTGAAGAGAATGGAAGAATATATGGTTCAGGAGAAGCCCATCTGGACAAAGATCTGGGAGAAGGAACTAGAAGACGTTTGCCAGGGTCGTGACGAGCTCCGCCTTATGGAGGATCTTTTGGTTGATCTGCGAGACGATTTGGAGAAGGCCTCGGAGACGTTCACCTTGGTGGAACAGGCAACCAAGGAACAGATGAAGGATAATGGCACTGGTGCTAGTGCTGGAAACGCTCGACAATTCTCAAAGGGTCTCGTCAGTCTAGGTAACAGTAGTGATCAGAGTGCGGCCAAGGAGGGTGTTCTCGGCGAAGTGAGAGCTTTACAGCCGAACCACGAAGATCGTCTCGAGGCTATCGAGCGTGCCGAGAAGCTGCGCCAGAAGGAACTTGCAACGCGAAACATCAACCCCATGCATCGCGAAATCGTCAACTTCGTCGCAGATGGCAAGCTCAAGAAGTCTGGCGGGTTTGAAGAGGTTGAACGAGCGCGCAAAGCCAAGGACGATCGTATCAGACGAGAAGTTTGGCAACGCCAGAACGGCATCATTCCTGAGGACCCCATCGGCGAGGAGGGGCCGGACAGCGAAGCAATCCAAGAGGCGATGGACGACGACGAAGCTGAATTCCTCAGGCAAATGATAGCCGAGGAAGAGGCCGCGGCGGCGGCGGCGGCAGCAGCAGAAGGAGAAGGAGAAGACCAACCCCCACCTCCTCCACCAAAGGACGGCGATGACGACGGCAAGGGGCCGGAACAGCCAAACGGCGCATAGTCATGCTACTCGTGTGTTCAAGTATACATATTCTGTCATGTCTAGATCGTTTGGTGCGGTCCATTATGTTTACGGAGATAATGCCTGGGATGAGGTTTATGCGAGATTGTTTGAACGCGATGCATGTCGGTATGGTTATGGATATTCTCGTACTTAGGGTTTCTGGTAGTTTTAGTCGGGATTTTGTCATAGCGGAGGCGAATGGGAAATATCTGTCGTTCATCTACTATACTGCATAGTCATACAAGTGATGCTTGATAAAGTCTAGATCAAAGAAATGCTTTAAACAAACCGCGCCGTCTTTATATTTTGGGTCATTTGAAGAATGTATGTAGGAATGCTTTCGTAATTCGTTAATGTACACTGTTCCAAATCTGTTTGGACTATTCCCATCCACTGCACTCGGTATCAGCGTCTATAAATATTGTGTTATCTCTTATAGAGATAAAGATTCCTTGAATCGTGATGTTACGCCCATCTGACTACCGGGGGGTAGTTGTAGAATGCGATATATAGGCACCAAATGCCCCCGACAAAGCTGGTAACCAAGTCACTCCTTGCTTGTCGAGTGGTCTGGGGTCTTCGAGACCATCTAATCAGACGTTCCCTCCTGATCGGGGCTACATAGCACCCTCGCCTTGAGTATAACATTTCGGTACTGTAAATGCCCTCCATGCTCATCGCCATGTTTAATCACCCCTGGAAAAGCGACACAGCAGATTTCTCTCCCCGTTAATGATTCTTCATCATCCCCGCCTAAATCCTCCATCGTTCCAGATTCAAACATTATTCTTTGGTGCGGTAACACTATAGGCATGTTCACGCGAAGAACCGCTTTTTGAACAGCGACAAGGCGCGCAAGCTCGATTGAGTTGTTGACAAGAACTCGTAGTCCACTATCCCGAGCTTCTGAGGGAGATGTGCCGCAAAGGGCATCGAGAAGACGGGTTATTCGTTTCAAGATGACTTCGGTAACGGAGGATGTTGATTCTTTAAGAGAAGATGAATCTCGACGGAGGAGTGATAGGGTGGAGGACCGCCATTGATTGATGGCTTCGTCAGAGTTGGCTGCGTATGAAGACAGCAGTTTTTCCAGTTGTCGGAATTGCTGCGTCTGCTCTTCTGTTAAGCCGACGAAGTAGGCGTCAAACACCATCTCGACTAATATCCTGGATACAATAGATTGAAGCAGATAAACCTTGTGTGATGATGCTAGATCCTCATACATGGGCACAAGCTCGCTAATCTCAGCCAACGTCGCCTCGTCTAAATTACCAAGATCTCTCGTTTATTAGCGCTCAATATCTTCCGATCAGGAGGGGTCTCACTCACTTATCTTGGCTTTACGAAAGTTCACAATGACCCAATTCTGAAGACCATTGCCTAGTCGTGCCATTCCATCACCAAAGACCTCATCGCACTCTTGCCCATCTGTTCTTGTGCTGTTACTCACCCACTCTTTCAATCCTCGTACTTGACCTCGTAGGCCTCGAATCTCATCATCTCGCTCCTTTAGTTCTCGCCGTAGAACCTCCCAGCCTTCTCGAAGCTCTTCGCGCTCGCCTTCTCGTACTTCAACTTCAGCGCGCAAAAGCCGTAGCTCCGTATCCGTCCGTAGATATTGTTGGTTCAATGAACTGTGCTTGGCCTGCCAGAACGTCGCCGTCTCGCTTTCGTTCTGGCTGAGCTTATCCAATTCACGGTGGAATTCGCGTTCCATGATGCCCATCTCCTTCTCCAGGTACGCAATCTTCTCATCCTTCTCTCTCAGAGCAGCCTCTAGTCCTCGCTCTTTCTCCCTCTTTTCCCTCCGTTCTTTGCGCTCCTTGTCACGGTCCTTTTCTTTTGTGCTGTTGGTCCCTGTAGCTGTGCTCTCCTTCTCCTTGAGCGGGGCACCGCCGCTGTTGCTGCTCGTCTCATGTGTCTCTTCGGGGGTCGCGTTGGTGGTAGCTGCCATGGCAACTTTTGCGGGCATAGCAGGCATGCTGGTTCGACTGTTGTTGCTCGAAGCACCGGTTCGTAGGGTATGGGTAGACGGGTTCCCGGTGCCTGGACGGCGCTTTTCAGAATTGTTCATGGCGGTAACGAGGCGGAGCTGTCAGATCTCGGTGTGGTGTGTGTGTATACCTCCACTGCAGAGGATCGGATCGTCAAGTCGTGGGGTCCAAGGATAGTCGATCCTGTTTCCACATTGTTTCTGGCATCAAGCGCGGTGGAATTTCTATTGAAGCTTGGCTGATCGCATGGAAAGATGTCGGGAAGTTATGTTGATGACGTTGGCTTCTGTATTTTGATGGCTAGAGGGGACAATTGATTAAGGACTTTAGGCGACCGTCCACTGGAGGGTGCGCTAATTCTGAGTTTATAACAACGTCTGTAACAAACCTAGAACTGATATCAAACAAAATGACTGGGGTTTATGACTTCAAGCTCACAGTGGAGGCAATTAATTGTCTATTGTAACGTATTCGAGTGCATTTAAATGTCAGTAATCAGTCAGAGCGTCCCCAAGAAGAAAACTGCTGCCTGTTTCTTAATTCCAAATTCATACCCTTACTGCTGGGGCTCTGTCAGCCTTCAATTGTCATGATAGATGGTTGGTAATCCGCTATCAATACGAAGAGATAAAACGTCTGCCTTGTTCACAGCCACTCCACTTTCGTCTCGGTTAATTTATGATATATCATGTCATGTCTCCTTCTCTATCAAGGTAATCTAGCAGCCTAGTATACAGCTCATCTCCAGGCTTCTCCGAGCCAAGATTTTAACCACGATATTCTTTCCAGACTTCCACTAAAGCTCAACTTCGGCCTCTACTTCATACGCCTCATCATCTGTTCCCTCGATCTTCTTTGCGCCCATTCGACATAACGTAACTTTGTCCAGAGGCATATCCTCCAGCCAAACGTAGTCATCATAGAGACTAACCATGTCCCGTGCATCGATTGTCAACCTTTCTCGAATTCTTCTTCCTCTCTCATCCTTGACATATATGGTGTTGACGACGGTTGCATGTAGTAGCAATGGTCTGTCCTCCTTGGCCATCAGACCAGCCTCTTGGAACGTAGTCTTGATCTGCTCGCAAAACTTGTAAAGGATCCCCTCCGTATCAACAGGAGCAGCGTAAAGCACCGTAGTTTTTGCCGGTGATTGCATAGCATGTAAGCCCTTGAGCGTTAACGAGAGTCGCTCTTCAGTTGCGGATGTCTCGGCCCTAGCACTTGCAAGGAACTCGCTCAATTTCAGGCTCCTGAGTACTTCGGTTGCTTGCTGAATGCCTTCATCCTTGAGGCTCATGACACCAAGGGTCAGATGCATCGTGCCGACTGGACGCACTGCCGTCGGAGGAATACCAAAGCTGGCGGGATTGGTGACTTCTGTACGGAAAGCAGCCACAGTTCTGGTGAGTTGTGGTCCGACCAAGGGAATGCACACGAAATGTGTTGGGGACGCCCTGACTGGTTTGGGCGGCATGATTCTGCTTGAATTTCCGTGGGGAAATGAATCGTTCCAGAATATCCTTTTGGTATGAATGTACGAATATGCTTGATGTATATTCAATATTCCCTAGTTGTCAACTGGTCAAGTTAGCAAACTAATCTCGTTCCGACAAATTTCTGGCCGACCCCAACTCGTAGAGAGCACGAATATAAAATATTCGTGCACCCTGCCATGCGGTAGAGTGGTGGTTGTGGAACATAACTAACAAGCTGTGTGTAACCTATCTGACGTTGTCTGGCAACACCTCGATGATGTCAGGTCTTCGTATCGGCGAGTTTCTGTAGTGCCAGTACTTTAAGGTGCGTCAAGATTACCCCACCAATGTCAGAGCTTTCGGGAGACATATCAGATCAGTCACAGTGGTAGGGATTCGATAAGCAAGAAGTGACTGATCTCAAGACAAAGAAAGAAAAGCAATTTCATGAGACAGACCTCACAAAGTGACGGATGGCCCTTGAAACAGAACACCAGATTAAGGAATTACGAGGCGGGCAGTCGTCCTTTTGCACCAATTCCATACTCTGTCAAGTCTATTTCCAAGTCTTCTCTACTTCATCATGGATCTCCAAATAGGCTTTTCAATTCAAAGAGGAATGATGGTATGTCCTTCCGCACTTCCTCGTAACACCACTGAGCATGATTGACCTGGCGGGTCGTCCTCTAAGCCTCAAGCCTTTCAAGGCCTGGGGTATCTGCTTCGATGAACCCGGCCTCTTCCATCCCTGAATATACCTAAACGCAACGACTATTTGGTGTAAAGAAAATGTCCCTCATCCAAGGTGTGTGACAAGCCTCCCAGTAGACTATTATGCCGTTGAGAGGACTGGTCCTGATCCGAACGTGAACTTGTCGGCTTGATCCCGGGCATTATTTGGTGAATGCTTTATTCCTTTGAGTCGTAGTACTCCCTCAGGAGCTTTTCTACCGTTTTGTAGTCTTCTTCAACAGCCCTGAAATATTCGCCAATGAGCTTCACACATTTCTCGTTGTCCAATTGCGGAGAGCCGTCCAAGTTTTCATTCTTGCCGTATCGCTGGATCGCTTCGCATCCATCCCTGATCTTGACGAGTCCTAGTGTCGCCGATGAACCCTTGAGGAAGTGGCCAAGAGAAGATAGTTTCTCGAGATCCTCCTCTTCCCTGTTAGAATTACAGAAAAGATGGTCAGTTAAAGCTCTTCTACCAGAGCGCAGAGTATTCCTGTGCTGATATTTGTTGAATTCTACTCACAGTGCTTCCTTAATTTGTTCAAAGGTCTCCTCTGCCTGTTCGAAAAACCCGAACACAATGGATTGACTGAATTCAGAATCATCCGGCTCGTCCATCTCCAGGATTTGGCTGAAAGTGAGCATGTCGATGTTATCGCCAAAGTCGACCTCGCCGGCAGTCTCGCTCTGTGGGTCAGATGCATTAGTTACAATATTCGAGCTGTTGCGCAGCCAGTATCGAGCCCACCTTGTCCTCAGCTGGCGACATTTCTGCTATAATATATGTCTATGATCTCGTGACGAAGGTACCGAAGTTTTACGAAGAGAGACGATGCCGAACAGCTCCGGGGTAGCAGCGTGGGGCCGGTAGAAGTGACAGGTCGGAGGGAGGAGATTGTAACACCTAAGCTGTGGAAGTATTAGAGCCTGGACCAAAAAGAAGAAATAATAAATGATGCGAAAGCAAAAACAGACAGTAATCCAAAGACAAAGCTGTTGGTAAGAAAGTATAGTAAATAGAAGGTTTTCTTTTCAGAGGTTAGAGGTGATAAAGCTGGAGCTGGAGCGGGACGTTTCGTGGAAGCTTGGCCCGAGGGGAAGGGATCAAGATGACGGGACCGTGGATGGAATGGCTGGCTAGGGGTCTCAGGTCGTAGAGCAGACGAAACAATAGCGCTCAAGCAACGCTTGCCACTCTCCAGCAGGTAGTAGCAGTTGCAATACAAGCAAAAACAGCAAAACAACAACAGCAGCAGGCGCTGGCGAGTAGCCGTTGCGCAGACTGATTCAAGGGTTTGTTTTTGTACCTGAGGTTGTTGGATTGGAAGTCTCTTTTTTGAGTTGGCAGCTGCAGTAGCTGTCCGAGCGATGACGATATATGTGACGAGGACGTGTAGAGAAGGAAAAGGCAAAGAAGAGCACAGCACAGCACAGCAGCGCAAATCAAAGAAAAGCAAAAAGTAAGAAAAACAGAGTAAGGTAAGGCAGAGTAGAGCAAAGTAATGGCTCGAGTGATATGGCTTAGCCAGAAAGGCGGCGGTTAAGAAGTGTGTGATATCGGCTGCTGGTATGTGGGCAGTTAAACCTCATAGGTGAGGGGCTAACAATGGAGAGTGAGGGTCGGTCGTGTCGTCCAGGTACCTAGAATGGATAACCACTAGGAAGGACAACACTACAATAGACAATACAGGGTCATTGTGAGTGGGGTTGAGCCGCTCTAGTAAATGCGAGGCGTCGAATCCAAAACCCATTCATCCATGGAGACTGGGAGACGGCACCTTCAGGGGAGTGGGGGATGGTGTTTAGTGCGGAAAACCGACAGAATTTTAGGCGACCTGACCTCTAACTAAGGCCGAACAGACGGGAGACATACAATATATCAGGTACCGACATCCAGTTCTTGAGAATAAAGAAAGGTCCAGTGAAAGAGAGTGAATAAGAAAGACAGGATGTGCATGAACAGAAGGATATTTTCTTACCAGGCTATGACAGTGGGAGGCGGGGCCACCAAACTGTAAAGTCTTTTGTTTTATGGTGTGAGATATAGGACGTAATTTTCCAGATAAGAATACCTATCGATATTCCTTTGTTTTGCTTTTTGCTTTTGCTTTTTATTTCTAGGTCCCTCGGTCGTGTCTCTTTGCGCTTGTGAATAATACCGATTCAGCGCGTATAGATACTAAGTTGGGACTGCGAGTGAGTGTCCTGTCGAATTGTGATCCAACGCTGACGTTCTGCGGGAGATCCCGAGGAGTATTATCCTGGTACGACTGACGACAGTGGCTGCATAGAGCGTTAGAGGGCACGAGTAGAGTCGGGTCCGAGGCACAGGATAGCCGTTGAGAACCGTAATGAGTTGTAGGTAAAATGTAAAGATGAAGGATACACAGGTAGATAGATACTAGTTAGGTAGAATAACCACAGGGTGAAGAAAAAGGAAAACTTCCTGGTGTTGGTTATCATTTGCTGAATTGCTGCACTTTAGAGCACTACCTATAGGTGGGTGAACCGTAAAAGGCCCCCCCAGTCCATCCTAGTCCCCGTCCCAGTCGCAAGGGCCCGGGCTGTCCAACCTGGAGGGTAGGAGGGGTAGAAGGGCCCTGCCGATTACGTCGGTGATTTGTACAAGAGCCCACTAAAAAAGGGAAGAAAAGAGAGAGAAAATTGGGGAAGGGACAGCTCTTGCATCATTAGGTTCCATTCCGTCAGGAAGCAGAAGGCCTAGATTCCAAAGCTTCCATTAGAGGCGCCAATCCCTAAATCGCAAAAGATCGCCTGTCATCCATCACAGTCTCCTTTGTCAATATTAGTTCTTTGATACCGCGCGACTGTGCTCTACTCTCTCTACAGGTCAGGCAGGTCAGTGCCATCCATGCTTGTGCCACGCGATAACTTAATAGCACAGACGTTTCTTGACATCGCTGACTCTGCACACGATCGAAATCTTCCAGATATCCCACCTCTCTATGTAGAACAGGGTTAGAAGCTCGCTGGCTTTACTTCGTCTTCGTTCTCGTTCTCCGGGACTTCAGAACCGCATCCGCCTAGCGCAATATGCCTGAACTTCAACGTTACTTATTCCGCTAGCCTGCAACGCCAAAATCCACAAAAAGATCCGAATCCAAATGCGATCATGAGGAGGAACAATTCCCTCGGCCCATATCCGGGATCCAAGACAACAGGATGTTTCATATGATGGCTTTCTTCAGCCTATTATACTCACAGCATCTCACATGAAGATGGCATACAGGGAACTCCAGAGTCAGGAGTCTCGTTATACCCACCGGTCCGGTTATTGGTTATGTGCTCCATGAAAGTTAAGAGATAAATCTTCCGGTGTGGTATGTACGTCCGGGGCCCAGGAAACCGTCACCCGAGGCTGAAGAAACTCGACATACTCGGTACCCGTTGTTCCGTTTATTTGCTGGCCAACCTCTTCCCTGATAGCTCACCTCATGTCAACGTCCCATTCTTTGATGTTCAATATTTCTCGGCCGAGACATTTTTCTAACTAGGCTTCTCACTCGTGGTCCCTCGACGAACGACTCCCCCAAATTTATTCGACAAAGACAAAAGGAATAGTCACATTGTCAGGGACTGTGTCTTGAGACAAGTCGCGACATTCACCGAGTCACAGGCCCACCTGCCCAACTCTTGGTTCTTGCTCAGAAGGGATACGATCGGCATCTCAGCCGCGAGTGTTGGAGCTTTCTGGCAAGAATCCAACTTTTTGGAAGCAAGCTCCTGCAAGCATTGAAAAGCTTAGGATGACATGCACGCCGTCTTATGCCCGTTGGCCCACCTGTCGATGAAGCTGGCCCCAGCCAACGCAACGAACCCCTCAGAGATTGCAACATGGAAGTTAATGTTGTTCACACCAGCCACCGTAGAAGTGCTCAGTGCGGCATTTTCTCCATCATATTTCCTTTCTGCTGTCAACTTGTGGCTTGGCTTCACTGCTTGAGCTGGTTTCGCTATGTCAATGTCGGTCCCTGCAGGGTCTGTTGATCATCTCATTTAGCACCCCTCATTTGCTTCCTGCCCCTCGTGCACGGTCACGATTACGGCCAAGTCATGTCATGACTGATGGCGGGGCTTAGCCGTCGACGGTGCAGTTCATTACATACTCGCCATGCTAACTATTTGTTGAACGGCTTGGCTAACTATTATATGGACAGGGCCCTTGAATCTTGTGAGTTGTATGGAACTTGGCTATTGAACACCTGGGTCAAGTTAACTGCCGGCTAAAACCCACCTGTCACTCAGAGGGGCATTAATCATGCTCCCACTTAAATACAGAATCTTATCAAGTGATCCATGTCTTGAGTGTTGTTTTTGATATTGGGCTGTCTTTGCAATTAGTATCCACTACATTGGACCTCACCGCAAACCATTAACTACACTCGGACTGCTTAGCGAAACTGACGAGTTCTTCAGAGGATGAGATTTGGCGGAATGTTATCACATCTATTTATCACATCTATTCCGCACAATGCTATCCACTTCACAGTCGAACCACCAGTGGCCGAATTTGACAAAAAAGGCTTCAGCTATGCGCCCCAACCATCACATACACGAGTCACCTATCACATCTAACAAAGCTTCACGGGTGACATATCTCACACCGAGCCCATCTGTAAAACCCTGCCATCATTCCCGTGCGGAACGACCCCATTCGAGGCCCGCAGCACATCCTCCTGCAAGGTGACAACTCCCCATAAACCGGTTTTGGCTTATTCTCCTCAGCTCTTGTGCTTTAGCCGAACGATTGCGGTGAGTATTTTTTTTCCTTCTTCTTCTTCTTCTTCTTCTTCTTCTTCTTCTTTATTTTCTTATTTGCATCCGCTTGGGCTCGAGTCGTAGCAGTGTGCATAAGCAGCATAAGGTATAAATAAAATAGGAAACCAAAGTGACGTGGCATACTTTGGCTGTCAGTTGACTTGACTCCCGGGATGCGGAACGGGGAGAGTGGGGCGGTGAACGGACCCCGCGCCGGCCCAGCGAAGCATGGACGGCACCGATGCTGAAGCCAAGGAAACGCATTCTGATGGAACCTGATTGGAAATGCCATATTTATTTGAGCAGATCTCAAAAAAGCAGAATACGAGCCCTGCATCATGCACTGTTCATTTGTAGGAAAGGCAACCAGGCATCAGGGTATCAGAAAAACTGGTCGCTGGGAGCATAAGAGGTAAAATTGGTAGATCAGTTTATGTTATTTAGATCAGACGTCTTAAGGCTGTTTATTTTTATACTCTAAAGCTCAGAGGCCAACTTTTGATACCTGCTGGCTGGGGAAATCAGAGTATCTATCTGAAAGTCTGCTATCTGGAAGCGAGCTCGAGGCTATAAATCAGGAAAACAATATTAACATATTACGCTCTTTGTCCATTCTCTTTTACTTTACCAAACCTGTTCCTTTACCACTTGCATAATCGTGGACACGGTTTATCGTCTTGGTTGCAATAACTCATTCTGTCTAGAACATCACCTTCGTGGCCACGCTCAACAACCAGGCTGCATCCTTCCAGCCACCTTCATCAGCCTTTGGAGGGGGTACGCGTTCTTCTGGAACTGTTGATATGCCTGCTAAATTGCGGGACGAACAACTACGAGACTGGCCGAGTTCGGATTGGTTGTCTCGTGGTGTTTCATCACTGTCCTCGTCCGAATCTTCGTCGTCTTCTTCTACTGAGAAAAGAGACCAGACGCTACCAAACCAGGTGCCTGTGCCTGCTTGGCCCTTTCGAACAAGCCGTCGCACAGTGG